TTGTTGTCGTATATCGTTCTGTTGTTTGCCGTTGTCCAGCACTTGTTTTTGCTGCCGTACTTTTTCAGATCGCCGCCGTTGTCTTGTCCAACGCCTTACAACGATAGAAATGAGCGCGAAATGCAAATCCGAAGACACACTCCGAAGAAAATCCGAAAAAGCCGCCGTAGTAGCGAATCCCGTAGCAAATCATGCGATTCGCCCGGACGTCAAGAGTCAAACGGCAGGCGAATAAAATGAAAACGACACGCGAAAAGCAGGGCGTAAAATGTTGACAAAAGCAGATGACAGAAAATATGGAACGCCGGTCTTGGTGTGTTTTGTGCACGTGGGGGGCGTGGGTAAGGACGCGAGCGTGCAGGCACGGCGCATTCCACTTCCGGGCGGTTCCGGAAGACCATAGGCTCCCCTACAGGCGGCGCGTGTAAGTGCAATTACAGGCACTTTTGGCACTGAACATGGGCGCAGCTGGTGCAGGTGTTGCTAATGACAAACACACCACCGCACATGTGGCAGTGGACAGCGTAGGCGCTCATGTTGGGAGCGGGCTTCGTGGTGGTCGGGGTGTAGGAGTCGCCCATTGTGAGAGTTGAATGGGTTTAGCAAGAGAGGATATTATGTGACTTGTTGAGATGTAGGTGGTTCTTAGGTGATGGACAGCGTATGCGCCGAGAGTGAGCTTTTTTGCTTGTGTGTGAGACGTTCTCGTTGTGGTTGCTGGTGACAAAGCTTGGACGAATGTGTTATGTGAAGAAGAGAGGATGAAGGAGCAAGAAAGGAGAGAGAGGCGAAACGAAAAACATCGAGACGGGGGAACAAAGAGTTAAATACAAGGCAGTCGCGAATTTGGGGGGCAGGGAAAGAAAGAGACGAAACGAGCAAAAAGGGAAAGAACGGGGGACAGGATTCTTGCCTCGCACAGAAAGGGCGGGCGATGACTGCCTTCCAAACTGACGACAAGATCAAATTGGCAATGGAAATGGGCTACGCAACAAACTGGCGAATAGATGTGAGCCAAGACCACAGGGCTTGACGGATAACAGGGCCAGGCCAATAAAGGCCGACAAAAAAAGCAAAAGGTAAAATAATAGCCTTGACCAAGGTTTGACAAGCGCCAGTTTTGGCTCCCACTTCTATACTCCGACGGCTCCTGCCTTAAGAACGTGAGCAAATCGGGTTGGAGTGGCGATTATTGCGTCGTCTGAGGCAGGCGCAATTTTAATGTCAAGAGGGAAGGAACCATGGGGCGAACATGGTCGAGCATAAGTAGAAGGACGAAAACGGCAAGGATACAACATATTCGTAAATCCCAGAGCTCGATCGAGGAACGCGCTCTCAAGCGCCAACAAGAGGTCTGTCACCAGTAGGTAAATCACATTACAAAATGTAATTACGGATGGCGTAGCGAATGCGCGACGGCGGCCACTTACATGAGCGGAAGCCTTGTCGGGGTTGAACAAAAAAAAAAAGTGCACTGAGAAAGCGGGGGTAACGAGTGCATGCTTCCCCGGATTTTACACACTGGAGTTTTCGGAGGAAGGAGCCAGCGCAGCCAGGCTCCAGGGTGCACACCAATACCCAAATACCAAGCTCAAGGTAATAAGAGACGAGCAACGGAGGGTCAATCTCACACAAAGATGCTGCGCTAGACGGAGCCGGAGACATGCTCGGTATGCTGTGCTCATTGCGAGAGGCAAAATGACCCTGTTTTGCCCGGGTGAATAGAAAAGCGAGCGAGTAAGACGATCCGCTGGACAGCATGCAACAAAAAGCAGGGTTTTTCTTGAGCACTGCCAAAAAACCGTCAGTCAGGGAAATGAGCACAGGAAATGGGACAACGAGGCGAACAGACCAAACAGAGAGCTCCGATAAATGCTGCCCTGTCCAGGTGGCGACACAGACATGCATATCTGACTCCTTTTACACAGCGGCTGCAGGCGACACCCATCCGACATCGAATGAAATGGAGGGGACCCTGAACCAAATGAACTAAGTGAGCCAAAGTGAAGCTGGACTGCTCGTCTGGCAAGATGCTGTCGAAACAGCGGTTTCTGTCTCAGTAGTTCCAACAGACCCCCACTAGCACGGCAGAGGAGCGTGGGTATATGCAGGCCAAGTGGGTGGCGCCGCGGGCGAACCTGCGAGAGGCCCGCGGAGGTGATGAGACACCATGCATCGTGAGATGCAGACGCTGAGAAGTAACATTTGTGAAAAGAAGGGTGGACAGGGCATGCAACCAAGACCAAGGACATTGCCAAACAAAGGAGGCGAGGAAAGTCATGGAATGGGCACAAAGACCCATCGTGACGATGTGAAACACGTCCAACCCAGCGGGTGAATACGGGACGACGAAAAGGCCATGACGAAGTGGTCGAGACGATGAATCTCATTCAAGATGCAGGGCCATGTTCCCAGAAAACTACCCTGCATCGCACTACGTCAAAGGCCAAGCACTTCGTGGTGGAGGGCCAGGTGACCATTCCGGACAGAAGCGCCAACAGAAAACACAAAGCCGTCCCAATCAGAAGCGAGGGAGCAGAACTCTAGGCCACAGAAGAAACAATAAAGAGGTAGGCTCGCAAGGATGGTCAGAAAAGAACACAAACAGGGCCCTGGGCGTCGTAGTCAGACACCACACACCCTCTCCATTGCAACGACAGCGCCCTGTGCTTCCCCGCATCGGACCTGGCCATAAATTGCCTGTGGCGATCAAAAGCTATGACGCATTGAGGGCACGTAGGGCTCGTGGGTGCTGACCTCTGACTGGTCAAAACGGATGGAATTCATGAAATTCCCAGGAAAGTGGTCCTGCGTACGCGACTGCGCACACAACATCGTATGCAAAATGACGATGCCCAGAGACTGGATGCGGCTGTGCAGAGACAAATGTCACATTCAAAACAGGGCAAGTCTCGTGACTTTGAGATACTCTACTGTGGCAGAGTGTTCCCAATAGGTCGGAACTGCACTCTGGAGTCTAGGTCTGAAGGCTGGATTGCAGATCAGGACTCGAAAATGACGATGTTATGAGAATGGGAGAGAGCGAGCGAGAGTAAAGAGAAAAGAGGAGAGCGAAGAAAGCGCCCAGGTGGATCGTGGGATTTTGCATTCAATCATCGTTGCTTACTACGATACATAAGCAGTCTGCCCATGCCGCTAGCTCTGTCGGTTGGTCCAAGCATCGTGATGTTCAACCAAAAGGATGTTTCGAACATGGAGAACGATCGACCACTAGTTTTAGTCCCTAGCTCCAAACATAGTATTGTGTCAATCGTTTGGGTAACTCAACGCCTCCCTCCATCATGCTCGAAGCTGCTCCTAGGAAATCCCAGCCCTATTCTCGTGGCGGAGCAGCTGACGTTATGCTTTGGATGGTTTGGATGGGTGACCATTGACCTTTCTTTGGAGCATCGTGAACGAAGCAATGAAGTTTTGCCTGCGAACTCTGTTCTCACCAGAAATCTGTATTTTTAGCCACAGAGTGACATGGTCTGCCCAGGGGTCTGTTTACCAGGTCCGCCACACTGTAATAAATGCCCTGTCAGAATCCTCTGTCCGCAAAAACAACGCAAAAAAGCCACAGAATCTGCCTGCAGCAAGACTAACAAAGGCTCAATGAAAAGAGCCTGAAAAGGTAAACCGTCCTCACCGTCTCCGGAGCCGCCTTCTATTTCGTTTGTTACATTCGTGTCAATGCTACCGTGGTAAATGTAACACGGATATGGCGCCTTGACTCTCTGACTCTATTCTCTTTTTGCAAAAATATGCGAGGCTTTCCAAGTGGCAGATTCGTGGTGAATGTCGGCGTCGCCTCTATTTCTTTTTCGCTCCTTGATCGACACTTAATTCATATCCCAACCTTGGCACTTTTCTGCTGCCTTGGTTGCCCGATGGCCCGCCGCGTGGTCTTCTGCAAGGCGACGCAATTGTCGTGAGACCGTTGAGCCCCCAGCCTCACAACTGGCGTTTCACGTGGAATACGGAGGATGAGATGATGTGAGATGTTGGACCCGGGACCGTTCAGACCCGGCCATGCCTAGACGTTGTTCAAGTTCACGTCTCGTGCTCCCCTTGAATCACAAAACATCCCAGTCTGGCGGGCGGCCTACGGTGGCGTCTCTGTTACTACCGGTCTTGGTATTGTAGAACGGCCGGTCGGACCCACCGAATGACCGTGTGTTGTTCCGTCTCAATCCAGTAAATTTCAGCTGGCTGTGTGTCGAGCCTGCGTTAGACACAGACACCTGCCACAGTTGTCATGGGAAGACCCGCGGAAAAGCCGCCAGTCAAAAAGGACATCCTATATAACCAGCCGTAGTAACGGCGTAAGCCCATCTGTTGGTAACTCGTTCCTGACGCCCCATCCCTGTCAGCGGGGCGTTCTCATTGGCGTGCGCCTCCCTTCCACTTTGCCTAGGCCCCTGCCAGATCCTCATTGGTTCGCCGCATTGAGGCATTCTGCAAGGCTCATTCGCCTACATGGCATCTAAGTACGATCCCGACGTGTACGGAGAGTGATGTACATGTTACGAATGGATCACAAATCCGAGAACGTTGCGACATCCGCCATACAGTAGCATCACGCTAACAAATGCATGCACGAGAGAATATCACCAAAATTAGCAATTTCATAGTAAGCGGGTGACGAAGAAGCGAAGAAAGCGACTGCCGGAATAGGCGCATACTGCACTCCGTACCCTCTCTAACTGTGCTCCCTGCGCCGCCTTCCGATTGAACGGTTAAACCTCCTGATCTTCTTTTTTTTCTTTTCTTTTTGAGGCCTCGTTTGCCTCGCATCGCTTCTTCTTCAAACTCTACCAGAGATACTCATAAGGAAGAGAGGCGCTTCGAAATAGGAAGGACGCCTATGAAACGGGCAACTGCATCCTATGCTTGGATCACAAGCAGCGACACACCCTTTCTTTATCTTCTGCCCCTTCCCCTTCATCGTCTTCTCTTCTCATACTCTGTACATCTCTCTCACGATCGTCTCCTTGAGTCTACCTTATCTTGAGCCCGCTGGACCAGAGAACACGATATAAAATACGAAACCTACAACTGTCACTACTTTTGTCAGCCTCTTCAACCTCATCAGCCTTGACAACCGCCTTGCCAGTTCCAGACTGCACCAACAGACGCCCAGTCTCCGGGGCTAGATTGTATTGGCCTTGCGTGGCGCCGTGGCCTTTTTTGCCTTTTTCTTTGGTAGCCCCGACGGTCTGCAGCTCTATTTCTCCTCGTGGCATCTCCACAACGACATCTTGCATGATTGTATCATAACGGGGAGAAGCCCATACTTACGATACGAAGCACTCCCCCATCATACAGTGTTCCCCCTCGTTCCTTCCCTCTCTTGGTCTCGTCTTCTTTGAAAAGAGGCACACCCTCCGTCTCCTAGAAGCCCTTCGCTCTTTCCCTTTTCTTCGCGTCTCTTGCCGTCAGGTTTTCTTCGCCTGCCATTCGTTCCTTCCTTCACAAGCACATTGTTTTTATTCACATACCCCTTTTTAATTTCCCTCCTTTGCAATTCAAAATGGTATAACCTTTTCAACTTTCCAACGCTCCTCTTGCAATATCAAATTAACTAACACAATTCTTCGCCAGGTTCATATCCCATTGCTGTCGTCTCACAAGGACGCGGCCGCAGAGGAACAAGGAGACGCCACTGAACAGACTCTGCCGCTGCGGCCCAAGGCGGGCGACTCGCCCCTTTCGGTAGCCATTCACCGTCTGCCCACAGGGGACGGCATGCTCATCAAGGTGACGCCACCAAATCAGCCTGCAGATTTTGCTGCTGTTGGCGCATCGTCAGCACCGGACGACGCTGGGACGGCCCGGCCCACCCGTCATGTACCATGTGACATTGTCCTTGTCATCGACGTGTCCGGCAGTATGGGCGACGACGCTCCGGTACCCACGGTGGAAGGCGAGACGCCGGAGCGCAACGGCCTGTCGGTGCTCGACCTGGTCAAGCACGCCTCCCGCACCATTCTTGAGACCCTGGACGAGGGCGACCGGCTCGGCATTGTCACCTTTGCCACGGAGGTCAAAGTGCTCCAGGAGCTGACACAAATGACAAAAGAAAACAAGGACAAGACCCGTGCCAAGATCAAGTCTATGGGTCCCGAGAACGCAACCAACTTGTGGCAGGGCATTGTGTCCGGCATCAACCTCTTTCATGGTGGAAAGACCCAGTCCGGCCGCGTGCCTGCTATTATGGTCCTGACCGATGGTATGCCCAACTTCATGTCCCCTCCGCAGGGCTACATCCCCAAGATGCGTACCCTTGGCCGCATCCCGGCGCCCATCCATACCTTTGGCTTCGGCTACAGCCTGCGCTCTGGTCTGCTCAAGTCCATTTCCGAGTTTACTGGCGGCAACTATGCCTTTATCCCCGACGCCGGCATGATTGTAAGCTCTCAGAGTCTAGGCCTTTGATTCCAAAATGTGTTTGCGTTGCAATACTAACAGTTTGTAGGGCACCGTGTTTGTTCATGCTGTGGCCAACATGCAGTCGACCTACGCAAACGATGCCGTCCTGTGTCTGACGTACCCTCAGTCTGTGACGGTTGAACAGACACAGGGTGCAACCATCGGTTTACATAAGCCCACGGTTTTGGAACAGAAACAGCAGCTCACCATTGACGTTGGCAACATCCAGTACGGCCAGTCGCGCGATGTCTATCTTCGCTACACGCTTAGCCCGGATGCAGGCGACCAAGTGCCTATCGACGCCGAACTCGAATACAGAAAAATGAGCACAGACCTGTACAAGGCGTCGACATCGTGCAACCTGGCAGATGGCCCGTACACGGACGAAAAAGTGGACGATGCCGACTTTGAAATTGTGGACAGCCCGCTGTCGCCACATGATGTTGCTTTTCACATCTCGCGGTCCATGCTTTGCACATTCCTTTCGTCCCTCAGCCCCTTGAACGAGATGGACGAGCACATCAACGCACCCTATGCAAAAATCGTGGAGACCGCACAGCTCGATGCATTCATAGAGTCTCTTCCCGCAGGCGAGGCGGCGCACGCAGGGGACCCCGCTTGTGCCGCACTGATGACTGACGTCAACGGCCAGGTGCGCATGGCTCTGTCGCAATCCGTCTTCTACAACCGCTGGGGCCGGCATTACTTGCCGAGTCTGCAGGGCGCGCACGCCGCTCAGCAATGCAACTCGTTCAAGGACCCAGGCCCCCTTCTCTACGCGTCGTCCAGTCCGCTCTTTACTACCTGCCGCGACGCATTGGACACGGCCTTTGACACCATCCCGCCTCCCGAGCCCAGCAAGACGCGACGGTCCAATGTACCGGGCGGCGCACCTCCGAGCTACTCCTCGGTCAGCATGGGTCGCTACCGCAACTCCAGGGGCCCGTGCTTTGCTAGTTTCTGCCGTGTGACCTTAGTTGACGGCCGGTACATCCGCGTCAACAAGCTTCGTGCTGGCATGAGTGTCCAGACGCCGCGCGGACCCCGGACCGTTGCCGCAGTGATGAAGACGCCCGTCAGCAGCATCCCCATGGTCACGATTGGCCGTCTTTTGATTACGGCATGGCACCCCGTCTCCCACAACGGCACCAAGTGGGTGTTCCCCTGCCGAGACCCCGTGGCCAACAAGAAGACGACGGTGCGGTACACGGGCTCCATCTACTCAGTGCTCCTCCAGCCCGACGAGGACGCCGATTCGCACGCCATCAACATTGAAGGCGTCTGGGTGGTCACACTGGGCCACGGCCTGACACAAAAGACCGACGACGAGGGCGAGACCAACAATGATGTGCGCGTGCACCGCTTCTTTGGCGACTATTCGGCCGTCTGTCGGAGCATGGCGACACTGGATGTGCGCAAGGACGGCCTTGTGGTCAATGGTGGCTCGTCACGCAGCAACTTCCGGATGTGGCATACGAGGAAGTAATCGTGTAGTCTGCAGACGGGACATAGGCTCTGCAAATCGTTCTTCATTTTTGGACACCTTCTTTCTCTTTTGTTTGAGTTTTGTAATGTCTGCGTTTGTTTTATTTTTGGACGCCGTGACGGGCACGCGACGTCAGGAAATGTGGTTTTATTTTTTTACGTCTATTTTTGTTTTAATTTTTGTTTTTCATGCGCTGGGCGCCTTTCAACAATTTCCCCAGAAACAAAAGCGAAATACTCGAGATTTAATACATTGGACGTAATTTTTGAAACCCTTTTTACTTGGAAGCAATAACCCATCACAACATATTTTACCCCTGTCTCGCCTCAGCCAAGACGCTCGCATCAATCAGCGTCGACAATGTGTCGCGGCTCATCGCGGTCCGCCGGTCGATCCGTGCCACCCACGCGTCCTCCTTTACCAGAACATCGAGCACCTTGTCTGCATGCAGGTCGCCCGTCCACGTGTGCACCGGCCAGACCGCCCTGACCAGGGACGTGTTCCCCGCCAGGCCCAACACCGACGACGCGACCAGCGACACAATCGCGTCCGATGGGCCGCGAGCGGCGCCAAACTGCGCTTCTGCCTTATCCAGTAGCTTCAGGAACGCCACAATTTCTTTGCGCTTCGCAGGATCTGCCAGTTTGTCCGACGTGCTGTGCAGATTGAACACCTCGCTGTACACAGACCCGTTCTGGAACACGGTGTGCGGCACCGCGGCCGTCGAGAGCGCGTCCAGCACCAGCTGCATCGTCGGCTCCCACATGCCCGCGGCGTCAATGGTGCCGTGGGCCAGCATATACGGCAGCGTGCCCGCCCCACACGGGGCCGCCATGCAAATGCCGCCGTTGACCACGGTGTAGTCGCTGGGGCCGAGCCCCCCCACGTCCTGCAGCAGCCGCTCGACAAAGTACGCGGCCGACGTGCCCGGAATGGTGCCGATGCGTTTCCCTTTGAGGTCCGCAACAGTCGTGGCGGACGCAGACCGCGCCACCAAGCGGTAGGCCACTTCGGCCACGGTGTAGATGATGCGCAGCTTCTTGTGGGTGGCAAACTGGCGTAGGGCCTGGGTCTCGGCGTTGGCGGCGAGGTCGATGGAGGTGTCCGACACAATGTTGGCCACACCGCCGTTGGTGATGGTCCCAACCGACGACGCGCCCCCGGACGAGGCTGACGAGGCCTGCCGGATCGCCCAGAGCTCGGGTGTGTATTCAATCACGCTCAGTGCGCTGGCAATCTTGAGCGTGGCCGACGCGGACGCGGCGGCACCGACAACAGCCAAGACGAGCGGAAGATGCATCTTTTCAACGAGGGCGAGAGGACGCGTTTGGACCGGATGGAAAAAAATCCTCTGTCTGGATGAGCGATGCACTGAACCAAAACTAACAAGCTCTTGAAGGTGCCAAGAGCCGGTATTAAGAGGCGTCTGTTGAACAGCTGTGACATTGGCCCCGTCAAAATTAAGGACAGATCTTTAAATAGACCACTCGGCTCCTCGTTCCTCGCAGGACAAGATACGCAACCCAGGTGGGTTCGGCGTGGGAAAACAGAGACAGTGTAGGCGAGGAACAAATGTCGTTGCATCTGCCGCTCACAGACCTATAATGCAACACTATATTTGGGCTCGCCCGTCGTCATCGTCCTCTACCGTTTTCTACTGGACAGCCCTTGTTGATTCTCGGCTGAGATGTCTTAGATGAAGGGGAGATGAATGAACAATCTTGAGGGCGACTACGGCCAATATATAGACCATCATCAGCGGCCAACAAAATTGTTGGTATTTGGACTCGTCATTTACACAAGAGCAATGGAAGAGGCGGAGAAGCGGAGAAATAAAAAGCTTGCGAGGGCAGGATTTGCCGTTCTAGAATTCCGTCATCGGCTCGGCAAACCCTCACCTCACTTCCAACTAAGCTTTTCTTGCTGATCTGCTAAATGGGTAATTGGACAATCTCGGGCGTTTCTTTGTCAAAGTTTGCTCAAATTAATTTATTTCGTGCGCAATAAGGGGAGTCTCTAGACGGAATGAAGATGGAGTTGAGGCTAGCAGACAAAAAATGAAGGTATCCATAAGTACAATTTTTTCAAAACAACAAAGATGTGAGCGATGATGTTCGCTGGCTCTGAGATCCAGAAATGTAAACCAAAAAGAGATAGAAGACACAAAATCGTAGCCGAATACACGCTTTCTATTGGTGCGTGACAGCATAAATAATATGATATTGAACATGTCGTGGTGTGCAGCTCGTTCAGAGCGAGCATCACGCATCATAAACGCAGCCTTGAAATGCCAGTTAAACCCACATCATGGTGTCGTCAACAGTCGACAGTCATGGTGGCAGTGGCAGTGGGTAGCAGCGCGTCAGGTTTAGTGCTGACTGACTGGAGCCGAAGCCTCCTTGAACTCCTCGTCGTCTTTTTGCACAATGGTGTTGTACTGGGCAAGGCCAAAGCCTTCTTCGACAGCGGGAGCAGGTGTAGCCTCATTTTGCTTCTCGCCGTCCGTAGACGGCTTGGCAGTGTCACCGCCGGCGGGCGTATCCTCCGCCGTCTTCTCGTCCGACTGGGCGGTAGTCGTCTCGCCGGGCTTGCTGTCCATGGCGGCTTCCTTCTCGGTAGACGCTTTGTCCACCGTCGAGTCGGACTTGTCAGTGGCCTTATCGACCGCCTTTTCGGTGGCGTCTGTCTCGTTGCCCTTGGACTCCTTGTTCTTCTTCTTGTCCTTGTTGCTGGCCTTCTCGTCTCGCTCCGTCTCATACGACGTCAGCTCATCCTTGCGCACGCGCTGGCCGCCCGCATTGGCTTGCGCATTGTCCAGGTCTTGCTCGCCGCGCTCGCCCATGCCGCCCTCGGCCAGGTCGCCGCCCTCCATAACGACCCGCAGCTCGAGGTTCTCGTCCTTGGAGTAGACGCGAATGCCCACGATGCAGATGGCGTTCCACGGCGCCGGGTCCTTTTCGTCCTCGGAGGACTCGTCATCCTTGGCGACGGCAGTGGTGGTTGTAGTGGCGGCGGCAGCAGCCGCGGCTCGAGAGGCCTTGGTAGACAGGTCGTCGCTTGAGTACCACTCCTCCCAGTCTTCGAGAGGACTATCGGACGAGTCGTCTACGACAGCCGGATGTGGTTGGGGAGGTGGCGGGGGGGAGGCTTTCCTGAGCGCCTTGGGCTTCTTGACATCAGAAGCGGAACCTGAAGCGGATCCAGAGGATGAGCCTTCTGAACCGGAAGAGGAAGATTTAGACACAGAAGACTCGTCTCCGCTCTTGTCGGCCTTCTTCCCCTTGCCCTTTCCTGCCTTCTTCTTGCCGTCGTTGCCCTTGCCCTTCTTTGCCGGCTTTTCTTCGGGCTTGGAATCGGCCTTGTCACCCACAATTTCGTCAGTCTTCCCTTCTGATTTCCCATCTGACTTCTCAGCCGTCGTCTGGGATTTCTCCTCTGGTATAGCCTCGTCTTTCATGTCAGATTTGGTCTCGCCCTTTTCGTCCGACTTCCCGGCGGGCGTATCGGCGGGCTTGTCTTTTGAATTTTCATCGGTCTTGACGCCTGCCCCGTTGGTAGTCGTCTGGGCCGACGTCGCCTCCGTCACGGGAGGCACAAGAACTAGCTCACCACCCGCAGCATCAAGCAACGGCTCAGTGATGATCTCGCTCTTGGGCGTGTCGAGAGGCGTCTTTTGCGGAGTGCTGACACCGGACGTGGACACGGAGATGAACTCATCAGCGGCGGCCTGGTTGGTGGCAGCCGTGTTCGACGCTGATGTAACGGAAGCAGCGGACGCAGCAAGTTCAGCCTGCACGGTAGTCTCCGTGGACTCTGTGGTGACTTCCTTTGTGGCCTCAGCGGCAGGCTCGGCCGTTGTTTCGGCATCCTTCTTCTCACTCGTGTCCTTGCCCTCCTTTGTGACGGTCTCGGTAGCCGCCTCGGCGTCCTTCTTGTCCTTGACCTCGGTCTGGACCTCTTTGTCCTTGGACTTGGCCTCTTCGGCCTGTTTCTTTTCTTCGGCCGCAGTCTCGTCCTTCTTCTTTTGTTCGGCAGCCTTCTCCGCATCCTTCTTCTTGCTCTCCTCTTCCTTCTCCGCCGCGCGTTTCTTGGCCTTTTCGTCATTCTTCTTTTGCTGGCGTTTCTGAATGTCCTTGAGCAGGTGGCGCTTGGCCCAGTCCTTGCGGCGCTCGCGCTTCCGCTCGTCCGAGGCCTTGACCTGGTCAGACTTCTTGCGCAGCTTGGCCAGTTCTTCGAGGTGGGCGGCGGCTTTGCTGTGGGCGAGGTCGTATGCCTGGCCGACTTGAGCGAGCTTTTCGTTTTCGACGCGTTTCTTGAGCTCGTTCTTGACGACGTCTTCGACCGACAGGGTCCTGGACTCGCGCTCGGCAATCACCGACAAAAATACAGAATAGTTGCCGGGCTCTAGGCACGGGAGTTCGACACTCACAGAACGATCCATCAGGTAATTGCCGTGGGAGCGGACTATGTAGTCTTCGGCGCCGGGGCGGTCCTGCTCGTGGAGGCGGAAGTGGAGTCGGAAGTAGTACTGGCCGTCGAGGCCGTGGAAGTAGCGGGAGTCGAGCTGGGAGAGGACCAAGACGAGGGGCGACTCCTTGGTGAGCTTGATGTGGAACTTTTCGTTGTAGCTCGTCTTCCAGGGCACGTCGACGCCGATCCAGCGCTGGCAGCAGAGCCAGTCTGGGTCGCGGAAAAGGCGCGTGCGGTCGACATTCTGGAACTTGAGCATAAAGTCTTCATAAGAGATCCAGAAAGTGGAGTCGCTGCCAAAGTTGTGGCCGACTTCCTCTTTGGCCTCGGTGGTCCACTCTTTGGAACCGTCAGACCAGGCGCCCTCCCAGGTGCCGGCCTTTACTTTACCCCAGGGGTTGCGCAGCTTCAAAAGACGGGTGCCATTCTTGAGGGTCTTGGCCTCCATAATGTTGTAGGCATGGCCCTCGGTGATGCCGTCGCGGTTGCCGTAGCCGCCATCGAGCAGGCCCGTGGTGCAGCCAAACAAGAACTCCTCGTTTACGCGGCTCAACTCGTTGTCCCAGAAGCTGTCCGTGTCGAAAATATCAGACATGAGAAGCTCCGTGGTGACGCCACCCGTCAAATCCTCAAGACCCTCGCCGATCCAGCCGCCCGTCAGACTGTCGTAGTCGCCGTGGGCCTTGGCATAGGCCTTTTCCATGAGGGGCAGCCATGTCTCGTTCTGGTCCTTGTTCTGGGCAAAGAAGAGGGCCTTGGAGCCGGTCTGGTAGGTTTTGCGGTAGACGCGCTCAATGTCGTCCTGGTCGATTTGTTGGAGCAGGTCGCGCTGAAAGCTGGGGGAGTCCCAAGAGGGAGAGGTGAGGTAGAGTTTGTCGTCGATGATGGAGTAGATCCACTCGCCGTCTAAGACACAATAGTTAGTGTAAGTGAAGAAGTGGAGAAGTAGGACGATAAGACAATTTATGGGGACAACGCACCTCGATAGAAAACGAATCCATAAATACCGATTTCTGCAATTGTTAGCGATCAAGATCGAATGAACGGTGAACGGTAAACGGCGAGCGGTGAGCGGTGAGCTGTGCGAGAAGATCAGGAGAACGACTACATGGAAGTGCGCCGTGGGGGTCGGGTGGGTCTTACTTGTATCGTAGGCCACACAGGAGCGCTGCAGACCGCCAGGCACATTGGCCAGGCCGCTGACACACGAAATAAACCAGCAGTCGCCCAGGCCGCCCTGCTTGACGTCGCTGCCGCTTACGGTCGACATAAAGGTCGGCTTCTCAAAGATCTCATGCACGCGCTTGACGGCCTTGGGCACCGTGGCGCCGATGCTCAACATGTTTTTGAGTGATACGTCGAAGCTAGTGTTGCCGAGGCTGTTGAGACAGTGGCCCTTGGCCATCTTGAGGTCCCAGTCAATGTCCCAGCCCGGATCACGGTAGCGCATGTTGACGCGGCGGCACTCCTGGATGATCTTTTTGACTTTGCGGCGGCACTCCTCGGCGGCGCGCTCGTAGCCGACGCTCAGCAGTTCGTTGGCGCGTTCAGAGAGCGGCGAGGGCGCAACGGGGGCAAAGGGCAGGACGGTCATGGCTTTGCTGAAGCGTTTTTGGGAGAAGCGTTCCCAGACTTTGTCGATGGATTCTTGTGGAAGCAGCTTCTTCTTTTTCTTCTTCTTTTCTGTGGTGGCCGTATCGGCAGCGGGTGCACCGCGGGCGGCCCAGCGGCGGCGGGCTTTTTGAACCTCGACATCGTTGTCCGAGTCGGAGTCGGACGAGTCGCCGCTGTCCCGTATGAGGCGACGGTTGCGCGTATACATTGCGAGGGTTGTGTATAAGGATGATGTGCAAGGAGGGAGAGGTAGAGAGGAAAGAGGTTCTGAAATGAAAATACAAAAGATGTGCAGAGCAAAAGGGTAAAAGAACAAAGGAGCACAGACAAATAGTGGCACACGACCAGAGCTATCGAGATAACGAGGGCAACGCTATTAGAAGAATAGAGAAGGAAGAGAGGATAAACAACAGGAAGAAGATTGAAGAGATAAAGAATACCGGAAGGTGTAAACGTGAAAATAGTGGGAAGGGAAAGAAAAGTAAGAAAAGAAAGAAGTGAATAAAACAAAAGGACAGAGCAGAGAAGCAAGAAAATAAAAGAACGAAAGCATGACAGACAGCCACAGGAGCAAAAGAAAGATAAAGGCACCAGCTGCTTATCGGCAGGCTGACCAGCTGGACAAGAGTCACTTCACACAAAACACTAGTGTCGGCAGACGAAAGGCAAAATCAGACAAGGCTCGACAAGCGAACACCACTAGACTGCACCCGTTTAACTTTTCTCACCCAGTCATCCATGGTCAGGGGTCGCCAGTGCTCCGTGCAGGGAGAGAGGGCACACAAGTGTCGCAGGAAGGCACAAAAACGAAGGCACACGGCCGGTCTCGCTGGCTAGGAACGTTGGTTATTCGGAATTAAAAGCAAAGTATGAATGTTGACAAGCGAAACCTAAAAGTTAGGCGCTGCTAGTGCTCGCCGTTAGCGTGGCAGAAGGTGTGGCAGGACCCTTTTTGTGCCTTTGAGCCGTTTTGTGTGTGTGCGGATGGGACGCTAGAAAAGGACCCCTAAAAGATGCCGCGTATTGTTGGAGATTACGTTTCGAGACATTTGACCACATAGGCGCCAGGAGGGCGGGGCGTCTGGTGTGGACAGAAGAGAGCCAAGACGGAGAACGGTCGGAGCAGCCAATAACGTGAATGGCAAATGGCACTCGGGGTCGTGTGAGGCGAAATGTGCAGGCGGCTCAACTGAAGAAGGCTTGGGACGTCGGTCGGCCGCAGCAGTAGACGACATGGCCTTGAATCCTGTCTCTGTGAACAACCCGGAAGTACGGTTAAAATGAAAACAGCAAGCCAGGAACAAGACGACGAAAAGGAACGACGACATGAACACACAAGCGTAAGAAAACAAAGACCAACGGGCCATCCGGAACTAGTGGCAAAAGACGATACAACGATACAATACGGCCACGGGCGGGCAAGATCACCCCCCAACAAGACGACGAGAACACTGCACAATACAAAGGCCGAAAGAGCGGAGATGCAGGCTGTTGATCGAACTTGTGATGGTTGGACGTGGGTTGGGGGCGGAGAGGGGTAGACGGGGGTTGTATGCAGAGAGCCAGAAAGACACTCACCGGTTCGTCGACGCTGGCTGTGCATCAAAAGTGAGGCTGCTCCGACAAATGTCTATGTCTATGGTCGATGGGCCTGGCCGAACGGCAGTGGCTCATGTCCATGTCCAAAAACAGGGCGGCCACACAGGCGACGACAAGCCATCGATGCATCCAGGCAAGACGATGCAAGACACCGCTGACGACAAACAACAATGGCCTGCATACAATGTCGGATCCTTTTATGCGGGTGATGGTGGAATGGCAGTGTCGTGTCGTGCTGGTGTTCCGAGACGGTCGTTATGTGCAGCAGTGAAGGGAATGAGTGAAGGGGGCGAGCATCCGCAGACGACTTCTTTGGGGACGGGGGAGACATCACAAGACATGTATCACTCACAAAGGGAAGTCACTGTGGCGGCAATATGGGGAAAGAGCGCATGGTGAATATTGTGGGCCAGGCTCTGGGCCAGCCTGGGCCCCTGGCAAGTGGGGCCACTGACCGACAGAAAACGGGGGAAAGAGTAGGCCAAGAAGAGCGGTCGAAGGGGAGACGGGGTGATGTCCGCTCTTTCCCTGCCCCTTTGATTGAAAGAAAGAACGAAAGAACGTAAGAGCGACCAAGGGCAACAAATGTGGAAGACGGCGACAGAAGGAGCGAAGGGCAGCAAAGACAGACAGAACAATGGAGTTGTCTCTGCATGCAGGCGCATCCCACGGAGGCGCATGTCGCTGCACGGCGGCTGTGCCTATTCCTATGCCCAGGTGACCCTTTTTTCGTACAACTGCGGCCAGACACACAAATTTCCCCTTTCAGCTTCAATGTGAGTTGAGACGACTTAATAGAGCGATGCTATTTCTACAATTCGTTTGTTGGTCACCAGTTGCTCCTGCCTGTTGGTTGTCGGTTTTGGCGAACAAGACAAATTTGGGCCGAAACAGGAAAGAATCCACTTTCGGACGTCACTTTACAATTCACCGCGAGACACTCTGAAGCACGAGACTCTCATAGACAACTCAAAAGGGCCCTCAAAAAAGGGACGAAACAAAGTCTGAGAATACTATCTGATACTTTACAGACACAGTTGGGCGGCTGAAAACCCGAATCTGACTCTTCTGTTCCTGGCCACTGGTCCCTCCGACTTCGCCGTATTCGCGACGGCGACCGCAAAACACCGCTATTTTGTCTTTCCTCCAAACTGGTGCGCTGTGTGGCAGAGAAATGGAGGGAAAAAAGATACGGCGAGAACGGGGACACAGCAGAGGCAAAAGGGGAAGACCGCCCTGTCGATCAATGGTCAGGTTGGGGGCAAAAACGCAAGAAGCCGGGACGTTGGGGATTGATACGGGAAAAAGCCAGAACTCCGCGACATGAGCTGCGAATACAAAGGGCAATGTTAGATACTGGGTTATCGGCGGTGAGGTCTAGGCGAACGGTCTTGTCCAATCACAGCCTTTTGATATTTGTGTGTCGTGTGCCTTCAACGGTCGGCTAGGGCCCGCCGGTCGCATTTCGGTCTTCCTAGAGGGCCGTCTATGTTGACTTAACAGTCGCCATTGTGGTCTTATCACTGCGCGCTAAGCGGCTGCTCTCGTGTTTTTGCACCGTTTACGCGTGCCCAACAGACAATAGGGGTTCTGTTACGTCAGGAGAGAGGGACAACGACTAGTGAGGCGCAATTTAGGCGTGAGAGCACGAGGGCAATGGCTGGGCAGTGGCTGACCGCCTTCCGGAGCGGGGAGATAACAACGGTCTATCTCCAGTTGTCACTGTTTGTCGACGTTCTGCCAATCTCGTTTCTTTTCATACGTTTAGTAGCACTAAACCAGTAGGCGGGCATAGTTGCATGTCGATCACGCTTGTCACCCTGCGGTGGACGGTTCAGTGGTGCATGAGCGTTTCTTTGTTGCCCCTCTGGGCAACTCGGTAAGTGCATCCTGCATCAAAGAGACGGACACTCTCATCATGACCGCAGAGAACCAAAGCGCTTGCAAGGCGTGCCGAGACATCCAACGCGGCCCCGTCAGTGTACAAGAAAGACAGTTGGACGTGACGCCAGCTGTGAGCTAATCGTCGTTACGCCTGGTGAGGAGAGTCCGGTCACGGTTCAGGTTGGGTGGTGAGGGGAACTTGGAAGCACAGCCTGGTAAGAGAGGCATGTCAATGTTGGAGGCGAATGTCGAGGTAAATCTATAAGTAACAGCTGGGGCTATTTGAAAAGGTGTTTGAATTGTTTAAATTGTCAAGCGTATGGATTATTTGTTCCGGATTTTATTTGTTCTCGATTTAATTATTTGTAATTATTTTAACTATTGTAATAAACTCCTCACATCAAAAAGAATAATGAGATTTTTACATCCGGATGATCAAGAAAATACGTATAGCAAGGTCAGTCAGATGGGGTCAACGTCAAGGCTCAACGACGGCGATATTCACGAAATTCATACATGGTCACACCGAGCTTGATCATCATCGACGACGTTTTTTCAAGACAATAATGAATAAATTAACTTTTATGACCTGAACGCCGATGCGTCTCTGCGGCTTTCTTGTCTTTCTTCTATGAGGGTATTACAATGGAAAAAGGAGGGAACGCGAGATGTGGAAAACAGGGAGAGGAAAAGACGTTTCTTTGTTTCTTTTGTTTTTCTTTTGCATTTGTGTACTTACCAGCGCGACACGTAAAATCGACTCGAAGAGAGGCCAGCGACGGTTCTCTTTTTGTAAATCCCCAATGCCTTGCCAGCCCACGAAATCGAGGCGAATGAAAGGCTGCGACAAGATGCATTGCACATCCCATCCCAGCCCTCATCGCCTCGGGCAGTTCTGCCTTCCGAAGAAGACCAGACCTGCAACGCCCCGGAACAGTGTGACCGATCCCAGTTGGAACAGAAAGAAGTACCTCTTTTGATACAACCCACCTCCCATACACCAGAGAATGCACGAGAGGTGGATCGTAGAGCCCTCAGGAGAGACCCCCAGTATGCAGTAAAAGTCATGAAAAAGTAAGAAGCCCACAGAAGCCCACAGAAGCACACGCAAACAAACAATCAAAATGAAATATTGCCCCCAAGACGAAAAAGAAAAGAATAAGAAACTTTGCCATATGAACCCATCACCATTTTTGTTGTACTAATCGTGGCACCGTTCCCTCTCATGTCCGGGAGAGAGACATTTTCTCTTCTCTCCGGCGAGCTTTTTGTCTTTTGTTTCTTTTCTTTCTTCTTCCTCGGCAGCAACAAGTAGGAGCCAGCAGGAGCCAAGCAGAGCCAAAAACCAGTCATCAGGTCATCATCGTGTTTCCTAACCAGCATCCACAAAGGATGGGAAAATAGAAACAATTTCAAAGCCCACAGAGTTTCGGATCGAGCCCTCAGTTGTATCGCGGCGACGTGGGACACTCCCAATAAAGGAATCCCACGAAACCCTCTCTCACGAGCCTCTGACGTTTCTGTTCAGTCCACCCCCCTCGAAAGGGAGGATACCGAACAGAAAGCCAGACCGACAGCCAACCTAGCCAATACCCAACATATGTGTGTGCGCAGAAAATCCGAACGATCCCTCGGGAAATTAAAGCCGCTATGTCGCCAAAAGAGAAGTGGGAAAAGAGACGAAAGGCAGACAGGCAGTCCGCCATGCCCTCATCCCCAAAACGCAACGGTATCCTTCCACGCTTAGAAGGTCGTCTTCTTGCCCTGGAAGCCGCTGCTACCGCCGCGGCCACCGCCGAAACCACCACGACCGCCGCCGCGGCCGCCACCGCGGCCACCACGGTCACCGAAACCACCGCGGCCACCGCCGCGACCACCAAAGCCACCACGACCACCACCGCCGCGTCCGCCACCAAAATCGTTGCGGGGCTTGGGGGTGGAGTAGTCCAGACGGACGTTGCGGCCGGCGCAGTCCTGGCCGTTGAGCTGCTCGAAGGCCTTCTTGGCATCCTCAATCGAGTAGAACGAGACGTAGCCGAATCCCTTGGGGCGACCAGACTCCCTGAAAAAAGCAGTTGTTAGTACGTGTTGTACGATGACGCGCGGGCGGAAGTTACTTACATGTCCGTGGGCAGACGCAGGCTCTTGACGTTGGCGACGTCGGAGAAGAAGGCATTGACGGTGTCCTCGTCGGCGTGGAACGGCAGGTTGCCAACAAACAGGGTGTCGCTCTCGGGGCTGATGGTGTCGCCGTACTTCTTGGCACGGTCGGCCGCGGCGTTGTTGTTGCCACCGTCGTTGTTCTTGGGGCGGGCCGTGGAGAAGTCGAGCTTGAGCTCGCGGCCCTCAATGAAGTAGCCCTGCATCTTCTCAAACGCAGCCTTGGCGTTGGCGGCCGAGTCAAAGTCGACGTAGCCGAAGCCGCGCGAGCGCTGCATCTCGCGGTCGGTGATGACGCGCGCGCTGACCAGGCCCTCGCAGACCTTGAACTCCTCGTACAGCAGGTTGTCGTCGACCTTCCAGCCCAGGTTGCCGGCGAACAGGGTGCTGCCCTCCTCGGGCGCGGCGGCAGCCTCGCCGTCCACCTCGTCGGTCTTGGCCTTCTTAGCGGTGGCAGGCTCCTCGTCGTCCGCCTTGCGCTTCTTGGAGGGCTCCTCGGTCTTCTCGTCGTCCTCGTCGTCCTCGTCGTCCTCGTCCGAATCGCTCTCGTCCGAGTCGTCCGAGTCATCCGAGTCAGAATCGGAGCCAGTGTCAGAGTCGGACTGCAAGAATGTTTGTTAGCATACTGTATGGAGGCAAGAGTCGGTAAAGCAATGTCTTGGGGTCACTCACGTCAGCCTTGGTCTCCTTCTTCTCGGCCTTGGGCTTCTCCTCCTCCTCCTCCTCGTCTTCGTCCTCCTCGTCAGAGTCAGAATCAGAGTCGGCGTCAGAATCCGACTCAGACTCGGACTCAGACTCCTCCTTCTTGGCGGGCTTCTTGCCGTTGGCCTTGGCCTTGGCGGCGGGCTTCTCCTCAGCCTCCGAATCGGAGTCCGAGTCCGAGTCCGAGTCGGAGTCGCTGGAGGCAGAGTCCTCAGACTCGCTCTCCGACTCGCTCTCCGACTCGACCTTCTTGGCCTTCTTCTCCTTCTTGCCGTTGACGGCCTTGATGGCAACCTCCTTTGCCAGCTTCTTGGACTTGGCGTCCGACGTCTTGGACGGCTTGGTGACGCCGCCGTTCTTGATGCTCTTGATCGGGTCGGCAACAGCCTTGACCTTGGTCTCCTTTGACTTGCCCATTGTGAATGAGTGTGTGTGTTGGGAGAGATGGGTGAGGGGATACAGAGAAATGGGTATGGGGAAAAAGAAGAGTTTTAGAGATAGTGTATAGGATGTAGGAGGAGAGAGGAGAGAGGGAGAGAGAAGACGAAGAAAACTGGTGAAAAAGGCAGGTTGTTATATGGGAGATTGGGGAGGAGGAGCGACCGACCGGGCCTGCCTTCCCTGCACAGGGACCAAACTGCTATCCAGCAAAAACTTTTTTTTGGGCGGCAAAATTCTCTGCAAAATAATTAGCGTGGTTGGTCGGTTACTTTGCCATGGCATAAGTGGGTCCAGGCGGTGAGAGAGCCGACGAGGAAGGCGCAACGCTCCTTGTGGCCTGGATTGCAAGGCATCCAATTTTGGTTTTGCGGCGCCCGCCATTGGCTTTTAGGTGCGCTCGTTTGGCCGGTAATTAGAGCCGGGGGACTCGAACTCCATTGACCGAATACTATCACCACTTTATTACGCAGTACGCACCACGCGGTCCCGGTCGACACAACAACGACTCTCTCCTACACTACCCGCACTCGCACACTCACATTCTTTCCTATTCCGCAATGCCGACCCCCGAGTCGGCCTCGTTCCTGGCCAAGAAGCCGACGGTGCCGCCGACATTTGACGGTGTCGACTACGATGACACCAAGCGCTTAAAGCAGGCGCAGGACGCCATCATCCGCGAGCAGTGGGTGCAGGTCATGATGGGCCGGCTGGTGCGGGAGGAGATGAGCAAATGCTACTACCGGGAGGGCGTCAACCACCTGGAGAAATGCGGCCATCTGAGAGGTGCGTTTGGAAGATCTGGGACACGTTGGCGAGGGTTCGAGGTAGCCGAACCGAGACAATGCTGAACAATGCTGACACGTTGACAGAACGGTATCTGCAGCTGCTCAAGACCGCCCGCGTCAAGGGCTACCTGTTTGAGCAGCAAAACTACTTTGAGAACAAGCAATAGAGCGCCGCGAGTTCGAACACGATTCGGAGGAGTGGATGAGACCCGCGCCCACGGGCCACGACGAACACATCCACCGAGAGGCGAGAAGAGCACGCTACGATCTGATACGACGACGACGGCAGCTTGTTCTAGAGGCCCTGGCATGACATATGGGACATGTGATGAGCGTTGTTTGGAAAGGGAAAATGGGCCGTAAGGGCAAGGCCCCTCCACCGGACCCAATGTACATATCTACTGCGTAAAATGCAATTTTTTTTTTGAAAGCAAAAATCCGGACACGCAGTCTATGACCGTTGCAGTGCGTGCATCTCTCTCAATGCTGCAGGTCTGGACGTCAACGTAAACCATAGTGAAGCAGCTCGTCTCAGAAAAAGCTGCCCCAGATGACCTCCCCCAAAACGGAAGGCACCTGATTGGTTCATTTTGGGTGCTTTTTGCCGGTAGTTGGCACATGATAGGCAAACAAGCACAATGCTGGCAGACAGGCGATAGAAAATTGTCCACGAGATGGCGAGATGTGTTGCAAGTCCATTGCTCTTTTTCAACAAAGTTCAACCGACGTCTATATCCTTTTGGTGGTGATATGATGTTGTTGGTGCATTCTTGATATAGCTGATCACGTGCAGAACGAGGCTATGGACTGCTCGTGTCTAAGATGTCTAACAGACGGGCTAACGCCGAAAATTACAGGCCCGTCCGAACCCTACCAAAAAAAAAACGGGGCCTGTGGACAGAAAAGAGCTTTCTCGCGCCTCAAGTGCTAATAACGTCGTGCGACCAAAGGCTACGAACAATCGACGACGACGACGACGACGACGACGACGACAGCAATCGCCTTTGGCGCGGCCCATACCCTCTCAATTGCCCCTCCACACACACAATGAACGCCTGCCGGACCGCCCTGCTGCGGCGAGCGGTGGCTGCGGCCGCGCCAGCTCGCTTTTCCTCGACTTTTGCAGTCGCATCACGCCGGACAGCAACATCGTCCTCATTACACACCCCCACCGCATCGTCTTCCTCCTCCTCCTCCTCCTTCTTCTCGACCTCCTCCGTCTCTCACAACGCCGCCCCTGCCGACACACCATCACAAGACGGCGCTGCCGCTGCCGCGGCCGCCGCCCCAGCCGCCGAGGCGGATGCAGCCCCGGCGGCGCTGTCGTCGTGCCCCGAGGGCACCGTGCTCGTGGGCCTCAACTACACCAAGGGTAGGACGGACCCTGTTGCCCTGCGGGACGAGGAGTACCCGTCGTGGCTGTGGAACTGCCTCGATGTCATGAAGAAGGCCGCCACGACCGAAGACGCCGACGCTGGTGATGAGTTTTGTAAGTACCTCCTATGGCCCGGCGGATGCCTTGTGGACAACGTCCGCGTCTAACCGTCTTTGTCTTATAGCCAAGAGCAAAAAGCAGCGGCGCATGGCGCTGCGGCGGCAGCGCGAGCTCGAGGCCAAGGTGCTGGCGACGGGCGACCTGACGGCCCTGGCGCCCAAGATCCCCCTGCAGCACCAGACGGTCAACCTGCCGGTGGGCGCGGAGCGGGCCGAGGGCCAGCCGGCGCCGACGCAGCTGGAGGACACGCTGGCGGCGGCAGGCAAGCGCAAGGAGCTGCGGGTGGCGATGCGCAAAGAGCGGCGGGCCAAGATCAAGGAGAGCAACTACCTGCGGTCGATGTAGGCGGCGTACGGATGTTGGGTGTGGTGATGATCAAAACATTTAATAAAAACGGGTGTTGTGCAACGTTCACGGAGCACATTGAGAGGACATTGTACATTGTAAAATTACGTAGAAGCGAGAGCAAAGAACAAACTCCTTCCGATGGTGGTTGTATGTACGTTTTACGGTTGAGAAGGAGGCAGTATATGCACGCGAAATAAAGGTAAAATTGAAATGAAACGTCAACTTGAGAGACCCCACGAGTCAGGAGCCGTGCGGTATTGAGGTTAACAGTGAAATACAGTACATGTCACAAAGAAGAAAGACACAAGACATAAATTGAATATAGAATGAAAAGAGACGAGGCTCCAAATATCCGGAAATCCAGTGACCAAAGAATGCTGTCGCTCAAACGCTGTCATGATCATGAGAGATGGTGAAGAGAAAAAGGAAGAAAAAAAAGAAGCCAGAAGAAACAAGACAGCAGCAAGAAACAACCAAAGCAAAAGTGTGAGGAAAAGGCACAAAATCCACCTCACATTAGTACACAATTATTTGACGCTGCAGGCAATGCTGGCATGGATAGTGCTGGCATGGGCAATGCCGTGTGGTGCCACTCCAGGTGCAGCTGGAAGTCTGTGAGCGACGGGAAGCCGTGCTCGTCCTGCGCATACTTGGTCTGGTCCCCTTCGGCACTGTCGAAATACAGGTACTCGTCACAGTACGGGCACCACAGCCGCGCTTCCCAGTCGCCCGTCATCGGCGGCAGGTGGTTCGCTATCGCCAGTGGTGCAAACACAACGGTGCGTTGTGTGCTGGTATCGGACACGGCCACCGTGGTCGCCTGCCACCGCGGGTAGTCGTCTTCACCGCCCTCACCATCGGGCGCAGCGAGCACAGCAGACACAGCAGACGAAGCTGGCTGTGGTATTGACGACAGCTGTGCGGACGGTCGTCGAAAGGTTGGTAGTGGTGTGGCTTGTGCGGATGCCGTCGTTTTCGGGGCGGTAAATGGTGGAAAGGTGGCGGGTGTGGAAGACGAGGAGATGGCGGCAGGCGGTAGACGTGTCGTGGGCAATCGCTGCACATCCTCCCATACGATATGGCCATCGCAGAAGTCGCAGATGAAGGCAATGTCACGGTCGCCAAAGCGTTCAAACGTGCCGACGGCGTTGCAGTAGGGCACAAGTTCCTCGAGTGTTGGTGGTTTCGGTGGCGGAGAAGGAGGTTCGTCGGGGTGGAGGGGTATCGTTGTTTGTGCCGGCTCAAACGAGCCGGTAAAGGTGGAGGGTGTAGGTAGTGGTGTCGTTGCAGACGTCGACATTGGTGCAGGTGCGGGGATCGCTGCTGGTATAGATGGTGCTCTTGTCGATGCTTTCATAGCTGATTTGAGGAGAGGCCTTGCTGAGGCTGGATTGGCGCTTGCGTTTTGGGGCGGAGGGGGAGCATGTCGGGGTTGTGGTGTCATCTCGAGGCTGTCACCTTCGTCGTCGTGCGTGTCATTGTATGCTGTCCGGCCGCGGAACCGCTCTTGGCCAGCAAACATCCGCCGTTCGCGCGCCCGTAGCTGTGGCAGCTGCTGCTTCCATGCCGGGGTGCTTGGTATGGTTTGGGACTGGCTACCGTTCTGGCCGCTGCTCCCGTCTTGTTTTTGGTATGCCTGGTCACGGACTTGTTGTTTCCGGAGGTCTTCCTGCTCGCGAAATCGGCGGTACACCAGGAACGCACCCAAGCAGCGAGCACCGCTGCCGCTGCCATCGCCGGCCTCGTGTTCAGCGTTGAATATGCGGCGTGCGGCGCGGCACTGTGCGCGGTGCAACTGGCGGCGCAGGTGGACGGTCTCGCGCACCCAGAGCGGGTTGATGGGTCCGCCCGATCGTATCCAGTCGCGGAAGAGCTGTGTGTGGTCTTCGAAGTAGCCGCGTAATGAAGACAGCTCGGCGAGCGATTCGGCTGGGATTGTTAGTTGAATGGCACACGAGTATGTATGTAAACAACGAAAAAAACCAAATGGAAGGAGGACAAGGCATACGTTTCCGGTCGTTTTCATAGTAGAACTGGCCGTTGACGAGCGGGGCCATGGCCTGGAAGTCGCGCTTGGCCTCGTCGAGTGCTTCTTCGACGGCGCGGACCTGCTCGAACTCGTCGGGTCCCCAGCCGCGCTTGTCGGCGAACATGAGGATGCGTAGGACGTCCTGGAGAGCCGTGGCGATGGCGGCGAGCAGCGAGCCAACGGTCTCGGTGGGCGTGGGCGTGGGCGTGGGCGTGGCTCTAGAGGTAGGTGTGGAGGCGGAGGTGGACGTGGACGTGTCCATGGTGGGATTGGTCTGGCTGGCCATTTCACGTTGGTCGGCGGCCCATTCACTTGGCCCGTCGTCTCGAATCGCGTTTCTGTATTGTCTCGCCGTCAGGAGCTCGAGCTCTCGTCGGGCCTCTACCGGCCGCGTTCGCTGGTCGGCCGAGTGCAGAGGACGGCGTGCGGCGGCAACATGCTAGGGAGCGGCGACGGTGGTGGCTGGCGCGTGTTGCGTTGCTTCGTGCCGTTGTCTATCGTTGTCTATCGTCGTTGTCTATCGTCGTTGTTTATCGTTGTTTATCGTTGTTGTCAATCGTTGTTGTCTATCCTTCGTCGCCCTGGTTTGTCATCTCTGGCTGGTCGTCCCGTCTCGTTTGTTGTTTGCTGTCGCTGTCGTGGGGCGAGAGACGCAGCGTCTGAAATTTGACAACTCAAAAGTATGGAGCAAGACTGCGCTCTGCTTACGCCCAGGCGTTTTTGCTCTTCTCTTTTCGATGTCCTCTGCACTTTGTACTTTTTCCTCTTCTTGCTCTCGTCTATCGCGGAAACGTGGACGCCGTCGCCCGCTCGCTGGACCGAACGGGGAACGGGGAAATTAGCGAGTTTGAAATGGCGAAATGGCAAAATGGCATCCGTCAGCCAAGCCTCGCTCGACCCTTTCGTCGGTTCCTGCGCCCAGGCTGGAGAGACACAGGAATGCTCCGTATGTTCGGATCTTTGCTGTTGTGTCTTTTGCGGCTAAGGCAGCAGCGTGCGACGGTTTCGCTGCCAAGCTTTTGTCGATTGACTTTAACTTGGTCCCTTTTAGTTGTCGGATTGGGGCCTGCTTGTTGACGCGAGAGCTGTATTGTTTGTCTTTGCGTTGTTAGGCCGATTGTCGCTTATCTCGTTTCTTGCTTTTTTGTTGTTTCGAGATGGATTTGCGTTTTAGTGTCCATGCAGGCAACGAATTGATGACTGGTTCCTGTCTCTGCTTTGTCCCCAATCCTTCCTTCCTTCCCTGCACGACCTACACGTGCCTGCCATTACAACCCATTACAACGACGACGTAAGATACAGTGTCCTTGGCGCTCCGCTCCTTCCTTAACCCATTTCCTCAAAGCCCAGTTAAAAAAGGAAGGAGGCAGCCGGGAGCAGGTTGTGGCTCGAAACGTAGCTGATCCACAGTAGCCGATAGCATAGCACCGGGCACACCATTGTTAAGGGGCGGGGATTGTAGTGATGTTTACGAAGTGCGTGGTATTTCATGAGCGGTTTGCCTGGTCTTTCTCTGTTTGCAGATCCTGGGTACCTCTGCCCAGTGCTGAATTTTCTGCGTGGCTCCTTCCTTTGCCCACTCTCCTTTCTCGGTCGCGCCTTCTCTCCTTATCCAGGCTGTTCTATCGAAGGATTCAGCCGCTGGGACATGCGGAAGGTACGAGTGTCAGTGAGTTCGTAACGTGTTCTCGTGTTCGCTGCAATCGGCCAGGGTCTGCGGGGCACACCACTCAGACTACTCTAGTGTTGCTGCTATTTCTGGCACCTGCCGATGATTTCTGGCGCCGTACGGCGTATGCTCAATATCATTTCGTTTACAATTGGTTTTGGCCTGGTATTCCTTCTGGCGTCGGTCGTTCCTGCCAGAACAATGAGCAGCCCAATTGTGCACGGCGCCAAGACGTAAAGGGTCGTTCTTTCTGCAAAAATGGGCGTTGGCACTAAAATGAACTAGGCGGGCCACTGTGCGCAACCATGCCAGGGGTGCTCTTTCCCTCTCGAATGTGATTTGTTTCGCAGTCGTGCCTGCTTCTGGAACAGCCACCAATTCAGCCTTACAGGCAGGCACAGAACGCATTAGCGGGCAGAGCGCCACGGCAAGGACCCCCTTCTCCAAAAGCAAAAAGACTGGTCGAGACCGTCGATGTCTTGCGACGCACAATTGCATAACGCGGAGCTCCGAGTCCGACGACATTGCGACCGCCCGTTTCATGCCCCGTCTCCGGCCGTCGCTGTTTTGGGGTGCACGCCGATTCTCGCCGGGCGCAGCCCTGCTGCTGCCCGTCTGTCGTGACCTACCGTCGGCGCTGACGGAGCTTCGCTGGATCCAGGCGCACGTGGATGGACCGGACACGAAAACGGCCGACGCTGGGCGGAGGCCGAGCCGACGGCGCAGCGCCAAAGGGCGGCAGAAGGTCCTCGCGCTGTGTCGGAGGCGTGGCCGTGGCGAGCCTTTGCAGTACGTCCTGGGGACGCAGCCGTTTGGGCCGCTGGATCTTCTCTGCCGGCGAGGTGTCTTGATTCCGAGGTGAGCATTGGGTTTCTTTCGCTTCTTTCGCTTTTTTCGCACAGTCTTGCTGATGCCTGCCGACAGACCCGAACCAGAAGCATATTCCATGCACCTCGCCGACTTGCTGTTGCAGGAGAGGGCGCGAGAGTCCTCCCATGGGGCGCTACAGGCACCGATCACGATCCTTGATGCGTGCACAGGAACGGGCTGCATTGCCCTGCTGCTGTATGCCCGGCTGCGCCAGCGGGCCGAGGCAGCGCGTAGGGCGCCGGTGCGCGTCGTCGGCGTCGACCTGGTGCCAGCCGCCGTGTCCCTGGCCCGAGCCAATGCCGTCCGGAATGGGCTTGCGTCCGGACAGGAGGGATCGTCCACGGCCTCGTCCCGGTCGGCGTCGTCGGTCCGCTTTGTCCAGGGCGATTTGTTTGCCGACGACGACTGGCTGCACGAGCCGGCCGTTCAAAATCTGCTGCAGCAGACGGACGGGGCACAGTCCCCGCGCCTCGACGTCCTGGTGTCCAACCCGCCGTACGTCTCGACGGACGGCTTTGCACGCGACACAGCCCGGTCCGTCCGCCTGTTCGAACCGAAGCTGGCACAGGTGCCTGACGTGGTGCGGGCGTCCCTCGACAACAACCATGGCCAACCGTATCGTGACGCCACCGCCGCCGCCGCCGAGGACGTATTCTATGTGCGCCTGTTGGACCTTGCCGCGCGGCTGGATGCGCGAATACTGTTGTGCGAGACCGGCGGGCTAGAACAGGCCGAGCGTGTGGTGGCATTGGCGTTGGCAAAGGCGGCGGCAAAGGCGTCGGCAAATGCGTCGCCGTCTCTTCTCGAGGTGGAGATCTGGGCGGACCAGCCGGACATTGTGGACGTAGACGACCTCGACCGGTCCGTCACAGTGGCTGGACGGACTGTCGCTATTAAAGGCAGCGGCCATGGCCGGTCCGTGTTTATACGGCGGAGGTGACGGTGTTGTGCGGCGTAAGATGATATGTGATAGTATGTTACATTTATATACATGGATACCCTTATGTCCTTTGTCCTTTTTTTTCTTCTTTTTTCTTCGTTTTTCTTCTTTTTTCTTTTCTTTGCCCACTTAGAAAACAAAATTGACCAACTTGCCGTTGCGGACGACAATGGTCTTTTTGGCCTGGCGAATGTCGACGCGGCCGTCGCCCGCTAGCCGGGCGCGGCCCTCGTCGGTGGCCAGGACGGCGTCGGCAAGCCAAGCACCGAGAGCCTGGCCTTGCAGGTCGGCCGGCGCGCGGGGGATGTCGACCGCGCACCGCAGCTTGCCGTTGATCTGGACGGCGCAGTTTTGCAGGCGCGGCTGCAGCCAGGCAGCGGAGCCGTCTTCGCGGGGGAAGACGTTGTTGGGCGCCGCCGCTGGGTTCGGCGTTGAACCGAACAAGCCGGCCGACGACGGCTCCAGCCGACTCCAGCACTCCTCGGCAAAGGCAGGCGTGATCGGGGCGACCATGCGCACGACGGCGGACACCGCGGCGCGCAGGACCGAGGGGGTGACGACGCCAGCCTCCTGGGCCGCCACCAGCGTGTTGGACAGGCGCATGAGATCCGACACGACGGTGTTGAGCGCGTAGATGCGCGTGTACGAGGCCGTCACCGAGGCAATGGTGGTCTGCACCTCGCGCCAGACCGCCGCGTCGGCGTCCCAGCGGGCCATATCGCTGCTGTTTGTGTTGCTGCGGCGGGCCTTTAAGTCGTCGGCCACAGACGTTGTCGACTGTGCCTCCTTTGCGTCCACCTCGGGCAGGGCGACGACGAGGTCGTGGACACGGCCGAGCCAGCGCGTGACGCCCGTGATCTTGTCCTCGTCCCAGTTGAGGACGTCGGCGACGGGCGCCTGGAAGAGCATGTGGGCGCGCGTGGCGTCGGCGCCGTGGCGCGCAATGGTGTCGGTGGGGTCGACGCCGTTGTGCTTGGACTTGCTCATCTTCTCGTAGGCGACGGCGGCGGGTCGGCCGGTGGCGCGGACAATGGGACGGGCGGGGTCGTCGGCGGTGTCCACCTCGCTGGGAAGCAGGTAGCGGCCGGTGTCCGGGTCGACGAGTGTCTTGCCGTGGACCATGCCCTGTGTGATGAGGCGGGCGAAGGGCTCGTGGATGGGTGTCGAGGAGGACGTGTCCGTGGCAGCCTGACTCTCACCGGCCGGCGGCGCGCCGACCAATTCCGACGTCATTAGCACTTTGTAGATGAAGCGCGCATACAGCAAGTGCAGGATGGCGTGCTCGATGCCGCCCAGGTACAGGTCGACAGGCAGGTTCTGCACGGCCTTGTCGGCAGCAAAGGGGGCGTCGGCGTTGTGCGGGTCGACAAAGCGCATGTAGTACCAGCTCGAGTCGACAAAGGTGTCCATGGTGTCGGTGTCGCGCTTGGCGGGGCCGTGGCACGACGGGCAGGGCACATGGGCCCAGTCGGCGGCGGCAGGCGATGCCAGCGGGTTGCCGCCGTCCTTGGCGGCGAAATGCGGCTCGACGTCGGGCAGCGTCACGGGCAGGTCCGTCTCGGGCACGGGCACGGCGCCGCAGCGGTCGCAGTGGATGATGGGAATGGGGGCGCCCCAGTAGCGCTGGCGGCTGACGAGCCAGTCGCGCAGGCGCCAGCGCTCCGTGGCCGTGGCCAGCCCGGCGGCCTCGAGCATCGCCAGCAGCTGGGCGCCCGCCTCCTGGGACGGGCGGCCCTGGAAGGGACCGCTGTGGGCCGTCATGTAGCCGTGGCCGACGTACGGTGCGTCGCCGTTGGCCGTGTTGTCCGCCTTGTCGTCCGTTTTGTCGTCCTTGTCGACGTCGAGCACCGTGGTGGCCTCGTCCTCCGACGCGGCGAGCACGAAGCGCACAGGGTCGGCGCCGCGGTGCTGGCGCCAAAACGCATGGTCGCGGACGTCGTGGCCCGGCACGCCCATGACGGCGCCCTCGCCGTAGTCGCCCAGCACGTAGGGCGCGACGTAGACGGGCAGGGACTCCTTGGCGGCGTCGGGGGTGCTGTCGTGGTAGGCCAGCGGGTTGATGGCGCGCAGGTGCGGCAGCAGATAGCCGACCTTGGCGTCGGGCGGCAGCGCGGGCAGGGTGTCCAAGAAGGCCTGCAGCTCCGGGTCCGACTGGGCGAGCGTCTGCACGACCGGGTGCGACGCGGCCAGCGCGACGTACTGCACGCCGAGCAGCGTGTCGATGCGCGTCGTGTACACCTCCAGCGCCGACGGCACGCCCTGGCCGTACGCGAGCAGCGGGAACTTGACGAGCGCGCCCGTCGAGCGGCCCAGCCAGTGGCGCTGCATGGCGAGCACGCGCTCGGGCCAGGCGTCGTTCTCGGCCAGCACGGCGAGGTCGGCCAGCAGGGCCTCGCGGTAGGCGGAGATGCGCAGGAACCATTGTTTGAGGCGCCGCTTCTCGACGACGGCGCCGGACCGCCACGAGCGGCCCTGGGCGTCGACCTGCTCGTTCGCCAGGACGGTCTGGTCGACGGGGTCGTAGTTGACCTCGGCCTCGGCCTGGTATGCCAACCCGCGCTTGTGCAGCAGCAAAAAGAGGCGCTGGGTGTGCTTGTAGAAGTCGGGCTCGCACGTCGACAGCTGCCGCGACCAGTCCCAGCTGCCGTTCATGCGGTCGAGCTGCGCACGCATGCGTTCGATGTTGGCGCGCGTCCACGTGGCCGGCTGCACGCCGCGCTCGCGTGCGGCGTTCTCGGCGGGGAGGCCAAAGGAGTCCCAGCCCATGGGCAGCAGCACGTCGTGGCCCTGCAGGCGGTAGAAGCGGGCGACGACGTCGGCAATGGCGTAGACGCGCAGGTGGCCCAGGTGGAGGTTGCCCGAGGGGTAGGGAAACATGGGGAGGACATATTTGAAAGGGCGCGGCGAGGTTGCGGAGGAGGAGGAGAAGGAGGAGGATGGCAAAGATGTGTCAGACGAAGCCGACTCGGCGGCAGCCACCCATTTTGCCTGCCATTTCTGGTCGAGTGCTAGCAAGTCGACTTTGTGGTGTCCGTGATGGGACCCTGCGGCGTCGGCGTGGCCGCGTCTCTGCTGACACGCGCTGTGGGTGACGAGAGGTGATGTGGCCGAATTTGTGGCCGAATTTGTGACGAGATTTGTGACGAGGCCGGCAGAGGTGGTCCAGCAGCCGCGGTGCGCCCGAGACGCCAGCCGTCGACGCAATGCTGCTTGTACCGGCACGCTGCCTAGGAATCGTCCATTGGAGAGCGGCATGGTGGTGAGGGCATGGTCCTTGGAGACACGGTGACGGTTGGCAGAGTGGTGAGTGAAGGCCAATGGACAGTGAAGGCCAATTGAGATCCGTTGTTTCTGCTGCTGTTTGGTGGGCCTTTTCTTATCGCGCGATAAGGCAGGAGCTGCAAACTGTACCTGCCGTCATTTTACAGGCAGCTGGTCGCGTGGGGTCTCGAGTGGGGTTAGCGCTCCTGCCCAAAACAGCCACTAACAACGGCAGGTGGCACTGGCTACAATCTGGCGTCGATGATGCAAGACGGGCAGCATTGGACTGGGGCGTTTTAACGTTATCAAGGCGACATGAGACTGCAAAGCTAGTGGTCCTCTGGGACGAAATACAGGCTGAACTGTGACTCACATGCGAAGCAGGCGCACGAGAGGCTGTTCTTGGCAGCGTCGACAGCTGGAGGCCATACCATGGCCGTTGTGACGAGAGGCCGAAAGAATGCCCACCGTCGAGTGAATCGTCGTCCAACTGCTCCGTCATACATCGGAACGCAATGGCCCCGCCGACAGACGAAGAAAAGGACGTGCTGCAGCAGGCTCTATTGGCTCGCCTGGCACCGACGCCGTTTGCCTGCACCGGTCCACTCACAGCGCTCACGAGCGGAACAACCAACTTTGTCTTCCGGGGCGTGCTTGCGCATCCGACAGCCGACGGGGCGCCGAGCATCGTCATCAAGCATGCGACCGACTATGCGGCAGCGAACAAGGACTTTCCCTTGGACGTGACGCGATCTGTACGTCGTCGCTGCGAACGCTGCGAATGGTGCGCATCTATGCCTCCTGGTAATTACTGACAGCGGCAGCGCTTTGAAGAGACGATGCTGAATGCGTTGAACGACCTCCCACGGGAACGGGAACGGCTCAAGACGTCTTCAGACGGCCTGGCAGCACCGTTCGAAGCAAAGGCGCCGCGGCTGCTGTGGTTTGACCGGGCCACCAACACGCAGGTCCTCGAGGACTTTCCGGCCGCCGTCGACCTCAAGTCCATGCTGCTGGCGACCGTCAACCCAGGGACAGAGACGAGGCATGCTCTCGCACAGGATGCGCAGCTCAGTCGCTCCATCGGCGTCGCGCTGGGCGCATGGCTGCGCTCCTTTCATGCTTGGACGTCGGAGCGCGGGGCGGCCCGTTCGACGCTCCGGCGGGCCATGGCAGCCAACGAGCCCATGCGCCGGCTGAAGCGCCAGATCACGTACGACGCCCTGGTCCGCGTGGTCGCGCAGTTCCCAGACGCCCTGGGGGATCGTCTTCCGATTCTCGAAGCGGTGCAAGCCGCGGCAGCCGCCGAGTTTGACAAAACGCCGCCGGCCGAGGGTGACGACGACGACGAAGACTGGGGCATCATCCACGGCGACTTTTGGTCGGGAAAGTGAGTCAACGCGCACCTCGGCCGACTTCATTTCCGTCTGCTACGGCTAACTCTTCCAGCATCCTCCTCCCCGACGAGGGCCACCTCAAGCCGCATGCGCCTGGGCAGCCGCTCTTCGTCGTCGACTGGGAGTTTGCGCAGTACGGCCGCCGCGCGTACGACATTGGCCAGCTGCTCGGTGACCTGGTCGAGCGCGACCACTTCCGAGGCGCGAAAGCGTCACGGGACGTCCTTACCGGGTTCGTGTCAGGCTACTTTGGCGAGGCCGACGAAAAGACAAAACGCCGACGTGCGTTCCGCATTGCCATCCACGCCGGCGTCCAGCTCATCGGCTGCTTCATCCGGCGCGCCCCCACGGGACCACTGCCCGGCACGCCCGAGCAGGTCCAACAGGCCATCCAGCTGGGCACAGATTTTGTGGTCAAGGCCTGGATGAAAGACCGTGACTGGTTCCAGAACAGCGTCCTCGCGCCATTATTTGAGTAAGGGGAAGGGAGGCGAAACAAGTATTGAATGCATCTCAAGCACGCCGTATGTAGATCCACGGCAAAGCCAGCCAAGCCAAGCGCCTGCAGGTGTGCAAAGGGATGCGGAAACAATGCCAGACGAATGTTGTATTTAGTATAGAGTCCTCCTATTACCGGGCAAATTGGGATGTGTTTATGCTCCCCCTGAGAACGGACACTGGAGATGGTAAAATGACCCTATTTCACCAGAATCCACTGGAGCCACTCTGGACGCACAAGCTCCTGCCAAAACCAGAAGGGGCCAGTGCTGGCTGTCGTATTTTTTGGCTTTTATTCGGTGCCACTTGCTCCTTCCGCACTGTCATTGGTTGGCGCAGCTGCCTGTTCTGTCCTGTGCGCGCCGAATGCTCCTTCCAAAAGGCACCTCCAACAGGCCCGCCAGGGGCGACGTTTTCGGAAGGCAGCCCTTGCTTTGTGCCACAGATCTGGCCCCTGCCTTTTCGAGCAAGATCTGGACGGCTTACTAGCCACTTAGCCACGGACGATTCCCAAACATCGCCTGGATGCATTTTTGATGCATTTTGATGATTTCATCACCAGCGTCTTCTCTTCCACTCTGACGACTGCCACGAGTTTTCTGCAACGACGAGGCGCACCGGACGTATAGCATTTCCATTTGTCCTTCTTCACACGGCGCATTCCCTACTACGGCATTAATCCAGCGCTTGCATCTTGGCACACGACGGCGACTTTCAAGCATCTTGTTTCTGTTGACTCTTGCTTTGGACAGCTCTGTCGCCCGCGACGATCGCGGACGACCGCTGCAGCTTCATAATTGTACGGCGCCGCCCAACCGACGACCCGTGGCCGCCATGCGCCGAGGCACACAGTGATCCCATCCCCTGACAACGACGATCAACAACCGACCGTCGTCATATTCGTCCTGAATCCGACCACTGCATTTCCGACCACTGCATTTTCTTTCGCCTCCCCCCCTCCTCCTCCCCCGATGCCTGTCGCATACGCCAGCCTCCAGCCGCACACGCGCGACTCGCTGGAGCTCGCATCCCTGGCCAGCTCCAGCCAGGTCGATGCGGGCTCGAATGCAAGCAGTGCCGACGGCGGCGTGGCGTCGTCGCGGCCCAGCATCTCGTCGTCGCGCAAGGCGTCACTCGAGCGCGAAGACCCGCTCGACTTTCACAACCCGGCCGCCCTGGGCCGCCGCGACAGCGACGACTACGACGAGGAAAATGACGACGGCAACCGACCATTACGATACGGCGGCAGCGGCAGCGGCAGCGGGGCACGACCGGGCGGCCATGGCCGCACATTCTCCGTCTCGTCGGGCTTCGACCTGGCCGCCAACCTGTTTCCCCTGTCGTCGACCGCCGGCGGCGACGGGTACGCGCCCATTGGCGCCCCCACGTCAGCGGCGGCCGGCAGCGGCGGCGGTCTGCTGGGTGCGGGCTCGCTCGAGCGGCACAAGACGCTGACGTATCTCAACGGGCTGTCGCTGATCGTTGGCTTGATTATCGGCTCGGGCATCTTCTCGTCGCCGAGCCTGGTGAACGCCAACGTCGGGTCGCCCGGCGCGGCGCTGCTGGTGTGGGTGGTGGCGGGCGTGCTGGCGTGGACGGGCGCGGCGAGCTATGCGGAGCTGGGCGGGGCGATCCCGCTCAACGGCGGGTCGCAGGTGTACCTGGCCAAGATCCTGGGCGAGCTGTTTGGGTTTTTGTTTACGTGGGTTGCCGTGCTGGTGCTCAAGCCCGGCAGCGCGGCCATCATCGCGCTCATCATGGGCGAGTACCTGGTGCGCGCCGTCGTGGGTGCCGACGCCGTCGACGTCAGCCCCTGGATCAACAAGTCCGTGGCGCTGCTGGGCGTGCTGCTGGTGACGCTCATGAACAGCGTCTCCACCAAGCTGGGCACGCGCGTCAACGACCTGCTCATGTTCCTCAAGTTCGTGGCGCTGCTGGGCGTCACCGTCACGGGCATCGTCGTGGCCGCCACGGGCTACGCGTATGCGGGGCAGCCGAGCCTCGACTGGAAGACGCGCGCGTGGTTTGCCGGCACGAACCTGGACGCGTCGGCCTGGGCCGTCGCCGTGTACGCGGGGCTCTGGGCCTTTGACGGCTGGGACAACACCAACTACGTCGTCGGCGAGTTCCGGAACCCGCGCCGCGACCTGCCGCGCGTCATCCACACGGCCATGCCGCTCGTCATTGGCTGCTATGTGCTGGCCAACGTGGCCTACTTCTTGGTCCTGTCGCTCGACGCCATCAACGCCACCAACACCGTCGCCGTCGTCTTCGGCGCCAAGGTCTTTGGCCCCGTCGGCGCCCTCGTCTTTGCGCTCGTCGTCAGTGCCTCGTGCTTTGGCGCCCTCAACAGCTCGACGTTTACTAGCAGCCGGCTCGTGTACGTCGCCGGCCGCGAGGGCTACCTGCCGGCCGTGTTTGGGCGGATCGGCCTGGGCGCGGGCGACGAGGCCGGCGGCGCAGGCGGCGGTCCGTTGGGGGCCTTGGGCGGGGGTAGCAGTGGCGGCGGCGGCGGCAGCGGCGGCCGTCTCCGCACACGTATCCACGCGCCGCACAGCCGCTCCTGGTTCGGCCGCCTGTTTGCGCGCCTCGTGGCCGACGAGGACACGGGCCTCTTCTTCACGCCCATCTACGCGCTCGCGCTCAACTGCGCGCTGACGTGCATCTACGTCTTTGTGGGCGAGTTCGGCACGCTGCTCACGTTTTACGGCGTCGCCGGCTACACGTTTTACTTTTTGACCGTCCTCGGCCTCATCGTCCTGCGCGTCAAGGAGCCGCACCTGGAGCGGCCCTACAAGGTGTGGATCACGACGCCCATCATCTTTTGCTGCGTCTCGCTCTTCCTGTTGAGCCGCGCCGTCTTTGGCCAGCCGCTGCAGACGGTCATTGTCGTGGGCTTTGTGCTGGCCGGCGTGCCCGTCTACTACTGGCGCGTCTGGTCGCAGCGCCGCAGCGGCAGCAAGCGGGAGCGCGGCGACGGCGGCGACGGCGTGCCGTGGTACAAGTTTTGGCAGACATGGCGGCGGTGAAGAAGGTGAGGAAACGGCGAGGAAACGGCCGTGGAGGATGGCCGTCTCGCACATTGCGTATGTCATTTTGGAGTTTGTATTTTATCCATGACGGCTTGACCCCATCGGGGCTTGTCTTGCATAGCAACGGGGTTTTGAATGAAAAGTCTTTCGAGGACAATGCATTGAGTGGTCGTCTGCGTCGTCGTTCGTTTGAAGTTCCTCTCTTACATAAGCAAGCTCCACTAAAAAGTTGACAGCACTCTGGCGGGGTCACCGGTGACTGTTCGGTGCAGCGCAGCGGCCAACTACGTAATTCAGCATCCTTAGCACTGGGGGACCGCTAAAAGATTTGACGTGACCTGCATCTCCATCGCACTCTTCATTCACGCGTCTCACCACCGCACAAGCACAACTGCAGCCATGTCGAGCCGACAATTGAAGAAGTTGCGCGCGCAGGAAGAGAAGAGAGCGCAGACGTCGGGCCGTGCCCATGCGGACGAGGCCAACGAGAACAACGACGGCATCGACGACGATGAGGACGAAGCCGACGTCGACACGCGACCACGGCCCAAGAACGTGTTTGCTGCATTTGCCGCATTAGGCGACGAGGGCGACGACGACGACGACGAGAAGGAAAAGGACGACGACGAGGCAGACGAGCAGCAGCCACAGGTCAAGGACGCCAGCGACGCGGCTCGACCAGCACCAAAAGCGGGCAAGAAGAAAAAGAAGAAGAAGAAGGGCAAGGGAGGCAAGCCAGCAGCAGCAGCAGCAGCTACGGCACCGACAGCACCGGACGGCCTCGACGAGATTGACCGTGCCCTCGAAGAGCTGCGGCTGAAAGAGGGGGCCAAGGCGGGCACCGCAGACCAGGCAGGCGGACCCCACAGCAACAACAGACGCACCCTCGACGCCGCCGCCCACGACATCCGGGTCAGCTTTGCGGACCTGCGCGTGCTCAACGAGCTGCGCGAGGTGTTTGGGCGCGACATTGTGCAGGCGGCGGCCGCAGACGATGCGCTGGGCGTGCCCGGGCGGCCGCGCGGCGAGGCGGGCGAGGCGGGCGAGGGCGGCAACCCGAACGTGGTCATGATGGACCTCGAGTCGTTTCTGCGCGCGCCGCCGCCGCCGCCGCGTGGGATGGTGTACGTGGGCGCCAACGGGCAGCGGCTGCCGTCTGCGGGCGGTATGGCCGGCCTGGTGGCCAAGCGCAACCCGTTTATCCAGTGGAAGGACACGTGGCCGCGGGGGACGTCGGGCGGGCTGGCAATGCGGCAGGTGACGGATGCCAAGGTGGTGCCAGGGACAGCGGCGGGGCGGGGCGTCGTAGAGTATGCGTTTGTGCACAGCCCGGCGTACGTGGTCCTGGAAGACGAGTTCTTCACGCTGGTGATGATGCACAACCCGCAGCCGCTGATTCAGTTCCTGCGGGACCACCCGTTCCACATTGCGTCGCTGATCCAAATCAGCCGCGTGGCCAAGCTGCAGGACCAGAACGCGTCGCTGGCGGCCGACCTCTGCGAGCGGGCGCTCTTTTCGTTTGGCCGGTCGACGCTGTCGTCGTTCCGGCAGACGCTGGCCGAGGGCCGCGCGCGCCTGAGCTTCTACCGGCCCGAGAACCGCCAGTTTCTGCTCGCGGGCTACCACTACGTGCGCAGCCTGATGGCGCGCGGCACCTACCGCACGGCGCTGGCGTGGACGAAGCTGTTTATGAGCCTGATGCCGCACGACGAGTATGCGCTGGTGCTGTATGCGCAGGCGCTGGCCGTGCGGGCGTTTGAAGCGCGTTGGCTGGTGTCCTACCTGGGCACGCCGAGGAATGGCAGCGACGAGGGGGAGAAGGAGGAGGGGGAAGAGGACGAGACGGTCCCGGCTCTGCGCAACAATTCGATGCGCGACTACATCCGGCAGTCGCTCGTGCCGGCCCTTTTGCAGACAAAGGATGTGGACGGCGCAAAGACGGCCCTGGCCCGCGGCATGGCGCGTCTGCCCTGGCTGTACGGTGCGCTGTTCCAGGCGCTGGGTCTCGACGTGCCGCGGGCCGTCTGGGGTGTCCCGCCCCGCGACGACCGGGAGACGCTCTACACGCAGCTGTACGTGCACCTCGCCAAGGAGCTGTGGGACGCGCCCCAGGCGCGCGCGCTCCTCCGCGAGGTGGCCGACGGCCTGTCCGCACAGCCCAAGGTCGACGCCGCGACGTTGCCGCCGGCGCCGCCCATGACGCTCAGCCTCGCGCGCTTTGTGTACCTGGACGGCACGCCGGCGCTCATGGCGCTCGTGCCCCGCGACATGCTCCACGCGGCGCCCAACTACGACTTTGACCCGCTGCCGCCCGCGCGCGAAGCCAACGAGTTCTCCAACCGGTCGCAGGTGCGGCCCTGGATCATGGCGGCGAGCGACCGGCAGCATGGCGGGCACCGCCAGATGCCGGTGCTGCCGGACGATTTCCTGATGCCGGGGCAGCTGATTGAAGTGGAGGAGGCTGATGATGATGACGACGAGGATGACAACGAGTACGACGAGGACGACGAGTACGACGACGAGTTTGAGGTGGCCGAGGACGAAGACTACGCCGAGCCAGCACCCACAGCCGCGGACACGCCCGCGTCAGCGCCACGGCAAAGTCCGGGCGGGAGTGGAGGCGGTGGCATGCCGGGCGCATGGTTTGACGATGATGCGTAGGGGCGAGACACAGCCAAACGAAGCCCAACGAATTCAAACATAGAAAATAGACATTGTATCTTACATCTTGGGAACCAAGACAAGCGCCAACAACAAGGGTTGCGAGCACGGCAGATGTCTTGCATGAGTGTTGCTCCGTTTGATTCTGTCTGCACCCACGGCACGCAAGCAGGCGAGCCGCCGGCGCAACGATTCGCTACCAGCTGTTCGTAACATGCATGGTAGCATCCATCATTGGAACAGAGACGCGAGACTGACCTATGATCGGCATGGCGTGGCGTGCTGGCTGTAACGTCGTCGTGAACATTTTCGCCTTCTCAACGGCTCTGGCCGTGCCAAGCGATCAAACCCCGACGGGCCGCAGAGAGGGGCGAGGACAGAGTGCAGTAGTGTAGTGGGTAGTGCATTTCAAAGCAAGCTTGTCGGGACTTTGGCAATTGTTGTGCGTCGTCCATCCGTCGTGTCTGGCGTCTCTGATTGTTTAGAAGAGGCTTTTGCGACAGACATTTGAGCATGTTTCAGCTTGATCAAGATGATTTGCAGGGAAGGAGAGATAAGGAAGGAGAGATACGGAAGTGGAAGGAGGTCGACAGACCGAAAACAGAAGGACCTGGGGGCCGTTCAGACAATCGTTTCATGTTGCTTCCACGCCAGAGGGAAGGAGTGAGCCTTGTCTCTCGGACGAGAAACAAGGTCCGACGGCAGGTGCCACCGCAGGCACAGAAACCAGCAGCACATATGACGCAGCGGACAAAGGACGCAACAGAGACAAGTGTTGCCAACACATGCCATACGCCGTAAGTACTCCCTTTCCCAACTGTCTTACAGCTGACCTCCCAAAAGAGATGCTCGTCTCACGGCGTGGAACACGCACTCAGACGTGGTCGGTTCACTTTACGCACAAATGGCGCAGATGCTTCGAGGGTTTGGAGAAGGAGCGAACGGACATCTCGAGTTCCTTCCTTTGGCATTGAGACTCAACGCACCCAAAGCAAAGCCAGAGATGTCTACAATATACAGAGTATGCACTTGGCCGTGCCAGTTGGAAGACGCTCTATGACCGTCTCGAAGCATGCAAGACACACATTGCAATGGTGCTCGACCGGAATGGTGACAGCGAGCACGCAATAGATGCGACAAAGGGTTTCTCGCAGAGGCCCGCGACGTTTGGAGTCAGCCCCTAACCCACTCTTAGCCCACTGTAATCCCCCCCCTATAGACCCCCCAAAGACCCCCTAAAGACCCCCTAACGGCTCCTAACGGCCCCGTAACATTATTAATCCTCGGTGCGTAGGCGGACCGCTCGCTAAATTGGGGCACTGGGGCAGCCCCATGCCCTCTGACGTGTCCCAAACCTGCTCAGAAACGGCAGTGGAAGCCGTGTGCCGAGCCCTTGTTAGCCTGTGCCCAGCCCCGAAACAGCGGCACACCTCCCTGCCGCACCCACACGCCCCCTCCTAAGCGCTGTCGCAAGTCGATTTCTAATGCTTCTGACGACTTCTCTCAGCGACTGCTCTCAGCGACTTGCTCTCTACAAAAGGACGACGACCACCACCGTCTGAGACTTTATCTGGGCCAAACTCACAACAACGAACAACGCACACTCTCACCACGAACCATACACATTTACCCATCACCACTGCCAAGACATCCCATCCACCCGCATACGCACCTACTCACCCACCCACGCACATCACAATGGCCGACCACACCTACAAGTTCAACGTCAGCATGTCCTGCGGCGGCTGCTCCGGCGCCGTCGACCGCGTCCTGAAGCGGTTGGAGGGTACGTCTCTCTCCCGTCTCCCGTTTCCCGTCCCCCGTCTCCTGTGACGCCGGTCGACGTCTCGTACTAACCTGCTTTCGCGTCACAGGCGTCAAAAGCTACGAGGTCTCCCTCGAGAGCCAGTCGGCCACCGTCGTGGCGGACCCCGGCCTGTCCTACGAGACGGTCCTCAAGACGATTTCCAAGACGGGCAAGAAGGTCAATTCGGGAGAGGCCGACGGCGAGAGCCGCAGCGTGGAGGTGCAGGCGGACTAAGGGACCAAGCGGGCGCCGGCAAGCGGAGCGCGACCGGCGATGAGGACGTGACGAAAAGCGACGGAAGGACAACGACCGCAGCGAGGAAAGGGAAACAACGAGCACACTTATGAACTAGCGTTTTCGCAGAGCAAGACAAACAAGCGGTTATGATTTTTATGGGCCCGTGCCTGATGCGTGACTGAAGCAGGGCCCTTGACGTGAGCCACGGATGATCCAAGACGAGAGGTGTACACTGCGGCTTGGCGATGCGCTGGATCGTGAAGAAGGAAGCGGCAAGTATGTGCCATACTTCACTTTCCATTTCCGACGCTGGATCGCCTCCAGTAGTGGCTGGGTAAGGCCAATATCTGTGGGTAGCTGGGATGGCTGGGAGCAAACGGACGTAGACTGGGCATGGGTGCCTTACTGTAGCAGTCTTGTCCACGGCCTGGCTTCCCTCGCGAGCCGGGATTCACTTCACCCAGCGTAGGACGACAACCAGGTGCAGAGGGAATCACAGAAGCACGAGATGTGGGGGAGGAAACAACGAGCAAGAGGGCTGCTATTTACCGGCGGCTGGACGGCACGTCCACAGGGTGGAAAGGGTCTCCTACTATTTTTGTGCCCTCGGACAGCCACTCTATTGGCTTTATATTGGCATCACTTGTCCCACACCCGGATGGTGGCTTGCGTCTGTGACGCGGAGGCAAATCGATGCAGAGTGCTTTGTGCTTGACGTCGATATGAGGCTTTACTTGTGACTTCTTTGCTAGTCACTCTGCTGAAGGGAGGACAAAATAACAGTATGAGCAAATAGATTCGCAAAGACAAAATAAAGAAGAGTAGGAAAACGCTGCAACTCACTATTTTGTCACTGTGTTTGGTGGAATTCAATATCCCGTCTTCACGTTGCAGCCGTCAATTCACAATATATGAAGAGATGCACTCCCCACTCCCCACAACACGGCAAATATATATGCTGTATCCTTACGATCCTTGGTGCCAGCGTGACGCGACCCGGGTGTGCTGCGATGTCTGCATCCATGATCCCCAATCCCAGTAGTCAACTTATACGCTTCTCCCTTTGAGCACATTTTCATACTTTGCCCCCTATCTCGACATCTGACCTAGAAAAGACGGCAAGTGTAAGCGGCACTCGTTGTCGCCTTATGTGCGGCCACGCTGGTCTTCCTGCGTCATCGTGTCGCAGTGCGTATAGAGTCTCATGACCGGGACAGCTCCTCTCCTTTCGAGACCGGGTCTAGAAATGAGGTCTAGAAATGAGGGTCTAGAAATCAAGAACTGGCTTCCGTGGCCGTCTGTGTTTATATTTATGTCGGCTCACCCATGTCTTTTGACTCCACACGTAGACGAGACCACATACATGGGCAGTCAATCCGTATCCGTCAATCGTCGTGGACTGGCCAACATCGCCATGTTTTCCATCTCCGGACTTGCGGCTGCCACCGCCGCGCTGCTTGCAGCCGGCGCCAATGCGCATGGCGTCGCCACCGCCTTGATTCACTGGCCAGATGGCACCTTGTGCGTGCCTGCTCTCCTGCTCTCCTGCTCTCCAAGTGTCCCAAAAAAATAATGTTAACATACCTTGCCAGCTACCCTGGATACGACCCCGGCTACCAGTTCGTGCACCCGCCGCCCGTTGTCATCGGTTGGAGCATCCCCGACGACCTCAACAACTCGTATATCTCGCCCAGCGCCTACGCCACGCCCGACATTGTCTGCCACTTGGGCGCCACGCCCGCCGGCCTCGCCGCGCCCGTCAACGCCGGCGACGTGCTGGAGATTGTGTGGAACCAGTGGCCCGAGTCCCACCACGGCCCCGTCCTCGACTACCTGGCCAACTGCAACGGGCCCTGCGAGACCACCGATAAGACCAAGCTCAAATTCTTCAAGATTGGCGAGGCCGGCCTGCTCGATCCCGCCAAAAACTACTGGGCCGACGACGTCCTGCGCGCCAACAACCTGACCTGGTCCGTCCGCCTGCCCGCGGACATTGCGCCGGGCAACTACGTCCTGCGCCACGAGATCATTGCGCTGCACTCCGCCGGCGTCCCCAACGGCGCGCAAAACTACCCCTTCTGCTTCAACCTGGTCGTCCACGGCAACGGCACCGCCACCCCCGCCGGCATCCCCGCCACCTCCCTGTACACGGCCAACGGCCCGGGCATCATGTTTAACCTCTACAACGGGTCCACCGACTACGTCATCCCGGGCCCGCCGCTCTACTCGTCCGCCATGACGGCCGCTCAGACGAAACTAGGCTTCGTCAAGGCCACCGCGTCCGGCGTCTCCAGCTACGAGCCGTCTGCCGCGGGTGCCGCAGCGCGTGCGGTTCCGACACCGTCCGTCGCTCCGGCCGCCACGGGCGCAGCAGCGACCGCTGCACCTGTCGCCGCAGCCGACCAGCCTGCCGAACCGGTGCCGACGACTCTTCTGACTGCCGTCCTCAAAGTGAGGGGGAAGGAGTAAGATGCCCTACTTTTTTTTTCCTTTTATTTTTCCTTCTTTTTTTCTTGTGTTTTCGACGCTCTGTGTTGTCCCGACGCTCGTGTCGTTCATAGCCTGCCATCCAGCTTTTGCATCATTTGAGAACCACACTACACAACTTCGATAGCCCGTCCCGCTATGGACGACCGCCGGCCCTGGGTTCCGCCCGCAATGACCTTTTCGTTCTATTGTTTTGCCATTCCAATAGTTTGGCCAGCGCTGTCTGTCTGTGCTTGCATTTGATTTCAAATACGCCCCAAAACCGTGCTTGGGCATTCCATCATCCCCTCGTCCACGTCCTTTTTCGTCCGTAGCAGGAGGCGGGTCTCTATTGGCCCGTTTCGGCCGGTGAGCGCTTGCGTCTTTTCGGGGGGTTTATTTCTACATGTACGTACTAGCCGTCCACATGGTAACAAAATCCGTGCAAGGTTACGGAGAACATACGTAATTTGGCAGGCGCCTTTCCGTTTTCGAGCCTGTCATCTCTTGTCCTTGGCATCTTTTAACTCGTGCAGATACGACTGACCAGAGTACGACGGAACCCAATCTGACATACTCCATACTGCCGTCCACAACGTCTCGATAAACGAGCAGACCATCTCTGGAGCTCGCGTGGGGCCGACTTTGTTTTCGGGCCATCTCCTGCCAGCGACGAAACTACAAAGTAAGTCAAGAGGTTGCTGCAAACGTCCGCTCTGGCACGTATTCGATAGCCACGTGCAACCCTGGACCTGGACGGAGACGCCAATGACCCATGGTCTATGCCCAATGTATCCGTTCTCCGTCATCCAAAGCTCCAAGACGCTTGGCGCCCCCAAAACGCTCGGAACCGCACGACGGAATCCCACAGACAGTCCAGTGGTCGGATTCCGAAGCCGCCGCCAGCACGTCTTGGTGGTCTTTTGTCTCGTTTGTCTTGTTTCTCGCCTCGGTCTATCGGTCGTCCGTGTCTCTGCCCGTGTGTCTCAGCTGTCTCGTTTCTTCCTTCTTGCGATGCTTTTTCCTTCGCTACGACGTACACCGCTGCTTTCCATCTCTTATCCAACACGGACCACGTAGCATTGTGGGATTCTTTTGCACGGATGGGCTCGTCGGATCGCATGGTGCAGCCGCTGGCCATGGCCACGATTCTCAAAGAGCGAAGCCAAGAAAACGGCTCTCGTTTTCAACCAACAAAACTGACAAGTAGATGATTACCACAGCCTCTCCTCAATGAACACGACCTTTGTCTTTCCTCGCTACATCTGCGCCAGTTAGACGTAGAGGACTCGTACCTTCCCCAATCGCTCAGACGCCACGAAAACTAGGCCCGATTAATTACGCCAGAGCAGAACAGATGAATCGAGAAGCTGCGATGAACGCAAGCGGGAACGACCCTGTTCGGGCCTCTGTTCCTTCCCGACCCTTGTTTTGTCTCTTGTCCCTTCCTCTCTTTGCCACCATTCGCATGTCACACGAGAGCTAAGCCAAGCGGAGGAAGGAGCCCCCAAAGGGGCCGAGAGACCCAATACCAGCATTCGCAATATGCCGTTATTCCTCGTAACTTCGACCCGATGCATTCGCACATTGTCGTTTCGTAGTCCACAATGCGACCTAGGCTGCTCTGCTTTCTCTCAAAGTCCAGTTGGGACACGATACACGAACAGCTCGGCCGTCGGAGATCGGACAAGGATGCCGCGCCTAACAATTCCACCAACCAGGCATTAATGGACGGTAAGTAGCCTGCTGCAGGTTGGGATGTCGAGGCTCACACGACGCTCTTCGACAAACGTCACCGTGCGCCGTCTTGCCGCCCAGGTGCCACTTGGCGAAAGACCATGTCGTGGCTGCAGGTTTGCTTGTTTGCTCCTTCCGCCGGGATCTGCTGTCCCCTTGAGCTTTTGCCACTTTGCTTGCCGAGCTGTCAGCCCGGCCAGGCAAGCGCCATCGGCCATTCTTTGCCCGTCTCGACCACAGACGACAAATGACGGAATCCACAGAGGCAGAAACGGCTTATCTTCCGTGCTGGCCGGTGCCTCTTGCCAATGATTTGTCGTCAACCAGCAGAGAACCGAGGATCAGATCCTGCCAATATTGTTCTTCAACGTATCTCGTTTCGTTCCATCCTTGCCACGTCCACGGCTCTCTTCTTTTCGCCATGCTATGCTGTGCTATGCCCTCCCCTCCCGGCCTTTCCATTGCATTTTTCTTCTTTTCTCTCCTCCGTTCAATAGCATTTTCAATAGCTCCATCAAGCTACTGGCCATTCGCCCCGTGGGATCCATACAGGACCCCATTTTGGACGCCATTGCGAAGCCAGGCGAGCCAGGGCCCCCTTTCTTTCGCCCACCTCGCACCTTTGGTGCCGTCTAGGCAAATTATACGGAGACCCATGGCACATGGCACAAAACACAGATGCCGTATCGTTATGGAGCCTCTACATGGGGTACCGGCGATGGAGAGGGCAATGCGCTTGTGTTTGACACCTTGCCCATCGCACTCTCCCGACAACTGGCCGCCCCAAGCCATCGGGTCGCCTCCGAGACTTTTTCCAGTCGGCCTCGTGCTGTTGAGCTCATTTTTTTGTACGGAATACTTTTGTTGGAGCGGAAATGCGGCAAAACGGCGGAAAACCATTACCCGCCTTTCCAAACAACGAGAACTGGCTCCTAACACAGGGAGCCAAACCATGCCACGAGTTACAGTGTAGTACTCTGTTCGACGTATGTGCTTCTGTGCTTCAGGCCGACTGGCGGAGATGCTGTCTCCAGGTACCTTGTTTTCTCTTTCCAAAACAAAGGCAGATGCCATGGCATCAGCAAATGCCAACATTTGAGCACGTTTCTCCTTGCACTTTCCTGGCGACCGCCTCTGCGATGCGGGAACATGCGGCGGCAGGCAAGACGACAATTATGGAGTCAATTTCGTCGCGCTTGGATCGAAGGAATATCTGCAGGTGCCGTTCAAGGTGGATGTATCTCACTGCAGCCCACGGCAGACTGCGGCTACTGCCTTCCTGCTGCAACACATTGTCGCAGTCACGCAGACCCTGGCCAGGCTGCCTACTTCCTACGTCAAGGAACCCAGGCTCTGGTTGCTCTGGCTCGCTTTTCCCTCACTGGTGCACACGACGGACCCTCCTCCCCCCGTAATGCATAGACGCCCGTCCTGACATCTCTTTGCTCGACTCGCCAGCTTGACAATGTCCTTCTTGTACACAGTAAATGTATCACACGGAACAATACATGCGCAAATGCGGAGAAAACAACGGGGCTCATTTGGGTTCCAAAGTACTGGCGTACGAAAGAAGAGACTTTTGCTGTCCAATGTTACAACGTCGGCCGTCAAAGTGAGGGCGTAAGCAGGCCAATCTCCGTGTCAAGTCCTCCTTCTCGTGGCCCCGACAGTGTGTTGAGTGACCTGAGGCTGGTGAGTGTTCCTACTCTCGACGATGGAGTACAAATATGTTTCAACATATGCCGTAACTCTGCTCTTTTGCTCTTTTTTCTCTTTTTTTTGGGTTGTCTTCCGTGCCATTCTTATTTGATTTCCTACCTTCACTTTCACTAAGCCGTTCCATAGTTCATGTTGGCCGGTTTTCTCATTTTTGTTGGTTGTAGCTTTGACCACCTTGCCTACCTTGCCTCGCCGTTTTTCCAGTCTCACGTTTCTTTAGCACCCCCTCTGCCTCCCTCCCCCTGATAGCCCCCGCTCCGCCGGTCGCCTATCGCCCGCCTGTCGTCCGTTGTGTCTCGGCAAAGTTGGGGCCAAGATCGATTTGGGGGCCAAAAACTAACAAGAATCCTCAGGAACGATAAAAATAACACGCCAACAGCCGCCGACCGCGCACAGCGGGACCGAGACCGCAGTTCGCTGTTTTAGCGAGTTGGCTTGCGTGAACTGTCGACTTTTGTTGTTTTGGCAGGCGGCCGGTCCGATAACATAATTCCATGTTTGCACGCTCAGTATGGAGCAAGAGAGACAATCCAAATATTTCCAAATTCGTTCATTGTTGGGCCTGCAGTGTACTTCATTGCAATGCTGGCTGCTGACGTTGTCTTACTTTTTTCTTTCTTTTTATTGTTCCTTGTTCTGTCCCTTGCGTTGAACAATTTAAATTCATGTCGTTGAATCTCGCGATCTTCGCGTTTGAGCACATTGTATCTTACCCTCCGCCATTGCCAACAGGCGGTCCTTCCCTCCGCTGAAATCTACCCGAAAGTGCCTGCCGGAAAAGCTGCGGAGTGTCCCACCTGCTCCTTCTCCCCCTAATCGGGCGGCAAATCCCAGAAACCAGAGAAGCTAAGGCGCCTTCCTCCGTTGTGGGCCTGGCCAAGATGCTGCCTCGCGACTCCCACGGTGGGCAGAGGCTCATCCGAGTTCTGGGACAACAAGAGACGTGGAATACGATTTACAAAGGTACACAAACACACAAGCTGCGTTCAGCAGAAAGGTGAAAGGCTTTGTATGATTGCGTGGACATCTTGCAAGAGTAGCGGTCTGGGCCTTTGCGCTCAACGAGGGATGTTCTCCCTCGCGCCTTCCTTGCATAGACTTCTGTTGACGGTGTAGAGCTTGCACGATACACTTTCCCAAAACATGAGAAAAAGGAACAAGCTGTCTGGGAAAGAAGGGCAAAAGAGGAAAGAGCGACGCTGGAAGGTCGACGATCACAGACGATGTGATGGCCAGAATTGGCTGGGCGTCCGTGAGGGTCTTGGGTCGTTGTCTGCTGGGTCCACGTTGGTTCTGCTTTTACGGAAGGGGCGAGGGGTCTAGCCTGGAACCCGGTCGTTCGTGCAAGTCCGAACAGGGGTCCTGTCAGCGACCATGTCCTCTGCTCTGAGTAAAGAAGACAAATCGAAGAATAAAAGAAGGGCCAAATTTAGCTAAAAAAGAAACCGCCGGCGCAAGGTCCCGCGACCAAAACTCGCCGTAACTCGACAGAGTAACCAGCTCGTCCTCCGCCTGCGCTTCCCTTGCCCATCGCACCTGCCCTCCCGCACGTCACTTGTACCTTCCCCCGCGGCAGGGCAGCAAGCGCCAAAACATCTCCGTGGCTTTTGTATTTTATTTTGTATTTCGTACGAGAGCAAAGGATCCGGAGACGCAGACGTCTCGTGGCAAATGGCAAATGGCTGGCTCGGTTTCCGATCTCCCTCGTCCGTCGATTTCTTCGTGTTAGGCTTGCGCTCTCCTCCGTCCTCCGAGACACCCATCCCATTCTTTCCTTTCGAGGCATTCGTCCGTATCTTTGTAGCCTCCGGTGGCCTCTGTATTGGGGAAAGAACGAAGAACGACCGTTTGGGAAGGAAAGAGCCACCAACCCAAACATTCCCCCGTTGCCTGGGTCCTTCTTTCCCTAATCATTCACACCCGTCAAGTTGCTCTTTCTGCTTTTGGCTGCAAAAAGTCTTTTCGTCTTTTGGAGCTGTACTAGTTTCTGGTTCCCCATCGCACCTGCCGGCGGGGTCGTCTCTGTGAGACGAATCTTACTTGTACGAAATACCTTCTCTGTACACACGCGAATCACTTTCTTGGTTTCGTCCCTTCTCATTCACGTCCCAGAAACGGAAGCAGCGACTCGTACGAAAAGCCCGCCTCAACCCCCCTGCCCGTCTCTGAAGCCAATCAGGACCCATAGGCCACGCCCCAGGAAGCTGCGTTGTGCCTCTTCAGCCCTCGACAGGTGCCTTCCCGCATCGAGCTCCGACCTGACCCAGACAGCCGCCACGCTCTTTCCTTCCTCTTCCGTATTGCTACTTTCGGCCATACCTTCGCTTTTTCCTCTTCCTTCTTTTCCTCTCCCCTTCTTTATTTCTTTGTTTCTTTTTCCTGTGTTTCCTCCTTGGCACTCTGGCGTCTCGTCTCCGACAGCAAAACAGGTATTTCGCACTCGAGCGAAGCACCACATCTCATCACGGATCGGTTGCGAGACACGGCAAACCTTGTCCTCACCCCCCCTGCTGTTCACACAAAGGACTCCGCCCCTTTTGTCGCGTCTCACAAATTAAAGCCACTCGGATGACAAAAGAAACGCGGGCTTGTCATATTTTGATTTATTCCTGTCAGGTTCCGCAAGTCGCACTCGGACCCGGGAACTGGACACATTCCGCTGGCCAAAAGGTGTTTCTCACTGTGGCTTTATATTGAAAAGTTTGTTTTCAGGCTGAGACCGAACACACGGCACCGGCAAACAACTCGACGGACCTTATTTGTGTCTTTTGTGTGTCTCGACTTGCTGGCCACGGATCCGGGCATCGACATTTGGCTTTGGGATCCAGTGGACATTGCAAGCAAAATCAAAAGACGAAAAGCAGCTATAAGACGACAAACAACGCATAATGCCGGGGCGTCAAACGAAACCCGATATCATTTCATCTGTTTTTGTCTCCAGCAGGCCTTGAATTTCTGTTGCATAGCCTTTTATTTTTTTTATTTTGTTACGATTTGCTTTCTTGACTTGCTGGACCACAACTCGATCGCAGTCTCAAAACGACACCAGCTGCCCATCACCCCTCCCCGGACCTTTGCGGCTTGAATCGTTTCTCGTTAGCACCAGCTCAGCTTCTCACGACGGGAGATCGATCTTCTCTGTGGATGGGTGCACGAATGCACTAGAGGCTGTGCCGATACGGGTTGAAGAGCAGGTGTCCTTTGTTTTCTGTCTTGCTTCATTTCTGTGGCGCTTTCGTTCGTTCGTGTGTGTGTTGTCCGAGCGAAGACGCAAAAGCCACTCGGCATCCCTCATTGTCGAACGCCCACAGCCACACACTCTATTTTCCGCATTCTTTTCTTGACAGCTTCCAGCAGCACCGGACACGGCAACGGAAACGTAGCACAGGGCTCACCACCAGCAATACGAGACGCAGCACAGCCAGACAGACAGACACCTTTCAGTCTCAGCCTTTGTGGCATTCACAGTCGCTACGGTTTCAATCTCTCTCTCTCTCTCTCTCTCTCTCTCTCTCTCTCTCTCTCTCTCTCTTCTCGATCTCGCCGCTCTTGCCGTTGTGTCCTGCCCGTGTTGACACATTCGACGACTACCACGGTCGCTTTCCATTGTGTCTCCGTTCCAACACAGCACGCGAAGCGCACAGCTATCGATTTACTGCTGCATCATTGGCCAGACCAAATGCACCGCTGAGCTCAGGTAGACACGCACTCGTCACTCAACTGATGCAGCGGATCGACCACAGTGACAACGCCCGCAAAGCTCACGACGCTCATCGGACGTGGGCTGCACCGCACCCGCTTCTTGCTGACGCGCCGATCTTTGCTTTTGTCAAAGCAAGGGCCATCTCACAGCGACCTTTTCTGCTGTTATTCATTGCCCGCGTCAGAGTGTCTTTCACCGCCCCTTTTGTACGGCGGGAACTACATTTGGCCGTCTTTTGACGAGAATTCGCCGGTTCTCCAACGACGACAACCAAAACAGAAATCGAAAAGTGGAGAATCCGGGGAACGTCGAACGAATCTATAAGGAGATATAGGCCGGAGCCAGAAGTGGTCTGATTTGTGTCGCGGCCCTCTTGTTGGTGTCTTTTTGCCTCACCAACTCCCTAATTACTCGGTTGTGTCCAATCCCCTTTTTTCGAACGGACTGCACGTCATGGACAACAATTCCCATTTCCGCTCCCAGGCCCCTTCCCGGACAGATCAGGGAGAACGGACAGACCGAACAGACCGAGCAGACCGAACAGAACGAACAGACGCTCAGACGCCAATACCTCAAAAACAGTCGCCTACTCCGCCTTTGGGCAGCAAGCATATGGTGTTTGATGTGGCAAACTGGCACCCCAAACCCGTGAAACGCCCACGACCCGTGAAATCATGCACCGAATGCCGCCGGCGGAAATTGCGCTGCGACCGGCGCTGTCCCTGTTCGCAGTGCCAGCGCTCTTACCGAGTCTGTAAGTATGGCAGTGGCGGCAACGGCAGTGCGGGCTCCAGCAGCAAGAGCACCGACCCGAACAATCCCACCGCCGATTCCGAAGGCTCGGAAGGCTCCGAAGAGGACGACGACTCGGTGCCGGGGAGCGGCGCCGGAGGCGAGCGTCCGTCGAAGCGTCACCTCAGCCGGCCAGGCTCCGGGTCAACACCACAACACGGCCATGCCGTGCCAAGCAATGCGGCGACGAGCAGCAACCACCCGGCGCCAAACAACTCGTCCCTCAACCTCCTTTTGAACCCGCCATCACCAACGCATCATCACGCAAATCTTTCCCCACCAGGCCGTGGGTTGTACCATCAGTTCCAGCAACACCCCCAACAGCCACCATATGGCTCATATCAACCGTCCGCACAACCGATTGCAGCTGCATCGATGCAGAACTCGTTTCCGTCACTCGCACAGATCTCAAGCACCCTCGAAAGCCCGGAACCGCTCATGTCGTCCAAAGGAGACGACCTCCGCAAGCTGGCCGCGTCCCTACTGCTGCAGTGCATGGTGCGCATGGAGAGACTGGAAAAGCTAGTCGTGGCCAGGGACCCGTCCGCCCTCTCCGATATGCCCACGTTTCCGTCGTCGTCGGTTCTCTCCCAGCTGAACCTACGCCAACAGCCTTCGCGCGACCAGCAACAGCGCGTGATCGAAGCCTCCAGCACGACAATGCGTTCGTTGAGTGTCAAAGGTCGCAACGGACTGCGGACAAGATACTTTGGCCAGAACAGCACGCGTGTTCTGTTAAACTTGGTGCGTACCCAACCCAAACCCGAATGAAGACGACAACGTCTGAAGATGCGGAAGAAACATGCGCATGAAACGCATTTGAGAAACAGAAATACGGACGGATCTATACGCAAAATACCATATCCGACATAAAGGCGTGGCCGTCGGCGAACGTAGGGATTGTGAATTTGTTGATATGAGTATGGACTAACACGCCTTTTGGGGGCTGGTTTATAGTTCGACGACGCGAAGGACTTTATGTTGAACCAAGCCAAGCGAGACACGACTGGGGGCTTGTTCTGGCGACTAGAGCGGATCCACATCGCACTACAGGAGAACCACCAGCAGACGCTGAAGCCGATCACTGTCTACGTCGACTCTATGATGCCAGTGCAAAAGCGCATGGCAGACATACTGCCGCGCCGCGACGTATGCGATCGCCTGATCAATGCCTATGTCAATGTGTCCGAGGGCCTCTATCGCGTCATCCACATTCCGACGTTCCGTCAAGAGTTTGAGGCGTACTGTGCGCACGGCGTCACGGGCGGCACAGGGGACGGTCAGGGCGTGGCCGACGATTTCTTACCGCGACTGCTCTGCATTCTGTGCATCGGCAGCCGCTTCGAGACCGACTCGAAGGGTTTGGCGTACGACCGGTCCGATGGCGTGCATATCCCGACCGCCTGCGCTCTGGTGCGCTCGTGGCTGGACGGCCTTCGGGGCAAGCCGTCCGTGGATGTGACGACGCTGCAGACGGAAGTGCTGTTGCTGCATGCGAGCCGCATGATTTCGCCGCGGCCGCAGCGGATCTGGACCGAGCTGGGGATGATTTCACGCCTCGCCATGGCCATGGGTCTGCACCGCGACCCGGCCGAGTTTGCCCCCGAAATAACCCCTTTTCAAGCCGAGCTGCGGCGCAAGCTGTGGTTTACGATTCTCGACATGGACCTGCACGTTTCGCTGGCGTCCAGCCTACCCAGCGCTCTGCGACCTGGCGAAATCACCTGCCGCCCACCGCGCAACCTCGACGACGCCGACCTCTACCCCGACATGCCGTCGCTGCCGCGAGGCAAGCCCATGGACCAGTACACAGAGGCCCAAATGCAGCTGTTTGCGGCCGGCACACTGCCGTTGCGCATGCGGGCCAGCGACCTGCTGTGCAACATCGACTCGCTGACCGACTACTGGGACGTGCTGGACGTGGGTGGTGACCTGGAAAAGGTGCTCGACGACATCAACTGCCTGTTCCCGCGCAATGCCGCGCTCAACAGCCACCAGAAGCACAAGGAGTGGCGGATGCGCGCGATGCTCGACATGCATGTGCGCCGGCCGTTGCTGGCATTGTACCGGCCGTTTGCACTCAGTGCGTCGGCCGAGTGCCCGCCGCCGGCGGTTATTTCTGATGTCTACCTCAAATCGTCCATGGCCATGCTGACATACATGGAAGAGCTGGACCCGGCGATTCCTGGCTTCGGCGACGTCAGCCATATGTATTATGTGATTCTGCGCAATGACATTGTGCAGGCCGCGTTTAGTGTGTGCTACTACATTGCGCAGGCGGTCGAAGCCGAGTTGTCGCCTGCACCCGCCGGCGCTCCGAGTAGCAGCGGTGCCTCTACGGGCACGGTCAAGCCAGTCGACGGCAGCTCGCCACCCATGGGCCACGGTTCTGCTTCTGCTTCTGCTTCTGCTTCTGCTTCTGCGGCGGCTGGCGGGCGCACCGGAACGTTCCTCAGCAGCGGCGCGCCGCGCAAGACGTCGCTGATCTGGTCGTCCGCGTACATGATCCGGACGGTCGAGCGGACGGTCGAGAACTTGGCGCGTCTTGTCAACGACCTCAGCTTCGACCTGCGGGATGTGATTGCGCTCGCAACCGTGCTGGGCTCCGTGATGCCGGCGACCAGCCCTGCACAGCGCCACGACCACATCCGCACCCAGGTGGGGCGCGTTCTCGACACCTGCGTCGAGATTCTGCGCAACCACAGCTCTGCCGCGGTACGTCTGGCCTAGTTTTGTGTTGCTGTTTCTACGCGTCTCCCTCTGCGTCTTGCTTGTGGCTTACTAATTCCTGTATACAGATCCGGAGCGCAGTGCTGGGACAGAGCCTGCCGCCGATTGCACATCATACGCCGGGCTATGATGGCCGCCAGCTGCTGCCCGACGGCAAGCCTGTCCAGACGGACGAATCTGCGCAGTGGGACACGTACTTTTGGGATCTTTGGACGCCCAAGAGTACGTAAGAACATGGTGTACACATGTGGGTCATGTGAGACGTGTCTTTTGACACCTTTTGGACATACAACGGGACGTATCTCCCGCGATTCATATAATTTTGTCATATATTTGGTTGAATTGGTCATATCTTTTGTTCCTGCATTGGCTCTTCTTTTCCGGCCGCTCGATGGAGCACATAGACAACAAGCTCTTTGGGGACGAGAGAAAACACAATTCAAACCCGATGCATTATTGTGCATCGCTTGCTTTTTTGGATTTTGTGTCTGTTTGAGTCACTTCGTCGTATCTCGTGATGCGGCTGCGTTTTCCCGGCTGCACTAACCAATCACTAGACGTCTAGGTTCCTACGGTGTTTGCAGATGATGAGAATATAAAAAAAACGCGACGCCGCCGTTTCCGCCTTGGTCCAAATTGATTTCACATCGCGCGATCACGAGGCCGCCTTAGAGGCTGCTTGCGGTCAGAAGTCAGAACCAGCGGGGCGAATACTGCCTCTTCCGCCCGAGGTGGGAAGCGACAGGACATTCGTACAGCTATTGAGGAACACATTTACTGTGGTTCGGAGTCGTGGGCCTGCCGTCGGCGCCGGTTGTCAGTTAAAGCCACGTGACTTATTGCCCCGGCAATTCAAGGTTGCGGACGGATCCACCGGCAGCAGCCAGCCCCGGATTTGAAGACTCTCCACTCTTGTGTGTGTGTGAACGATTAAGTCTGCCGCTAACGCCGCCTGACTTACCCCCCTGGTATTCATATGAAAGAAGCTGATGTTAGGCTCGCAAGTTACAACATACTAGTACTCTGAACGTTTTGGCGCGGCCCCCAAACGGTCTTTGCCTCGGCTGTCTGCCATCACACCTCGTTTGTTCATAACAGTACGTTCCCCGCACGTCACTTGTGTGCGGGTGGGCCATTGTTCAGATCAAGACACGCACAGGCGACAGGCTTTGCTGGCGACGGGCTGCAGCAATAGGACTTACACGGGACGCTCGTCACTGCTGTCGGCATCGCGTTGAAGGTGTTGACGTCCCTGTACATTTTTGCCCCAGTCTACCAACCCCCAGTTCCACGTTAGTTCCCATTTAGATCCTCGGCAGGAAACCAGTCGGCACGCCTTTGCTTTACTTTGCAGGTGAAATCGTCTTGACGAACGTTCCTGGCTCCAAACCGTCCATCATTTGTTTATTATTTCCTTCTTGTCCATTCTCTCTCGTCCGCGCACCGTTTTCTATCCCCCAACATTGAACCCTCTTTCACTTGCTTCCATCGTCCTCCTTTTTCTTTTCCTTCTCCAACCTCGTTCCACTTCCACACCCACAACCCCCCCGCACACATCACCCACAAGACCGCCAAGATGGTCAAGGCAAAGGCACCCGTCTACGTCCTCGGCGTGGGCATGACCAAGTTCATCAAGCCCCGCGGCAAGGTCGACTACACGGAGCTCGGTTTCGAGGCCGGTGTCAAGGCCCTGCTCGATGCTCAGATCAACTACGACGACGTCGACCAGGCCGTGGCCTGCTACTGCTACGGCGACTCCACCTGCGGCCAGCGCGTGTTCTACCAGTTCGGCATGACCCAGATCCCCATCTACAACGTCAACAACAACTGCTCGACCGGCTCGACCGGTCTCTACATGGGCCGCTCCCTCATCGGCAACGGCGGCGCCGACTGCGTCATGGTCGTCGGCTTCGAGAAGATGATGCCCGGCTCACTGCAGAGCTTCTTCAACGACCGCGCCAACCCCACCGGCACCACGGCCGAGATGATGCGCGCGACCCGCGGCATAACCAACGCCCCCGGTGCCGCGCAGATGTTCGGCAACGCCGGCCGCGAGTACATGGAGAAGCACGGCGCCACGGCCGAGGACTTTGCCGAGATCGCCCGCGTCAACCACGCCCACTCCGTCAAGAACCCCTACTCCCAGTTCCAGGACGTCTACACCCGCGACCAGATCCTGGCCTCGCCCACCATCCACGACCCCCTCACCAAGCTGCAGTGCTGCCCCACGTCCGACGGCGGCGCGGCCGTCATTCTCGTGTCGCAGGCCTTCCTGGACGCCCGCCCCCACCTCAAGGGCCAGGCCGTCCTCATCGCCGGCCAGTCCCTGTGCACCGACGACCCGTCCCTCTTCTCCCGCAGCGCCGTCGACCTCATGGGCTACGCCATGAGCGAGCGCGCCGCCCGCGAGGCCACGACCGAGGCCGGCCTAACCCCCCACGACGTCCAGGTCGTGGAGCTGCACGACTGCTTCAGCACCAACGAGATGGTCACCCTCGACGCCATTGGCCTGCCCGAGGGCCGCGTCGGCGCCCCCCGCGGCGGCGCCGTCGACCTCGTCCGCCGCGGCGGCATCACCTACGGCGGCCGCTACGTCGTCAACCCCTCGGGCGGCCTCATCAGCAAGGGCCACCCGCTGGGCGCCACGGGCCTGGCGCAGTGCGCCGAGCTCGTCTGGCACCTGCGCGGCTGGGCCAACAACCGCGCCGTCCCCCACACCCGTGCCGCCCTGCAGCACAACCTGGGCCTCGGCGGCGCCGCCGTCGTCGCCGTCTACAAGCGCGCTGACGGTCAGGAGGCCCCCGTGCTCGACGACGCCACCGTCGGCCGCCTCAACCGCCTGGGCTACAACCCGGCCACGCAGGCCAAGGGCTTCACGGCCGAGCAGGCCCGCTCGGTGCGCAGCAAGTCCAAGGCCAGCGACTGGGCCCTGGGCGACACCGAGGCCAAGGTCGAGGCGCGCTTCTAAACCTGCCGGTGGAGGAGGGTTTGTGAGCAGAACGGGGTCGTTTGGCAGGATCATTGTACGACATGCATATTACCAATTGTGTTTTTTCCGTTGTGCTAGCCATCGCACTCCTATTGAATCAGCATCAGAATGACAAAAAGCAAAACAATCATAGCCAGTATAGGATCTAATCGTCCATGTTCAATACTATGACATAATGTGTGCATGAGACGTAAAGGCAGGTGCGACCGTGACTACGACCGGATTGCAAAGGCAACTTCTACTTTGATTTAAGGAAAGTGCAATCGTACATTCGACGTGCGTTTCAAACTGGGAAGGGGCGCCCACCCAATGCACGGACTGTTCTTTCCTTCCATTCCTGTTGTTTTTGGCACCCAACCCCTTTTTCCCCCCAATTTCTCACACGTCGCAGATTGTTCCACGAAGCTTCGAGAGCAAGACGATCATACCACTCGACAGTCTTTTGCTTTCTTGCCATCCATCAATGGCCAGCATCCATCGCGATGCGTTTCTATTTCTATCGTTTGTCGTTTAGTCACCAGACTCGTGCGTCTGTGCACAGTCCTCTCATTCATGCACAGAATCGACACGTCGCTGCAAAACGAGGTGAATGAAGCAAAACAGCAAAAGCAGACACAAAACACGTCGGTTGGTTCTCTCTCTCTTAGGCATCGTCCTTGCCACTGTCTTTTTACTGGTTCTGACAACTCAGCCTCGCCGCGTCGCGTCTCAGTCCACGCTGGACGTGTGATGATTGCGTCGAACAACGTGCCTTGTTGACTGCGCTGGCTACGGCCACTCCACACATTTGTCTCTTCTCCTTTTCCTCTGCCAAGTTCAAGACGTCCTCTGCCCAGCAACACCCCGGATCCCTCCCCTCTTGTTTCACACCCCCACGGAAGACGTCCCAGAGACGGATGCTGAACCGCCGTCTGCGGTCGTCAAAGGGCAGGAGACCATTTATTGCTTGCCAGTCTCTACATACCTACGTCCTTTATTTCTCAACGCCCACGCCGGTCCCGCTGTCCCCATTAGAGACAGACAAGCCTTTTATTGTGGCCCCGCGTCCTACCGTCGTCCCACTGCGGGCCGCATTAACACACGACAGGTGCATTTACACGGCCAGGCGCATGACATCACATCATACAACGTATCGAGCTGTCACTCTGTTGGGTTTTGCCTCTTGTCTCCCATTTGGCTCATGATCGTCCCTGTCTCTTGTTTTTCGTCTCTCGTTTCTCGTCCCCCTCGTTCGTCTCTCTTCTCCCACGGCCTCCACTGCGCATCCCCCTTATTCTCCCATGATCGCCATTCTTCCGTACCAGCCCCAGAACCGCGAACAACGACAGAAACAAAAATGACAGGCCCTGCACAATGGCCGCACCACAAACACAGACACACGCAGTCACACACGCAGTCACACGACGAGAACACGCACAGACATTCGCAGACATTCGCAGACATGCACTCACTCACCCTTCTTAAAACCGGCCTTGGCACGCCACCCAGGGCCGTGGCCAGTCTTCCCAAAGTCTGTTTTCTGGCATCCTCCAATGGTCAACGACAACGTGCCGCTTCATTTGTTTGGCATGAACGAGGCCAGCCCGCCTTCGTTGTCCATATTTGACCTGTCAACTGTAGACGTCCAAACGTCTTACACATGCATGCTCTCGTTTTATGCACGTCTATCGTGAACACGCACTCTGTCTCAGCTCACCGTTGGGGCACCAAAAAAATGGACTGTAAGAACAGACAAGACGAAGTAGGACGACCGCTCGTTTCTTTCCTCGCCCAACCATACATGTCCCTCTCCCAAAACGCCGGGTTTCTTCGTTTTGCATTTTTCCTTTTTTCCTGCCTCTGATCACCCACCACCCGGACCAGAAATAGGAACATTCTGTGTGAACCGAGTTTGGACATTGTTTTTCTCTTCTTCCTCCGCCTTCATTTCTTCTCGCTTTTGTCCCTTCCGTTCCCAGGTCTCCTTTCGTATTTCCTTTTGTCCCCCCAGTCCCCGTGTCTTGTCATCATTGATCCCTTAATTTTTACTTTTATGTTTTGGTACTTTCGTATTATTGTCGTCTTTCCTCCTCGCTCGATCTTGTCCAACCTCTCAGCGTCAGACACCCTCTGGCCTTTTTCTTCTAGTGTAGTCATCCGTACTATTGGGTACTCTTCCACGTATGGTAGTTCCTACATATCTACCCCCTTCACCTTCCCTCCCTCCTTTTCTTCATCGTCCTCGACATCATTGTACGGCCCGCGACCATGGCGACTCCCGACTTAACAAGAGGGCCCGTCCTCCTCGCCATCTCCATCACCACCGAGCTCTTCGCCCTCACTACATGCCTTATCCGCCTTTTAATACGCAAACGCTCCGCCAGCCACCACATGGGCCTCGATGACTATGCCATCATTGTGGCCGCCGTCGTCAGCTTTGTCGGCACCATCTTCGCCATCATCGACGGCAGCTCCATGGGCAACTCTGCCCGTGCCCTCCAGTTCGACTGGCTTGGCCAGCCCTGGTTCATGATGGGCACGACATTCGCCAAAATATCGATTTGTCTCTTCTTCTTGCGACTCGTCGGCGCCGCCAAGCAGTGGCGCATTCTGCTGAGCAGCCAGATATTGCTCATGGCCGTCCTGAATTTTACCTTTTCCCTCACCACCAACCTGCAGTGCCGACCACTCGACAAGCTGTGGGACCCGTCCGTCGTCGGCGTGTGTTGGAACCCGAGTGTCCAGCAGAACATTGGCTACTTCCAGGGCGCCTTTTCCGTCTTTTGGTGGCTCTTTCTCTCCATCTTCCCCGTTATGATTGTGCGGGATCTCGAGATGCATCAAAAGATGCGGTGGCCCTTTTACTTTTTGTCGAGCTTGAGTCTTTTGTAAGCTATACAGCCCCCAGTCCCCCTCGTTGTCGCCGAGACATATCACCCTCTAACATACCTAGGGCCGCCATTTTTGCCACAGTGCGCACGTATGAGACGTCACAGACCGTGCGCGGCATCTACACCTTTGACACCTTCTTTGCCAGCGTCCTCTCCATTCTCGAACAGAATGTCGGCATCGTCGCTGCAAACATTCTGTCCCTGGGCTCGCTTGTCTGGAAGAAGCAGGTGACCACACGGGGGGATCTTGGCGGCCGTGCGAACGCAAATTCGGACAGGTACCCAGAACCAGCAAACACACGGGGTCGTACCGGTCAGCAAAATCCGTTCGAGTCGGGCGCCGACTCCGTGCACAGCGCCACACCCCGGCGAGACGAATTTGACTTTGACGACACCGAGAGCGACCTAGGTGAGAGTGGTCTATCGCGGACGGGATCGAGCCACTCCTCCGTCAAGCGGTCCCCAATGCTCATTATCGAAGGCCCCCGCGAACGCGATTACCATGACTCGCGCCGCATGCGAGACGAGCGGGATGTGATTCAAGGTGGGAGAACACAGCCCACCAAGAAGTTTATGAAGCACTCAAAGGGCACAAAACACAGCGACACACCTCTACGCACTGTTTTGAACCGCTCTGCCTTGCTCATGAACAGGACTGGCCGGGATCGCCGCAGCATAGATGCTGAAGCAGCAGCAGCAGTAGGAGGGCAAGAAGGAAATGAGTCCAGTGAAGATCCAACCGGCGCCAACTTTTGGCCTCGCGGTATCATCAAGACTGTCGAAGTCGAAGTCGTCGAAGAGGACATTTCCACGTTGCAGCAGCAGCAGCCGCAGCATCGCCGACAGCCATCCAACGCCTCTGGTGGCATTGTGGCGAGCGACGTGTCAAACGAAGCCAGTCTGGGAGGCCACAGCCGCAACATGTCACGCCACAGCCGCATGGACTCGGACAACGACTGGGTAGCACTGTTGCGCGGAGACGCGTCGACGCCGCAGCCGGGTTCACGGGGACCGTCACGACAAGGTTCACGAGGTCCTTCACGGCAAGGCCACTACTAAGGCTGTCTTATTGAACTGTTTTTCTCATGAAATTTCCTTGTTTCTTTCTAATGGAGGCAGGCCCAAGCGAGGTGTTTCATCATTTTCTGATCTCTTTCCATTTTCCCAAACACTTATAACGACAACAGCGAGCGAGCGACCCAAAAACAGGAGATACCCAATGTACGATTATATTTTCGATTTTGCTGTTTAATTTTCCATTCCGGTTTCCGGTTCTTATTTTTATCTCTAAGTTTTGATTTCTTATTTGCTCATAGATTATAGACACCAGCAAGCAATGGAGTGAAAATATTTAATGTGACAGTTAAATAATTGCTGACTTGACTGCCCCCAACGCCAGGCATGTTTGTTTACCAAGAGCTAGCTAAATAAAAAACAAACACATTCTTTATACCAAAGCATCAAAATATATATCGTGTAATCATTATATGCTGCCTGCTTTCCACCGACTCCTATTTGTAAGCCTACTCGCCGTCCACTTTCATCGATCCATCTCTACAGCGGCTGGCGCCGGAGCCAATGAGGCTGCGTTGTTTGTTAAGACCACGCCAGCTGTTGGCTCCATATCTTCGCTCCGCGTGGGCGATGACGATAGTGCCACATCGAGTAACAAATCATTGATGCTGGCTGATGCAACGTCTTGCGATACATGGCGCTCAACACTCTCGTGACTGGCTCGGCGACTACTACCGCTACTTATACCCTGGCTCGTGTCTACAACCAACATGGCACCAGGCTCGTGCTGCTGTGTGACCGCACCATCGTTGGAGAGAAGCGATATTGGCTCGACACCGACTACCTCCTCGTAATCGGGACTCGGGCTTCGACGACCAGAGTGATCGGCATGGCCCGGTGTGAGGGTCTGGCTTGACCCCGACGCGTCACTGCTGGCAACACGGTGCAAAGGGATATCGTCGGCTGCAGTGGGTGCGGTTGTGTACGTGACTGTGCATCCGTTGCTGATTGTATAGCCTGGTATACTTGGTGGACGGCCGAGAGGGTCTTCTCTCTGGTACGGCGGCAAGTCTTCGTATTCTTCACCGTCCTCCCCGCGGTGACGTGCATTGCCATCGCGTGGGCGGTAGACCGGCAATGACCCAGGCCGCTGCCGCATGCTGGGTCGGCTTCCTCGGCCTCTCCCGCTTCCAAGTCGTTCACCACAAGTTCTGTGTTGTTGAGAGAGAAGCAGGCATGCGGTAATAAAACAGACACAGGCAAACACTTGGCTTGTCACAGAAACCCAAACAAGACTCGAGGCAGCTGGCCCCGGGCTGATTTCCGGCATGGTCGAATTGGCGAGCGCTGTGTCGTTCAGCTCGGCGCGAGATATCAAGATGTTGTTAGCCAAGGGGTACATATCAGATGCCGTGGGCAGGGTCGACGAATTGTCTGGTTGAAGAAAGGAATCGGCAGAGGCACCATCCTTGGATGTGTGCTTGACAACCCAGGACACGCCGCTAATAAGCAGACCGACTGCAATCAAATTAGTCGTTGTGGCGAAGGCTTTTGTAAAGGCCATGGCTATGCGACCACGCTTTTGCCAGAGCTTGGTACCGTTCAGGAACAAAAGCAGTGGCCAGGCCAGAAGAGTGATGGCGATGTCAAGAATATAAAAGACGAACGAAACACGGCCAAAAGCTGGCTGGCCGCTGAGTTGTGGAGGTGCATCAGTGACCTTGACGGTCGTGGGGAGTCTGCAGTCAGTTGTTGTGGCGTTGCCGGAGGATGCCGAGGTGCCAGAGCCGCTTGTGCCAGATGTGCTGTTGAAGCCGCCAACGGTAGAGTTTATGGGTGTATGAGCAGGCAAAGCGCCGCAAGAATTTGAATTTGGCGAATGGTCTGTGCTGTGCAAGTAATCGATGATTTGGTTGTCAATTTGCCGCCAGTTGAAGTCGATGCCCAAATTACGGGAAATAGGATGGAGATGGCCGGTACCATTTCGTATGCACAGATGGTTGAGATACCAGTAAACGGAAAACGTCTCTGTCTGGTTGTCGTTGTCTGTTTCGTATAAGACGTCTTTTGTCCACTACGATGGTTAGGTAATGCGATCTCCGAGAACCGGGCAGCTGTCTTTCCGGCAATCCACTCACAGTCAGCAGGTACATGTCAGGTGCTGACACGTCGAAATTGTCTGAATTTTGTCCCGCCGCGTTAAGGACGACGATGATGATGACGGAGAGCAGCTCGAGAACAGCGACGCCGAAAAGGAAGAACTGCTGAACATGCATGCGCTTGAGACTCTTGGACCAAACTTTCGGCCGTAAAAGACTTTGACCGATGTTTCTTCCGGGCCATCGTGGCCGTCGTGATGATGGCTGTGGAGGCTGCCGCTGTGGTTGAGGAGACCTGACGACGGCATCTGCGGGTGAACTTATCGTTGGTATTGGCATAGCTGTCGGTGTTGGCGTGGATGTCGGTGCCGATGGTGACTCTCTTTCTGGAGGAGTAACGATGACTGTTGTTGATGATATCGTGAGAGAGGACATCGTGAAACAGGATGGAGAGCCTGCCACAAGGGCCAGGCTTCAGTGACGACAGATGTACTAGTCAAGTTGTTTGAAGCTTTCTCGTACCGTTCTGTGTGGGGTGCATCAAATGGAGACTGTTTATACTAGGTGTCGACTCGCTCGACGATTCTGTCAAGTGAGTATTTCTAGCATTGGGCCAGGAGGCTAGCAAATGACAACAAGAAATGAAGGGAACAAAAAACAAGGAGAGAAACAAATGGCTTGGAAACACATCACTCCAGTGCTGACCACAGAAGAGGACGCATGGTTCCCGCCCTTCTTGTTCAGGAGTGTTGAGGACATGGGGCGGGACATACTCAGATTCGATCTCTTTTCTTAGTGTTTGTGGTGCATCAGGTTCCGCATCCTGCCCCTTCCAGCCTCCATCTGGCAGAGGCCGTAAACGAGGGAAATAATCAAAGTCAACCAAATATTGCCCGATGCGTGCTGAGTGGCGAGAGGAGAGCAGCGGATGGCGTTGGTTAGCGACGAGACTGGAGTCTGCAGGGATCTGTATTATTAACTCTGTCTGGAAATATTCCGCAAGGAAGACTATTAGAGAACCGAGCAGATTAGCCTGGCGAATAAACAAGATCCGCACATCAGCGCTTCTTTTCGTTTGCTTTCCATTTGTTGCAAATACGTCCGGGTTGTTTCTTCCCTTTTGTTTTTATATCTTCGATTGATCGACGTGCTGTCATGTCCCTCTGTCTCTACACTATTCTTTGTGTAGTCTTTGGTAGTTGGAATCGATTCGTCGCTGTTGTTCGTCGCTGTCCATCTTCCGGCAAATAAGCACGGAGGTAGGATACCACGCCCCCCTTTGTAGATTTATGCATAGAGTGCGGCACGGCCAAGAAACGACAGGGGATCGACGGAGGGGCAGAACAGATTGTCGACCATCACTGAGCAATGGCTTTCTGGTCAACAGTCTTGTTTTATTCGTCGCTCTCGATTTTGTGCCGTTCACGTGAGGCTCAAGAGTCGGGACCGAGCTCCGTTATTCGAATAGGACGCGAAACGACGGATAAGGCGGATGTGATCAGCATAGTGCGATAGTAGACAGCCTGCACAGTTATCAAAAGGAAAACACAGCCGCTGCTCCATACGCCGTGATTCGATCGACGCACATTGTGGCTGAAATAGAAGGCGACATATAGCCTTTGGGCATGTCTGGCGGTACTGCGCGGAGATCATTGGAGACAAGGGATCGTGGGTGTTACTGGATCGGGAAAGTCGACTCAAAATGGTGTTGACGATGCGTATCGAACTTGTTTTGATCTGGGGATGGGTGAGAGAAGTCGATGGTAACAAAAGTAAAAATTCAACGGGCGAAATAAAGGGGAAATGTGAGCACAATTCGGAAAATGGGGGAATCTGTGGTTTGTTTTGGTAATTGCCATATTCGGAAAGCGTGGGGAGGTATTATTCCTTTCTACATTAGGAAATATCACGATCGTCTGAAACACGGAAAGTGCGAATTGCATGCGTGTTGCTCGAAAGGATACAGAATCACGTGAGGAACTACGATGTAAATGAATATGCAAGAAATGGTATTCCTCAGAAACAAGCTCTTTGGCTGTGGGTATCATAAAACTAAACATAAACTCCTCCCCCTTATGTGGTATTGTCACAAAACTTTCCCCTATCACATGTCTTAGTAGACCCTTGGGTAGATTCTTGGTCTTGAGCGAATCCAGTTCTGAACAAAGACAGGGAACTGGGCAGCCTCCTCCGCCTCGCCACGATACTGTTTTAAAGCCTCGGACGCATTGGCTGTGCTTTTGGTGTCATCCCATTCTCTGCGGCAACGGTACTCTTCTGGGTTAGAGTGTGAGACACCCGAGTCCGCCTGTTCGTCTTCCTCGTCTTCGTTCTTGTCCAGGCCTTTGTCCTGGCCGAGGTCGAGTTCGACCTCGTAGGCCGTGACGAGACCGGCCTCGACGGCTTCGCGTGCCATGCTCTCGAGATACCGCGCCATGGTCAGACTTCTGGGAAAAGGGCGGTCAACCTTGCCGGACAAGTCACAGGTGCCTGGCGGGAAAGGCGTGGTCTCCCTCTCGTCCCAACAGTTTTTGGGCAGGACCTTGCTCTGGTATACGGTGAGGCGCGCGTCTCGCAAGTTGTCTGGTGTTTCGCGGGCTGCCACCTGCCAGTCTCTGTCCTTGTAGGAGTCACAGTGGCGCCCAAACGTCAGTAGCTTTTGGTGCCGGCGGCGCGTGAGACCCTTGTGGGCGTTGTGTGTGAGGTCCGGAGGCAGGTCAGCGCCGAAATCGTTAAAAATTTGGTTGATACGCTTCACCTCTTGCTTGAACGCCTCCCTGCTCAGGTAGTGCTCGAGTATGCGCTGGAACTGCGCATCCGAGTCGATGCGGTGTCCATAGTAGAACGGTAGGTCGGGGTCCTCGGCCGCCATACGTTCCAACGACTCCTTGGAATTGTCTGACCAGAGCGTCGAGGGTGCTGAGACGCTGGAAGCGCTGGAGGTGGCGCCATGTGGCTCAGAGTCGTCCGAGGTCGCCCAGTGCCGAGAGTGCTCAGAAGACGAGGAACCCGCATTGGTGCCTTTCTGGCTAACAACCAGATTGCCAAGAAGGGCGCCAACCTCTGTGATAGACTTGGTGTAGTCCATTATAGCGAGTTTTGTAAAAGAAAAAACGAGTCAAGAGAAGACTTTCGATGTGATAGGGTGTGTCCTGCGGTAGTCTGTTGGAGAGTTGACTTGACCGGCGTGGCTGACAAAGACAGATTTGGAATGAGGTCACGGGGGTGTGTGGAAAGATGCGAGGATGCGAGGATGCGAGGATACGAGTAGAAGCTGTTCAAACTCGGTAGCTTTGGTTGGGTTGAAGAGAGAAACCCTGGACAGAAAAGCGAGATTTATATAGGCCTTCAAAAGCTGTGCTCAGTCATGCCGCAAAGCGAAATCGTAGACGTTGGCAACTTGCAAGTGGCCTTGGATGAGTGATTCTCTTTCTACAGTAAAGCTTCTCCGCTTGTCGCCCAAAGTATGACTGATGTGGGCTGCATTGTTTGGTTCACGATAGTCGGGTTACGTGGACGCACGCTGTACTTCAGACACAACTGTCATATGCATGACGCAGGGCTGCTTTTGCAGTAGATGTAGACGTTTGTTCCAGGCTCTCAATGGAATCATGCCGGCCAGAACTTTGTGCTGTGGTAGACAGAAAGCAGAAACAAGGGACGGAGTACATGGCGAACCTAAATAGGGGTTGGTGGCCAAAACAAAACAAACCGCACTAACACCAACCAATGCATTTTCCCATGTCTTGGTTTCACTCTCCGTCCGCAATGCATACAGTATCTATATGGATTTCGTTGTCAAAGTGTGCATTGGACATTTACGAACAAAATGAGACCAAACAACATGAGATTCAGTTGAGAACGGCGGAAGAGCGATGAGATTGGCAACGTACAAAAGTTTGGAGATCGCAAGTCGCTTCGCCATGGCACGCCGACGCTAACGAGGCAGCCAATAACAAACACTCTTGCTTTCTCCGTTGGGAATTTGTATTCAAACATATGAGTAACGAGGAAAGGCAACCATGTGCTCTAGCCTCAAGGCAGTCTATCAAAGTTCTTTTTTGTCGCCTCGAGAGCATTGCACAACATCCCGTGCAATGCCAATTATACACTTTTCGTTGGGCTGGCACTTGACCCGAGCCCGTACTGCGTGTGAGCATGACTCGTCACGCTTTTTTTGCGTCTTTGCATACAACATGCAACCACGGCCGTGCATCTGATATGATGCCGTATCGCGGATCGTGGCATCGACCGAGGAGCGACCCAATTACTTTCCAGAGTCGCCGTGCCGTCGCTGCAACGCGGATAGCACACGCTCACTCTCATGGTCCCAGCGGGCTGTTGGGAATACGGTGTCAGCAAAGGGAAACAAAAGCGGAAACAAAGAAAGCCATAAACACAAGGTCACAAAATCACGTCGGGCCAAAACAAAAGTAGTTGTTTGTGTGCCGGCGCTCGTGCGCGTGCACGTGTAAATCACATACCCAAGGTAGTCCTCGTTTATCGTGCCAATCGCCCACATCTCGCCGACCTCGCTGCGCGTGCCCATGATCTTGACCCGGATGTGCGTCCCGGGCTCGATCCGGTAGTCCTCGTTGTCGGTGAACTGGGGTGGCGTCGCGTTTGGGTCGTACTTGATCTGGCTAGGGATCATCTGGCGTATGTTAACGCTGAACACGTGCAATGGTACAATAAAACAAAAAATAGCCACCACCACACGCATGCACACATGCAACATACATGAGACGACACAAACAGACGCAGCGGTCCTGCCTGTGCAAAGAAACCGTGCGGGTTGACCGAGTAGACGACGGCATCGACCGTCTCGCCCTTGAAGGGCCGCCACACAACGGCGCGGTAGCCGACGGTGAACTCGGCCAGGCCGTTGCCCGGCAGAATCTTGCCCGCCGAAATGTCAAACGTGTCCATGATGGATATTATGTAGTAGTTACCGGCGCATGTGCCCTCGACGTCCTTGAGCAGCTTGGTCGTCACCAGCTCGTGCATGTTGCGGCCAAAGTAGGACGGGTGCAGCGTCACGCGCCGCTCGAGGTTGTGGAGGAAGAACATGGCGGTAGACGGCAGGATGAGGAGATGGAGAGGCGGGAGATATGTTGTATGTTGCGCGAGGGAGAGAGCTTCGGGATGCGCAACGTCACTGCCGCTCGCGTGTCGAGTTCGTAGTCCGGTCGCACGAGATGTGTAGCGAAAGGAGACAGAGAACAAGATAGCAAGCGAAACCGAGTCAGTCTGGTCGGATCCGGTGGTCGTCAAAATGGTTGTCGTCGTTGTTCGTCGAGGTCGTAAGGCAGAGAAATGGCCGTGATCGCACGCGCAAACCGTGTCAACCGGCCGAGGAAGGTGGAAAGAGCGTACAAGAGAAGCGAACCAGCTCACCGGCTCGAAAAATGGCGGCACGACTTTGCGCGACTTGGATCCTCCCCCGTAGCCCTTCGTCTTGATTTTCGTCTTCTTGCTTCTCGTCGACTCTCTCAACCGAAAATCGCAGCCTCCCTGTTCAGACGGTGGGCCGGGAACACAGAAACAAATGCGCCAAAGCAATTCCAACAGAAACAAGGACACAAAGGAAGACCGTCTGGAACAAGGAGAGTCGCAGAGAGGGCGGTGGCTGTTGGTTGGCGCAACGAAAACGGACATCCACGCAGTCGAAAAGAAAGGACCAAAAAAGTCGTCAGTCGTTTTGTTGGTTCGCAAAAGGGACGACGTTGCTTCCCTCACGCGGCTGAATGTGGTCCGTGCACGGCCAGCCCAACGCGCCTGCCATTGTCACACAACCAGCCAGCTTGCGCCACATTTATCACGTGCGCTTTCCACCAGCCACATTTTTGCTCCATACTGTGCTCTGGACCCCGATTTTGGCTGCGTGCGCTTTCCAAGTCAGTCAGTGACGGCATTTTTGACCTTTTTGTTTCTCGCCATTTCTTTTCTTTTCTGCATCTTTAACCCACCCACCAACGACGACGTGTACCGAGACGGACTGCAAACGCCAGACCGACTATTGCAACAGTCAAACCCACCCGCCCACGGCAGACGGCCCGTTTCAGTTGTCAAGACAGCACCGTTACATCCTCATCGACTCAAAAGCCATACATCACCATCCATCGTCTTACCATCACTCATCTCGCGCCATCTGCGCAGTGGCTGCGTCTCGCCTCGACGGCATCGTCACCCACCTCCCACCCCCTCTCCAGCCCTTTCTCGACACCCCCACCACCTCTTTATATCGCCATGGCCAGCCTCGATCGGTTTCGGGCGTCCCGCGAAGCCTACCAGCCGCCACACATTCCACAACCATCAAAATCCGGCGCTCCACCCGCTTCGGCAGCGCCGTCAATACCGCCGGCCGTACCCACTGCGCCCACATCTATTACCACATCGGCCTTGGACCGCCAGTCTCTGTCCCAGTCGCCCTCCTCATCGCGCCGGCGCGATGTGCCGCCTGCGGTCCCGTCGCCGCCCACACACTCCTCCAGAAACTCGCCTCCACATCGCCGACCATTGTCGCGACGAAGTGCCTCCCCGCGGCGAGATGGAGTCCTGCCCCAGCACAACGGGTCCGTGACATCACAACCACGGCTGCCGACAGCATCGCCAGCCCGCAACGCGGCACACGACAGCAATCGCAATCAGCCGCCATTTGCTAGCCAATGGTTCTTCTCCGACAACGAGCTGCTGAGCACGCCGAGCATATTGCACGGGCTGTCGCCCGCCGAGGAGCGGGAGCGCCGGTCGAAAGGCGTCAACTTTATCTACCAGTCGGGCATCGCCGTGCGGCCACACCCGTTGCCGCAGATGACGTTGTATGTGGCGGCCATCTTCTTCCACCGCTTCTACATGCGCACCAGCATGGTCGAAGAGCGCGGCGGCATCCACCACTATGTAAGTCGTCTCGCCCGTACAAGCATGCTCTCTTGCTTTGTTTGCTTTGTTTGCTGTGTTGCCGACAACGCCTAACGCCCAGACTGTAGAAAATCGCTGCTACGGCCATGTTTTTGGCCAACAAGACCGAAGAGAACTGCTTCAAGACGAAGAACATTATCGTGGCAGTCGCCAAGGTGGCGCAAAAGAACATGGACTTGGTTGTCGACGAGCAGAGCAAGGAGTACTGGCGCTGGCGCGACGTCATCCTGACCTACGAGGAGCTCATGCTCGAGACCCTGACGTTTGACCTCGTCGTCGCCAACCCCTACGACCAGCTCTGGTCCCAGCTGCGCAAGCTCGGCCAGCTCGGCACCAAGCCGGTGCGCGAGGCCGCCTGGACGTTCCTCAACGACTCCGCCCTCACCACGCTGCCGCTCGCCCTCGACGCCAGCGACCTGGCGTCGGCCTCCATCTTCTTCGCCAGCATCGCCACCGGCGCGACCGTCGACGACGTCCAGAGCCGGCCCTGGTGGCAGCACCTGCGCGCCGACGAGACGCGCATCACGCGCGCGACCCACGCCATGGTCGCCTTTTACACCGACAACCCACTCAAGAAGCAGCAGGCCAGTGGCCGCGTCGTCGCGCAGGGCTCGCCCGTCTTCCAGCTGGAGGCCACGCGCCGTCCGCAGGAACTGGCCCAGCTCAACAGCCGGTCGCTGGACCACAACAGCAATGGAAACAGCCACAACAATAGTCACAGCAATAGCCACAGCAATGGTCACAGCAACAGCAACAGCGGTCACAGCCACCAGCCGACGGCAAGCCGCGACGTAACGCCCCTCGAGCTGGACCAGCGGCAGCCGCAGCCGCCGCCGCCGCCACCGCAGCAGACCCGCGGCCGGGGCGACTCGGATGCCGCCCTCAAGGCCGCTGCCAACGACTTGGACCACCATCCGAGTCACTATGCCAACTCCGACGCCAACGCCAACGGGCTTGCTGGCCGTTTGGCCCCCAACGGCGACCCGGCCAGCACCCGGAAGCGCAAGAGCGTCGAGCCGGACGACCACCTCCTCTATCGCGACCGTGATCGGGACCGCCACGACCGCCACAGCGAGGGCATCGAAGAGGGCGAGTACAAGAGCAGCTCGCCGCCACCGGCCAAGCGGGCCCGCCGGACGTCTGAAGGCGAGGTTTCCGATGGGGCCTAATCCTGCTTCTCCTCCTTTCTTCCTTTCCTCCTTCCCCCCTTTCCCCTGTCCCTCTTACTCCTTGTCTACTCTTGTGCTTTCTTTATTCCCTTTTTATTTTTCTTCGCTATGTCTTACTCTTTTATTTAACTATTCTCCCGCCAACGGCCATTTTCTTCTTTTTTTTTTTTACTTTTTTCTTGTTTTACGTCGGTCAGGGACTGGCGAACAAAGGAGTTCTAGCATAGACTACTTTTGCGTCGTTTTCTTTCTTTTTGTTACCCTTCTTTACTTTTTTATTTTGTATGATTTTTTTTCACGTCTATTCAGCAGACAGTAATCAGCTTTACTCGGGAAACACCACGTTCGGGTCACGAGCGGGTTTGAAGGCGGGTAACGGCAAAGGCGGGACCCGCCTCCTTTGGGACAAGGAAGGCTGCAATCTGGAATTTGGTTGGGATTGTAATTTGGTCAGGGGATTGTCAAGATATTCGCGCATCGTCAAAATACGTGCTGCTACTGAGATACCTAAATACCACCCTGACATTATGAACCATAATCACCGGCGAAGGGCATGTGCGTACTATTCACTCACAGTCAAATGCTTCCAGACAACAAATATGCATAACAATTACACATGTCTTCTTAATTAACATCGTCACACATTTTGTTTGAGCGGTGGTAAGCAAATGCACCAACAAAGGACAAAGGACAAAAGACAACAATACACCAGCCCAGTCCTTTGACTCGGCGGCTCAGTCCTTTTGGTAGGACTGAACACCTACACTGCTGCGCGCGACCCGGCGGTCATGTCTAGTGTTTCCTCATCGTCCGTGCTCCATTTTTTGTTTTCTGTTTTCGGCAGGTCTTGCAGTCTATCCTAAAATGCACGGCATGCACGAAAATGCACGACAATGCACGAAACCCAACAATCTCGTGGTCTCCCTTTCTACTTCTGACACTTTGTCGCGCTTATGCCTGGTACGTCGAGGCAGAGACATTGCCACCGCGGCCGGTCCAGTTGACGTGGATGTCCTGGCCATTGGGGTACTTATCAGACGCGTCCTCGGGCTTGATGCGGAAGGTGTGGGCACCGAAGTAGTCGCGCTGGGCCTGCAGCAGGTTGGCGGGCAGATCCTTGGTGCGGTAGCCGTCGAACCACGACAGGGCGGTGCTGAAAGCCGGGGTCGGGATACCGAGCAGGGCCGACTTGGCAACAACGTCGCGCCAGCCGGGCTGGGCCTTGTGGATGGCCTTGTTGAAGAAGTCGTCGAAGAGCAGGTTCTGCAGATCGGGGTCCTTGCGGTAGGCGGCAGTGATGTCCTTGAGGAAGACGGAGCGGATAATGCAGCCACCACGCCACATCAGGGCAATGGACGGCTTGTTCAGCTTCCACTTGTACTCCTTGGCGGCCTAGAGACAGAGACGGATGGTGAGTATGGCATGTGAGGCAAAATACAAGGACGAAGTATAGGCAGAGGAAAGGGGAAAAGGGAACACAATGCGGCTTACCTCCTGCATCAGCATGAAACCCTGGGCGTAGGAGATGATCTTGGAGGCGTACAGAGCCTGCTCGAGGTCCTCAAGGAACTGCTCCTTGTTGCCCTCGAACTTGTTGGCGCGGCCCACGAACTCGAGCTTCTTGGAGGCGGTGACACGCTCGTCCTTGATGGCAGACAGGCAGCGCGACAGCACAGCCTCGGCGATCAGAGTGACGGGCATGCCGAGGTCGAGGGCGTTGATCGCGGTCCACTTGCCGGTGCCCTTCTGGCCGGCCTTGTCGAGGATCTTCTCGACCAGGGCAGTGCCATCGTCGTCGTTGTAGTACATGATGTCGCGCGTAATCTCAATGAGGAACGAGTCCAAGACGCCCTTGTTCCACTTGGCGAAGACATCGCCAATCTCCTTGCTGGAGAGGCCCAGGCCGCGCTTCATGATGTCGTAGGCCTCCGAGATGAGCTGCATGTCACCGTACTCGATACCGTTGTGGACCATCTTGACGTAGTGGCCGGCACCCTCGTCACCGACCCAGTCGCAGCAGGGCTCGTTGTCGCTCTTGGCGGCGATGCTCTGGAAGATGTCCTTGATGTAGGGCCAAGCATCCTCCTGGCCACCGGGCATCATGGACGGGCCGTAGCGGGCACCCTCCTCGCCACCGGACACACCGGAGCCGACGAAGCGGAAGCCCTTGGACGCCAGGTACTGGGTTCTCCGGTTGGAGTCGGGGAAGTGTGAGTTGCCGCCATCGATGATGATATCACCGCGCTCCAGCAGAGGAATGAGGGTCTCAATCCAGTCGTCGACGGCCTTGCCGGCCTGGACGAGGAGCATGACACGGCGGGGCTTCTTGAGTTTGGAGACGAACTCCTCGGTGGAGTGGGCACCGACAATGGACTTGCCCTTGGCCTCGTTGGCCAGGAAGCGGTCAACCTTGGACACGGTACGGTTGAAAGCGCAGATGGTAAAGCCATGGTCGGCCATGTTCAGAATCAGGTTCTGGCCCCTGTTTGCGACAATAATTAGCCACGCCTTTGGCAAGACGGCCGGGGGAGCTCCGAGACGATTTCTCTGGCGATCCGCGGAACTGATAAAGAGAGTTGGGATTGACAACTTACATGACGGCCAGGCCGATGAGGCCGAGATCAGCACTGGCATTGCTGTTAGCATTTTTCTGTTCATGGTTCTGATTCTGGGCAGCGCTGCCCCGTTCAGGCGTGGACAAGGTGGAAGTTGAGGAGGAGGATGCAGTGAAGGAGGTGGTCTGAAGGGCCCCGCCGAGCATCGCAAGGCGGGTTCTGTGACAGGGACAAAGAAACAGTTTCAGCCGGCCATTGATTTGTGAAAAGTGGACGTGAAGCAAAAGCGCACAGCGAAGCACAGCAAGCGTCCAGAAAGCTGCAAGCAACGACAGCAGTGGGGTTGCCTCAAGGGCGTCGTTTTTTTTTTTTTTTTTTTAGAGAGAGAGAGACCTCCTGGGTTCCGTCCGCCGGTATTTCTTTTCCTTCGTATTTCCCTCACTCGCCCGCGATTACTATTTTCTTTGCCGTGGCGCATCCCGTCTCCTCTTGGGCCATGATCGCAAACGACTGGTGCGGGGGTGGGGTAAATTTTCCAACAGCAGGGCGTTTCGACGTCGAGCACCGAAGTGACAAAGGCGCCGACACGAGAAGCAATTGGAAATTCGGCAACAGGAAATCAACAAGCCGACGGCAGTGACAACAGTTTCGCATCCCAGAAGGGTGCAATGGGGCAATTGGGGCAGCGAATGGCCCCGAAGAGGCAGAGGACAAGCTACAGCAGGGGGCGCTGAAGAGAGGCACTTACACAGGACCAGACATGGCTGTATCTGTTGAGCAGTAGACTGTGGATGGAGATGGGGATGAAGGGTGTGAAGCTGTTGAGGGGGAATGTCGATTCGACGTGGATGGTGATGGAAGTTTGGAGACGTAAAGGAGAGAAGAGAAAAGAAAAAGGAGAGAAGGAGGAAGAGAAGGGAAGAAACAAAGGGAGAGAAAGTAAAGCGGAAGGAAGGAGAGAGGCAGAAAATTAAAGCGAATAAAATAAAATAATGCGACTGCTTGCTTCACTGGTTTGGCGTAGAGGCAAGTGACTGACAAGGCAGGCGCGGGGCTACGAGACAAGCTCCAGACCAAACAGATCTTACACAAAGAAGCGACGACACACGCTCATACGACATACAGTCATAAAAACACACAGACACGGAGAAGGTGCGTTCGGTTGCAGCCCACGGTTCACTGCGCAAGAGGCAGGAGCAACGCGCACAGAAACACAGGGAGAGAAGCAACGAGAGTCGGCGGCAGGAGCAAAACGAAGCGGTTACGTGCGACACACGGCAGGAGCCACCGCGTAGCAACCCCTCATCGCAGAACTGTTTCCGCCAACACCAGTAGCAGATAGACAAGCTGACGAGACATGGCAAGAGGGAGAAGAGCAAAAGCCGTCAATAGGCTATGAAAGCTGGCTTCCTGGGCGACGTAATTAACAGGTCCAGCAGGGGCCGGAGGCGAGACGCTAGTCGGGCCTTGCAGCATGTCGCAGGTCTTGCTGGAGAAACCCACAGTCGCCGCGAGGCCCAAGATGGGCAGGCACACCAGGCTGGCAGCCGACGCCGCCGAGGAAAACCACGATTAGCAAGCAGTAATAATACAAAATAATACCTGACAATTCCCAAACTAGGGATGTGCCATATCTCGACGCTTTGGTCGGCAAGTGCACTGCCAAACCAGGCAGGACCCAAGGTACAAGATGAGACGAAAGAAAGCAAGAGCGACCTGGGCCTGCCACAACCCAGAATCCGTTGGCTGCCAAAACGAAAGCCAACGACAATGCATCCGATGCTCAGGACCAGGAACGAGGCAAGAGCACAAAAACTTCGTCCCAACAACAAGGAAGGCGAAGAGATGCTCCTGGTCCGTTAACGGTCGGAAAAAGAACACGGGAAAATAGCCATAGGCGGGTAATTGAAGGTGGGGCTTACTGAGGGCAGAATCGACCCGGACACCCGAGCTAGAGGAGGGTGAGCAGTATCCATATGGAGCAGACACATTTTTGGCTACCAGATACGCGAGCTACAGCAGAGGCATTACTACTTGCTGGCCGGGGAACCTCTATTTCCGATTTGTCGTGTTGGGAGACGGCGATTGGGTCGTCCTTTCCGTCCGAGTAGCTTTCTCAGGCCGAAGCAGGCAAGTGCAAGGCCCGTATATAGGACACCATCGTGGCAAGCCACCCCCAGAGAAGAAGGAGTGAGAGGAGAACGCAAGAGAAACAGAAGGAACGAATGGGGCGAAAGGGGAATGAGGCAATGAGACGGAGCCCCGTGTCAGCAGCCACAGCACCAATATGGTTTGTTTTGCACCCTGTTGCATCGTCCTGCCAGGCACAAGATACGATACATACATATCCGACGGGGGCCATCCTGTATCAGGTGCGCAGTCAGGCGTACGGAACTGGCGTCCCCGGCCAAGCCATTTTGGCCGACAGTGAAACAGAGGGCATCGACGAGGGCTCCGTCGTTCCTTCCATGTGCGTGCCTCGACTAATCACAGTTCGAGGCATTTTCTGTTTTTCATTGCCTCTTTTCTTCCCAGCGAGAACCGGAGGCTTTGCCTCCAGCCTGGAGCCAGTTGCGCTGCTGAATCGAAGGACGATAACATCCCACGGCGAAATATACTGGTGTGTTTGCGGTGAAAAAAAAAAAATAGCATCTACTGCGTAACAACCACGACCGCGAGAGGGGCAGAGCGGCACCGTAGCGCGACTTTGCTTCCATCCCATCATCTTGGCACAAGGGTGCAGGGGTCGCATGAGGCAAGAGCGACCCGCCAACAGCCCCAAACTCCCCCAAACAAATTGAAGAACCGGCCCAAACCAACAACCCCCACGCCCACGACAGAGAAAGAGCGAGCAAAGAAGCACCACCAATTGGGGCGCGCCCTCTTTCCCCATCGGATCGGCGTCTGTTCGCATTTGAAAGGGCCTGCGCGACAAAACTTATACGATGTTTGTAAGTGATGTCCGACGCAAAGTGTAAGTCAATGACGGGCTTCATACTCTACTGACAAGGCATGTTCGATGGCAAGATGCTGTGGAAGAGGGACTGTACGGAGTAGGCGGCTGTTGGGTGTTGCTCTGTTCTCCATGCTCTATTCGTCGCGGAAAGGTGGAAAATGGGCTGTTTTCTCGTTTCTCCCCGGATTTGCAGCGTTTCTTGAGCACTCTCCAACGTTTCTAAGTGAGTTTGTTTCCAATGCCTGCCATGAGACGCCCGAGGGTAGCAGTTGGGGCATGGAGGGGCTGTGACGTACGTCAGAGCTTTGACAGTCGGATTGAGGGAGCTGAGCTTGAGCTGTTTTCGTAGCAAGGTGGTAATAGCAAGGAGGACACGGTGTGAATGTTACAATACTGTGTAATGCACTGTGTCAACTTGGCTTAGTCAGAAACTGTGTTATATCACGTGCTTTTCTCACCGCCACCAACATTCGTCGCGCCCAATGTCTTTGACGAGGGCAGAAAAGACAGCGCAAAGAAAACATCGCCGTCGCATCAGGCTGCATCATCAGGCTTCCATCGACAGCCGAATCCCCAACACACGACAGACGGTCTCAATATCATCGTCATCTACGATCCAAAGGCTTGTTTGGCTTCTAGGTACGTTTGTGCCCAACTTGCACAAGACACGTCGCCAACCTCTCTCTCTCCGTCCTTTTCTCCTCCTTTCTCCTTTTTGGTGTTTTGCAATCGAAATTCATCATGGTCTTCTCGGGCCCTCCAGGCGTCAACTCGCCGCACCCGTCGCTCCCTGCACGGCCACCTCCGTCGTCTGTCAGCCCGGCGCCGAGCTCCTCCACCCCGACCACGACATACGGGCCGAGCGCACCGCCAGCCACATCCTATGGCGCACCAGCAGCAGAGACCGCAGGGCCCAAGCTGGGGTACTCGCGGACGTATGCCCCCGTAGGCACCGATGCCGGCCGCACCTACAACACTTACAACAACAGCAACAACAGCAACAGCGCCTACTCCTACCCCCAGAGGCAACCGCAAGGACCGAGCTATGGCCCCAGTGCACCTCCGGCGACGAGCTATGGGCCCCAGTACGCCCCAACGCAGTACGGGCCACAAGCACCACCGGCCGGTGCGGGCATTGGCCCACAAGCGTACGGCCCCACGGCACCGCCTCCGATCCAGAACCCGTTCCCTGCCCATGGCCCGCAGCAACCGCAGCAGACCTATGGCGCTGGTGCTGGGGCTGGTCGCGGCGGGGGCTACCGACAGAACAACAACAACTGGCAGGGTGGATACGCCAATGCCAACACCAATGCGACTGGTGCTCCAACGTCGTACGGACCCAGCTATGGCCCCAGTTACGGACCCAGCTACGGGCCTACCTACGGCCCCAGCTACGGCCCGACAGCAGCTGCCGCTGGAGCCACGGCCGTGACGTACGGACCGGACGGCATGCCGGTTCCAGCAGACGCTGCCGTTGGGGATGACGCGTCGGGCGACGCGGACGGCGGCGACGGCGGCAGCAGCGCCAAGGACAAGGACAAGAAGCAGAGCACGGTGTACCGGTCGGGCGGCGGCAAGACGTGGACGGACGACTCGCTGCTCGAGTGGGACCCCAGCCACCTGCGGCTGTTTGTGGGCAACCTGGCGGGCGAGGTGACGGACGACACGCTGCTCAAGGCGTTTTCGCGGTGGCGGTCGGTGCAGAAGGCGCTGGTGAAGCGGGACAAGTGGACCAAGAAGTCGCGGGGGTACGGGTTTGTGAGCTTCAGCGACGCGGACGACTTTTTCCAGGCGGCCAAGGAGATGAACGGCAAGTACATTGGCAGCCATCCGGTGGTGGTGCGCAAGAGCACGACCGACATCAAAGTGACGCCGTTCAAGGACGAGACGACGGGCCACGGCGGCGGCGGCGACAAGAAACGCTTTGGCAAGAACCGCAACAACAACAAGACCGGCGGCGGCGGACACAGCACGCCGGGCGACGTGTCCAGCACGGGCGCCACCAACAGCGGCACGAGCACGCCTCTGGGAGGTGGTGCCGCAGGGGCCGCCGGCAAGAACAACAGCGGCAGTGGTGGCTTTGGCAAAAAGTCCAAGGCGTCCGGGTACGAGCCGGCCCTGGGCCCCGTGTCGTCGGGCGTGCACAAGCCCAAGAAGACAAAGAACGGGCTCAAGCTGTTGGGTTAGGGTTGGAATCATACGGCGTTCATTTGCGGTCGGAGTTGGTGGGCATCGGCGTCTGGTCAGTTCCATTTTTGCATATATACTACCTGTGGCGCTCCCATGTGGAAACAATGTACATTTTGTAAAGGGGTTCTCTACAACCAGGCATTTTGCACAACTTGTATTCATTCATCTCGAAATGTGCGTACTGTCCTTTAATCTAATTGGGTATCTCTGCGTCTGTTTGCCATCTATCCTACACGGTGAGCATGCGTGTCATATCTCATCCTCTTCGTCGTCAAAGTCGTCCTCGCGGCCCATGTCGTACAGGATGCGGCCGCCCTCACCGGCGCCAATGTCGGTCTGGGCATCAAAGTAGGGCAGGACAATCCCCTCACGGTCACGGCGCTGCTTGTCGGTCAGGCCCAGGTTGAACGTGGATGTGGGCGCGTCCTCGTCGCCACTACCATCGTCCGGCCTGTCGTCCTCCCTTGGGTCGCGTGCGGCCGCAAACAACGGGTGGTCTGCCATGACTGTGATGTTGGCGCACGGTACCGCACCAGGCTGCCAGGGAAAGGCAATCTGGGCGGGGGCGGGGGCAGGAGCAGGTGTGGACGTCGCAGACGCCGGCCGTGCTGCCGGGACTGCCGCCTTCTTCTCCGTGCCCAGGACAACCACGTACTGCTCGACAACGGCGCGCCCGCTGCGCCGCCGCAGCTCCATCGTGACCAGCAGCCCCCGCCGATCCAGCGCCTCGGGCGTACCGCCAACCAAGTCCCGGCGTGTGCCGTACCGTAGCGCCGCATCGCTGTATCCGTACGGCCAGCCCTCGCCCTCGGCCCAGCCAAAGCGTGGCACTTCCTCGGCGCGGTCGCGGGCGCGTTTGCGCGCAACCTCTTCGTGCAGCGGCAGGACGCGCAGCACGGCGGTCGCCAGGTGGCACAGGATGCGGAAGGGGTGTGGCTTGCCCCGGTGCAGCGGCGAGGGGCCGCTCATTGTCGACGACGACGCGCCGACGCCGTCGGTGTGGTACAGCCCGACGACGGACGCCGCCGGCGACACCAGGCTCGACACAAAGGCGGCGGCCCGCAGCGGGTCCTGGCGGGCGATCTGGCACAGCGAGTCGACGACAACGAGCACCTTCTTGGGCCCGGCGGCCGACACCGCGGACACCGCGGCCAGAATCGCCTGGCGAAACACGTCGAGCGGCTGCCCGCGGCGCTCGACAAACACATCGACGTGCGGGGACCGGCGGCGCGGCGCCAGGTGGCTGGCGACGTAGACAATGGCCGTCTTGTCCGTCTTGGCCGCCGCGCCCGTCTTGGCCCGCAGCATCATCTCCTCGACGAGCGGCACGCCGGACTCGCGCACGGTGTCAAGCACCAGCGTCAGGGGACTCACGCCATCGCGCAGGCTGAGCAGCTTCTGCAGGAGGAGCACGCTGTACGACGACCGCGAGTGCGCGTGCGCCCGTGGCGTGGCCATCTGCGTGTGCGGCGAGAATAGGGTTTTGGGACAAGCTTGTGAAATGAACGTAGTTGTATGACTTTCGAATGGGTAGGACGTGGCAGGATGAAGGGATTGACTGTTATGAGTTACTTGAATGGTGGCCTACGACAAAATAGGCAGTTGCAGCCTTGTGAGTGTCTGGGGTAGGGCGATGGCCAAAATTCTGAGTGGTGTCACGTGATGTCACTTTGCCGACTATTTCCCCCCTTACCATGCGACTGTACCTCGATCATTGCTGTTGCTTGCATCGGTTACTGAAAGTCTGTAGGATATTTTGACAGGTCCATTAGTAGTATTTAATACCCTGGGTCGTGGTTGATGTGTATTGTAAGATCTGGAACTTGGCAGTTATTTTTCGTTTGCGGGCAGTCAACTCCGTATTTTTCGGTTTATTTATTTTACAAAAAATATCATAAACATAAAGAAAATCAGAGAGCCGTCCTAGAGAATGTATTGTAGTATTTCCCAAGACAAAATCATACTCTGTACGGTTTGACAGGACCGGTGTTCTTTCTCTGTTCGGAATATGCCAAGTAGTTTTAACTTTCGTCTATTGTTCAAATACTTCGACCGGCTATTATCATCACGGCAGCAGTAAGGTCATGTCACCACTTTGCCATCTTTCTGATTTTGCAGTTTTGCGGTTGTACAGTTTATTGTCACCTTCAACTCCCTCAATGTCGCTGTAGCTGCATTGCTCTTCCGTCGCAGCTCCCATGCAGTTGTTTATTTTCCTTCTACTTGCCGTTTCCAATATATGCGTTTGTTTCCAGCAGGCCAATCACAGAATACGTTTCCCGCCTGTTTCTGCCTTTCCGTATTCCTGTCTTCTTCGTTCCGAATCATGGCATACGAATACCACTATCCTATATTGCCCTATAGGTCTTATCAATATAGAGCATCCCCTCCCACTCTCTCCAACATTGCCGGCAGAGCGCGTCGATCGCCATCCTCCGTTATTTTGGGCCCCGACCAGATTGTTGTTTTCTTCATTTTGTCCAAATTACCGCTCTTGGCCAGCGCGGCACACGACAGTCCCATGGCCGATTCGACATTGAGAAGCAGAAAGACGCCTTGGCTCTACATGGCCAGAGTGGTGACGAGCTTCGCCAACGCTCGGACGTTGAAGGAATATGACTTTCTTGCCATTTTTGGCAGTTCTCCGCAGGGAACAGTGTGTGCCTTTCTTTATCATCGTGATTCTCAATTTGACTGTCTCATGTCTTTTCGATCGTTGATTTTTGGCTCATCACAGCGGTTCACCGTCTCAACCTAAATAGTACTCCTTATCTTCGAGCCTGGAATCCATCCCATTACTACTCTCGGGATATATCACCCCTCGTGATATCTGCCTCTCCCATCGCGGCGAGTCTGGCTTGCTCCGTTCCGCGTTTGTCTCCTGATCCAGTGTCCCTTGTCCAATTCCATTTGCACAATCTACAATCTACAAACTACAACCACTCCACTAAATCGTCTTTATCTCTCCATCACTTTGTCCCCTCTCCCCTCATTCTTCCTTTCTTGGCTTCTGAGCCCCGTTCCCTTACTATCTTTCCCCATTTTGTCTCGTCGTTTTGACGTGATAAAGCTGTGATCTCGCCCTCCATCCTTTCGGCCTCTCATCCCTTCCTTTTTACCCGGTGTCTTTGTTGGCGTTTCCACCGTCAGGAATAGAAGCAGTTCCAGGCAGCTGGGTTTGCCCGTCGTCTCGTCTTGCTTTCGCCCCTATCTTCTCATCTTCGCACTGTCATGGCCGTCCTCAGCGTCCTGCTCGGCAGTTTGGCTGCGGCCAGCGTCGTTGCCGGCGCACCTGCTTCATCATCAGCCTCGTCAGAGACACCGCACTATGGCAGCCACCACCGCAGCGGCAACCACGTGCTGGTGTCCCGTGCACCGGCGGTCGCTCTTGCCGAACACACGCTACCGCTCGTGCGCCATGTCCCGGGCGCACAGGGAAGGCGCGCCCGGCCACGGCCATGGCACAACCCCGATCGGGCGGTCTGGCCACTGCACGCGACATGGCACGAGGCAGTCGCGGCCGGCGGCAGTCCCAACGGGTCGAACGCGACAAACGGCACATCCACATCCACATCGACCACCAACTCCAGCTCGTCCACGCCCCCCGCCGCCATCAGCAGCGGCCTCGCCCCCTCGGCCAACCACGACATTGAGTACCTCACCAGCGTGGTCGCGGGCACCAACAACCTGTCGCTCGTCGTCGACACGGGCAGCAGCGACACGTGGTTTGTGCGGCAGGGGTTCTCGTGCATCGACCCGCAGTACCACGAGCCGACGCTGGTGGCGGCGTGCCGGTTTGGCCCCGAGTTCAAGGGCGACTTCCCGGGCGGCGCGATTGCCAACCAGCACCTGAGCGTGGCGTACGGGTCGGCCAACGGGCCGTTTATGCAGGGCGTGCTGGGCTACGCGGACCTGACGGTGGCCGGGCTGACGACGCGCAACCAGACGATTGGGCTGGGCACGCGCGGCTTCTGGGACGGCGACGGCATCTCGAGCGGGCTGCTGGGGCTGGGGCTTCCGGGCCTGACGAACGCGCTGCCGGGCGCCGTGAGCACGTCGCGCGCGGGCGACCTGGCGGACCAGCTGCGCACGCCCGTCGAGTACAGCCCGCTGGTGGCGACGATGGCGAGCAGCAGCAGCGGCAACAACGTGACGCAGTTCAGCCTGGCGCTGTCGCGCGACCCGCAGCAGTCGTTTCTGGCCTTTGGCGGCGCACCCGCGCACATTGCCGTCGACCCGGCGCTCGGCTGGGTCACCACGCCCATTGTCAAGACGGTGATGCGCAGCGTCAGCGCCAGCGGCAGCGCCAGCCGGCAAGCGCGCTACATGTACTACACCATCAGCATCGAGTCGCTCCAGTACAACAGCAGCCTCCTGCGGCGGAGCACCCTCACCATGGATCAGCAGCCGCTGCGCGACGTCCCCATCATCGTCGACAGCGGCACCACGCTCAACCTCTTCTCGTACGACGTCGCCCTCGCCATCAACCAGCTCTACACGCCGCGCGCCCAGTTCGACCCGGACCAGGGCGCCTGGATCGTGCGCTGCGACGCCACGCCGCCCAGCCTCGGCGTCCAGATTGGCGACAAGACCATCTGGACCGACCCCAAGAGCATGATCCTGCCGCCGCCGCCCGGCGCCGGCGTGGGCGAGAACCTGTGTCTGTCGGGCGTGGGCGCGCGCAGCGAGCTGCCGTACATCCTGGGGGACACGTTTATGCAGCAGCTCGTCACCGTCTTTGACGTGGCCAACAAGGAGATCAAGTTTGCCAAGCGGCTGGGCACGACGGCCGCGGCCGCTCCAAAGTCGGCATAGACGTAGGAAGGTCACGGGAATAGTGTAGAGTGTAGCTCGAATGCCATGTCGTCGTATCGGTTCATTACTCTGTCGTTATCTTGTTGTAAATAAACATCATAATTGCACCTCCCATTGCTTCCCTGCTCGCGTATTGGTATCATTCACCCACTTCGATGCTATCCTCCACTGGATCGTTATCCTTCGGGCCCTGCGACGCAGCCGCGACTCCAGTGCCCATGCTAGGCGTCATCCGTTTCCGGCTCCTCATGGGAACGTCGACGGCTTCGGTGGCATCAGCGCTGTCGATGTCGACGGAAACCTTGCGTTTGGCTGGTACGGAAGAGGCCTCCTCCACGCTGTCAATTGCCGTGTCCACTCTAGCCTGCTTCTGCCTTTGTAAACTTTTGTTGGACGTGTCTGTCTCAGTAGTCGTTTTGGGTTTGACTGGCTGCGCCTCATCTCCGTCGAGCACGTTGCTTGTTCTTGCTTCGATGGCAGCGGCGGCGGCAGCGACAAAGTCGCCGTCACCTGCCTTGGCCTCGTCTGCTTTCGACGCCCGCCGGCCTCGTTTCAGCGACGTGCTGGGCACGACGTTTGCCTCGTCCACCTTCTTTGCCCTGTGCGCCTCCGGCCGCAGCTCGTCCGGCACCGTGACACCCCAGCTGCTCTCAAACGAGTCGAGCACATACGCATCAAACAATCCCGTGGACCGCATCGCGTGCGCCTCAAACGCCTCCTCCAGCCACTGCTTGTTGTAGAACCCGGCCGCCAGGTCCGACCGGTACCGCGCACAGTCGTGCCGGAAATTGTTGTCGTTTTCCAGAGCGGCCACGTCGGGGCGGGCCAGCTCCGGCGTGTCTCGATCCAGAACAACGGCGCCCGGCGGAAGACGCGCCAGCACCCCCCGCTTCTCGTCCGCGTCGAGGACGTCCCATGCCTCTGGCTGGCACAGCAGTGTCCGCAAATCAAACTGGGTGAGTGGCGAGCGCGTGTTGGCGAGCACAAAGTCCGTCTGCCAACGAGCAGCTGCCTGTTTGCGGCGGCGCATCACAGCCACAGCGGCGGAGGCCGATGTCGAGGGGGCGGCCTTGTTGGTCTTGGCCGTCTCGTCTTTGGCTTTGGCAGGTGTCCGTGTCCTGGTCGTCACCTTGGCCGACGGCGGCGACGGCTCGTCGCCATAGTGCTTTTGGACGACACGCCGGCCCGAACGTGTTGTCGTGACCGCGGGCACGGCGGGCACGTCTGGTTCGGTAGCTGCAGGCTGTTGTGTGTCATGGTCCCCCGTCTTGGTGCTGTTCTCTTCAGCCACAACTGTGGACTGCTTGCTCGTCGCCTTTCTCGGCGTCCTGGCGGGCGTCTTGGTCTCGCTCTTTGATCTTGCCCGGCTTCGCTGGACTGGAGCTTCCTCCGACTCTTCTTTGTCTTCTGGCTCTGCCTTCCCTTGACTCTGTTTGCTTTCCCTCTTCTGCACCCGCTTCGCTTTCGGCACCGGTAAAAGTGCCTTTACGACAGCAAACGCGTTGGCCGTGTACGGCGGTGACGAGTGGATCTCTTCTGTAGCAATGGTCGCGACGTCTGGCTCGCTGGCAGCCACATCGATCAAATCGTGAACTGGTTCACCAATTGGCTCATCGTGTTCTCGGTCGACCTGCACGACGATCTCGGCCCCTGGAGGCGAATCCGCTCGTGGTGATGTCAGGATGAAATCTACCTCGGACAACGCTTCGTCGGGATCAATAGAGGGAGGGCGGTCAATCTTGTGATTATGATCGGCATCTTGACCCGGGTCCCTGTCGCTCTCGTAGCCGCAGATTATACTGGATGCCGGCGGCGAGGAGAGAGGCGATGAGTAGTCCATAGCGAGGACGTTGTAGCTTGTGCGTCAATAGAGACGCCAAAGCAGGCGGAGTGTAGCGGTGCTTGGCCTCAATAAGCCATGGCCACGACAACGATGCAATGATGAGATGAACACTGTCAAGATGGAGATCACTATGCATAAGGTGGTAGTGCGTAGACGTCACGAAGAATACACTCAAGAACAAAAATATAACGACGAATGCACAGCGAGAGAATGGACTATCGTGGTGAATGTGGAGAGAAGTGAATTGACAATGTTGCGATGTCTGTGTTTGCTGCATCGAGCTATTTAGATCATTTGTGGAGTGGGAGCTCCAAGACAAGGCTGACGTAGTGCAGAGTGTTTGGTGGGGGCCACTGAACCGCTGTAAAACGAAATTGAAACCCTTGGGAAAAAAGCTACAGCAGCTGCTTAGGGCAGAGGGCAAAAAAATTGGTAGCTTCTCTTTGTATAGCGTGTCATCCTTAGTGCAGGGGCCATGCTAATCTTCTCTGTCTGGAATGAATTGTCAGTAAATTGTTGCGCTAGTCGCGAATCGAATTCGGGAGCTGTGGAGAACAAACTTACATCGTTTCAAATTGACCAAATGCCCGAAGGCAAGTAAAAGCCCTCTTTGTCTGGTTTATATAGCCCAGCCCAAAGTCCCAACTGGGTCACGTGTGCCCACATCTGCAATGTACCCACGTTCTGCCCGTCCAGTTGTAAGAAGTTGCACGCCATAAAATCGCGAAAAATTCGAATGCACCTTTTCCCTCTGTTGTGTTTCTCTTCTTTTACTTGTGGTCCTGATATGTCGACTGGGTCGAACTCTTCACTCGAGCTGCTTTACACCTAACGTACCGAGCGCCCTGATTGGCTAGCCTCGTGGAGAAAAGTGGAGAGCTGGCCCGTTTAGGACAGCGCTGCCAATCTCCACGCCAGCGATCGAAAGGGGCAGCCGCGCTCTTGTCCTGCCTTGCAAGACAAAACTTTTAAAAAAGGAAGCAACGACGGCCGAAAAAGGAGGCAAGGAGGCATCGCCAACGAAACCAGTTGAACGTCACATCAACGCAGACGTCTACCCACACACCACATCCCTGTAACCTGCGACTCGCACTCGCCACAGTTTCCAACACCACCTAGGCAGACGCCGTCGTCCAAGACACGTCACCTGGATCGACTCCGACGACAGCCTTTGCAATCCCGATTGTTGCTGCCCAGTTGTCGGGTTTCTTGTCGATTTTTTTTTTCTTTTCTTTTTTTTCCCCCCCTCGTCCTCCTCTCTTCCTCTCTTCCGACTCTCCTCCTCCACACATCGCCATGATCCACTCGACACAGATCGCCCGCCTCGACGGGCTCATGCTCTGCGCGTCCGTCGACGACGAGAGCAACAACACGGCCTCTGCGGCCCTCGCCGAAGTCAAGTCGCAGGTCAAGCTGATCTTGCGCCGCCTCAACCGCAACGCCGAGCCCCAGGCCTCCATCGAGGTCTCGGCGCACCCCTTTGCCATCCACTACACCATCGCCGACGACGTCGTGTACCTGTGCGTCTGCGACCGCGCCTACCCTCGCAAGCTCGCCTTCACCTACCTCGCCGACATTGCCCGCGAGTTTGCCAGCACGTACCCCGTCGCGCAGCGCACCAGCCCGACGCTGCGGCCGTATGCGTTTATGGAGTTTGACACGTTCATCCAGCGCACCAAGCAGACGTACGGCGACGCCCGCGCCGCCCAGAACCTCGACAAGCTCAACGACGAGCTGCGCGACGTCACGCAGGTCATGACCAAGAACATTGAGGACCTGCTGTACCGCGGCGACTCGCTCGAGCGCATGGGCGAGCTGAGCAGCCGCCTGCGCGACGACAGCAAAAAGTACCGCCGCGCCGCCGTGCGCATCAACTGGGAGCTGATGCTGAAGCAGTACGGGCCCTTTGCGGGGCTGGCCTTCTTCATCCTGTTTTTCCTTTGGTGGCGGTTTTTCTAAGTGCCGATGGAGGGTGGACAGGAGAGAGGACAAGAGCTTGAAACGAATGGAACAAGACAAAAAAAGGGCAAGAAAACCCGAGCGGCGGCGAGCGAGCTTGAGCATTTTGGCGTTTTGGGATTTTGCAGTCTTTTTCCTGTGTGTATTTGAGCTCTTTATTTTGCTCCGTGAATATGTATACATTGTGTTTATGGTTTATGTCGCACGCTGGGTTAGACGGGTAGCTTTGTACAAATACGCAGAGTTGTACACTCGAGTTATAGACGATGGATACATACAGTGCCTGCAAGTGATGATCTGATGTATGATATTGATCCATTTACAACGTGTGCCCGGCACAAAGGCAGAAAAAAACGCCAAAAACGGTGCACCTGCTCCCAAACGCCGCTCATTTATTGACACGTCCTGACAAGCATGCAGTAAACGCCGGGCCGTTGCGCGGGCCTTGCAATCCAAATACAACCACGAGGGGAGGACGAACCAACGACGGCTCACTACTCTTCCTCGTCAATCTCGCCAATGGACGCCTGCTTGAGCCGCAGCTCCGACAAGACACGCTTGCGCGTCCCCTCGATGCGCTTCCGCAGCAGCGCGTTGGTCGTGGCCGCCAGCTGTGCCTCGAGCGTGGCCAGGCTCTTCTTGAGGTCGTTGATGTCCTCGCGCACGCCCTTGGCCTGCTCGGCCCGTGCCTGCTCGTCCTCGTCGAGGTCGTCGTCGTCGTCGTCGTCCTCATCGTCGTCGTCTCCGTCTGCGTCTCCGTCACCGCCAGCCTCGCCTTCCGACGCTGGCGTGGGCGCGTCGCCTTGGGCTGCCGCGGCGGCCACAACCGCATGTTGTGGTTGTCCTGCTGCACTGCCATCCGCGGCGCCCGCGCCAACACCCGCGCCGGCCGTCTTGTCGTCATCGTCCTCCTCCATAAACTCGGCCATGAGCTCGGCCTCGTCAATCTCGCCGTCGGCGTCCGCCTCGCCGTGCGGGCCGCCGTGCCCTTGCTGCTGCCTGCCAAAGTAGTCCTCGTCGACCTCGCCGTACGCGTCGTCCTCGCCTTCGGCATCCTCCTCGCCCATCTCCATCTCGGCGTCCTCCTCCTCGTCTCCGTCCTCGTCCTCGTCGGCCGTCCGCCCGTCGTCAAAGAGCTCCCACTTGGTCTCGGCGGCCAGGCGGTCCTCGTTCAGCAGCCGCTGCAGCTCGGCCTCCTTGTCCTTGATTTCCTTTTTGGACAGGCGCTTCCGGAAGCGCCGGTGGATGCAGTCGTGCATCGGCGGCGTCAGGCCGTGCGGCCAGCGGTAGTCTTTGCCGACCATGGCCGGCAGCGGTGCGCTCTTAGCCTCCGCCTCGCCCGCCACAGGCGCATACACCAGCAGCATCTGGCAGATGTCGGCGCTCTTCATAAAGTTGCGCTTGTCCCACGTCTTCATGCCCTCCGTAATGGTCGGTAGGTCCACCAGCACGCCCACAAAGTGCCTGCGCTGCACCGTCACGAGCGCCCGCCGCTCCGCCCCCGGCAGCCACTTCATGTCGAACTCGGCGCCGCCGTCCTTGGCCGGCACGCCAATCTTGCGCTCCTCCACCATGCGCCGCAGGTAGTCGCACTGCTCGCCGGGGAGCATGCGCAGCACAAACGCCTCCTCAATCAGCGGGTCCATCTCGCGGTCCTCCTCCTCCGAGTCGTAGCCCTCGCCTTTGCTGTGCGGCGGCGCCTCCTTGGCCGCCGGCTTGAGCACGATGCTCGCCGTGCGCGACAGCGTCGACTTTTTCAGAATCAGCTTGGGCCGCTTCGGCGGGTGCGCGTGCGCCCCGCCACTCTGGCTGCTGCTGCTGCCGTTCGGCAACGCCCGGCGCGCCGGTTTGGCCGCCGCCGCCACCGGCCGGCCCTCGTCGTCGCTCTCGTCAAAGTCGTGTGCGCGCTTCTTCGCCGACGGCTTCGAGATGCGGCCTTTTTGCGTCGTCACTGTCGCGGGCGTCGTGGGCGTCGCGGCTGTGCTGGGCGTCGGGGGGACGGCGATGCCCGGGGTGGTTGTGGATGTGGTCGGCGTGGCCGTAGCTGCAAGAGGGGCGCCGGTCGAGGGGGGCGCCCCGTCGGTGTGGACAGCCGGGGTCGGTGGTTGTGAGCGCTTCAGCACAATCCGCATGCCACCGCCACCAGGCGTCGCTGGTGGCGGTGACATGGCCGAGGGCGTCGCGACGATCGGGTTGGCCGCGATGGGAGAGGCTGCGCTGGGCATCCGCAGCTTGAGCGTGACGGGCCGCGACGGTTTCGCGGGTGGTGGTGGTGATGCCATGTTGGCTGCGTTATGGTGCATGTACTACTCTGACAGAAGAGTGCTCCTCGTGCCGGGAGGCGTGCGTATCAATGTAGAAAGAGGCGTCACGGCGTGGCAGAGTGGCAAACGAAAAGAGGCTGAAGAGAAAGAGAAGCCTGAAGACGAGAGGCTAGCGGCCGTCGCGAGGGCCCGCCATCCGACGCGGCTCCCAGTCGAATGAATGTCTATTGGTGACGTGTCGTAGTCGTCGGTACGTCGGCCGTGCGTAGTCTCGTCGCCGTCGTCGGTGGTTTCGCGATGATGCTGAGCAGGAGACAAAGCGACGATGTTCGTTTTCGGCTGACGAGGCAATAGCGGCGTTACAGTGCTGCTCGTCAGGTGCTTTCGCGGTTCGTAGTGCGCTACACGTAAAACTACAGGTAGAAGTGGGTCCCACAATAAGTGGGTCGCCTGCGTGCTCGCTTTCGGGGCTCTTTCCGTTACTTTTAGGAAAGTCAGCTGTAGCTCTCACCAAACTTTACGTTCCATCTTCAACCGCCACCATTCACGACAAACACCGTGCTCTCACCCCGACGCCTACCCCACGCGCTCTCCTCGCTTCTCGCGTCTCTCGTAACGCTGGTGCACACGATCCGACGACCTTGTTCCTCTGCGTGATGGGCGGCGGCGCATTCTGGTGACGGCGGTGGACGACACAAGACGACACACGACGACATCCATTCCGAGAGAAACACGCAATTCCCTCCTCACAAACGACAGCGACCTTGGCCATGACACACCAACTCCCCTTCTTCCACAGCCTGCTGCGCCCGTGCGTGCTCCAGATCCTCCGCGCGCAGGGCTACCATGCCGCCCGCCCGTCGGTCGTCGACGCCCTCACCGACCTCGCCGCGCGCTACTTGACGCTGCTCTGCGAGTCCACGGCCCACCACACCGCCCACAACAGCACCGAGCTGACGGGGCTCGTGCCCTCGCTCGTCGACGTGCGGCTCGCGCTCGAGGATTGCGGCGCGCTGGCGGGCGGCCAGAGCGTCTCCAACGACGACCCGCGCGGCGTCGACGAGTTTGCGGACTGGTTTGTGTCCGGGCCGCGCCACCGCGAGATTCGGCGCGTGGCGCTGGACGGCGACGACGACGAAAACACCGACTACTTGATGATGCTCAAGAAGAAGCACAGCAAGACGGGCGAGGACTCCAAGTACAGCAGCACCGTCCTGGGACGGGGCAACGTGGGCGGCGGCGGCGGCGGCGGCGGCGGCGGGGAGCACCACGCCGCTGTGGACCTAAACGGAGATGCTGCTGCTGCTGGCCCCACGGCCGTCGGCGATGGTATTGTTGTGGAAGGCGGCGACTGCCCGAGCATCACAGCGTGGCGCGAAAAGCGCATCGAGGCGCGCCAGCAGCCACGGCCGCCGACACCCGTGGCGGACGACGACGAAGACGAGGAGATGGACGATGGCGACGATGGCGACGACGCAAAACACCGGCGGCGGACAGCACGAAGCCCTAGTTCGGGCCTCAGCTCACTGGGCGACCGGTCGATTGACGAGGAGATGGAGCTGGAGTTTGGCGTCCCACAGGGCGCACACAACGGGACCGACACGACAGAGGCCAAGGAGGCTGCAGACACAAAGGATGTGGTCATGGAGACGGGGCAGGCCGGGACGGCAGGGACGGCAATCGCGACTGGAAACGAGGCGGTCGGCTTATAGGCTAAGCGACTGCGGACGTCCAGAGCTCGGACGGCAGCTGTTTGAGAGAGGTTCTCTTGGTTTCTACTGTCCGGTATGGCATTTGTACTTATTTTATTCTCTAGCGCGGCGTTGAGGCAGGTACAAAAGGCAATATATCGATTCAACTGTGATCAACACTTTTTTGTCTCTTATGTTTCAACTTCTAGACGCTTTTATTTGGCTGTACATGCTGTTCGTACCTTCCATCGACTCGTCGCCTACAGCTTGTCGTCGCTCGCCTTCGACTCCGTCACGCGGTCCAGGTTAAAGGCCGCACTGATCAGGGCCAGGTGGCTAAACGCCTGCGGCGTGTTGCCCAGCTGCTCGCCGCTCGGCGAGATCTCCTCGGAAAACATGTTGACGTGGTTGCCAAAGCTCAGCATGTTCTCAAACAGGTTGACGGCGCCCGCCAGGTAGCGGCTCTCGTACACGCTGGCGCGGCACATGGCCTCGACGAGCCAGAACGTGCACATGCTGAAGGCGCCCTCGCGGCCGCCGACGCCGTCGTCCGACAGCGTCGTGTCGTAGCGGCTCACCAGGCCGGTGCTGGTGAGGCCGCCGCGGTCGGGCGGCAGCAGGATGCGGTCGAGCGTGTTGAGGAAGCGCGGGTCGCAGGGCGAGATGAAGAAGACGAGCGGCGCAATCAGGATGGACGAGTCGAGGGCCGTGTTGTTCTCGTAGCTCTGGACAAACGACTTGAGCTCCGTGTTGTAGCCCTTGTCCATAATCTCCTCGTACAGGCCGTCGCGCGCCGCGAGCCACGCGGCGCGGTTCGGGCACGGCAGATTGCGCTTCTCGGCCAGGCGCAGGCCGCGGTCAAAGGCGACCCACAGCATGACCTGCGAGTAGGTAAAGTGCTGCTTGTTGTTGCGCACCTCCCAGATGGACATGTCCGGGTCGTGGCGGATCGTGAGCGCATAGTCCAGCAGCTGGCGCACCGACACCCACTGGTCCCACGTCGCCGGCTTGCCGTACTTGTTGTTGAGGTAGATGGCGTCGAGCAGCTCGCCGTAAATGTCAAACTGCAGGTGGAACGCGGCCGCATTGCCGACGCGGACGGGCTTGCTGCCCTTGTAGCCCTCCAGGTGGTCGAGCTCAATCTCGGGAATGTCCGTCTCGCCGCGGATGGTAAACATGATGGGCAGGCCGCCGTCCGGGTTGCGCGACGTCAGGATGCGCTCGCTGATAAACTCCATGTAGGCGTCGGCCTCGGCCTTGAAGCCGAGCCGCAGCAGAATGTAGATGGTGAAGCTCGCGTCGCGCACCCACGAGTAGCGGTAGTCCCAGTTGCGCGAGCCGCCAATGTTTTCGGGGATCGAGAACGTCGGCGACGCGATGATGGCGCCCGTGGGCTCGTAGGTCAGCAGCTTGAGGATCATGAGGCTGCGGTCGACCACCTCGCGCCACTTGCCCTTGAACTTGCTCTTGCTGATCCAGTTGTACCAGAAGCGCTGCGTGTCGTGCTGCTGGGAGTCGAGGAGGGTGGACGTGATGTGCGGCGAGATGTGGTTGGGCAGGTCGCTGCGCAGCACGAGCGACACGGACTGGCCCTCCTCGAGCACGATGCGTGCCACGACGCCGGCGCCGAGCATGCCCGGGCGGTCCTGCGCGTGGAAGGTGACGACGGGCGGGCGCTTGGCAGCTGTTGCCGTGCTGGTGTTTGTGATGTTGTTGTTGATGTCGGCCGCCGACGGGTCGGTCGGCTCGCCGGACTCGACGACCACGTCCAGCTGCAGCTGGACGTCGGCGGAGTGGAAGGTCGCCGTCTTGCTGGGCTTGTCGGGGCCGGCGGTGGTCTGCTCGATGGTCGTCTTGTGGGGCGCCCGCGCGTAGTCGAACGCCGGGAAGAGTTCGATTTCTACTACAAGTCAGCGCCCTGCCCTCCTCCTCGTCGGCTCGACGACCTGCGACCTACGACCTACCCAGTTCCATCCGTCCCCGGATGCACTCCACCCGCCGCACCAGCCACTTCTTCAGCTCCTCCTGCACCGACCGCGCGGCCCGCACGCCCCCCTGGCCCGGCGCGCGGGACACGACGGCCGTCTCCTTGGGCCGCGGAAAAAAGTCCACCAGGTCCACGACGCCCTCCTCGTGGATGTAGCGCGTCAGCAGAATGTTGGACGACGGCAGGTACTGCTGCTTGGTCGTGCAGACGAGGTCCGGCGGCGGCGACACGCTAAAGTGGCCGCCCTTGTTCTTGTCGAGCAGGCGGCCAAACACAGACGGCGAGTCAAAGTCGGGCCAGCACATGAAATCGATGCTGCCGTCCATGCCGACAAGAGCACAGGTGTGCATGTTGCCGATGATGCCGTAGTTCTCAATCGGCAGGTAGCCGCCGGCATGTTGGCGCATGGCGCTGCCAGACGTGCTGCATTGGTTCGCCGAGGTCATGATGCGGTGTCAAGGGTGTCTAGTAAGAACAGTGAGAGGCAAAGGACGTTTGTGACTGTAGTTGGAGAAAAAGAGGTGGGAGGGTTTTCTTAACAAGGGGGACGCAATTGGAACAGCGACTCGAGGAAAGTGCACTCTCGACAACAGAAAGGAAGGAGCTGCCTGCTCCAAAACAGCGGGGCATCCGGAGCTTCCAGCAACGTCATGGCGCCGGCTTTGACAGGTGCCGCCCTAGACGCCCCACTAGCCGGCCCAAAGCGGAGATCGTGCAGCATATACGGCAGGCGCAGGAGGGCCAGAGGGTTGCTTAGTGGTGCGTACCACGTGACGCGGTAGGCGAGGTTGTGAATGGAGAGAGAGCGCGGGATGGGGGGATGGGAATCTAGTATTTCGTATTCCGTGTTCGATACTGGGCAAAGCAATTTTGAACCAAATGACAGGATGCAAACATTCCAGGACCTGGCCGCTGATGCCACTACATCGCCCCTCTCATTATCTTTTACACCCCCCTGTCGTCATGTTTTCTTTTGTTAGTCCGTATACCACCGGGTATGTCAACGTAAGAGAGAAAGAGGAACTCCTAGGTTGTCCGTTAAAGTAAGAGAAGCTGACAAGTCGCCGTATCGCTTCCTAAAACAATCATACTCGATTGCCCAACACGGGTTCAACGTCCATTTGTAATGTAGCCCTGTGGTCTCGGGAGACTCGCATATATATATGCCTAGGATGGGGAGGTAAGGAGTTGTTGAGCTTTAGTACTATAGGTTTAAGGTTGAAGCCTATAAATTCTTACAGATGTCGGGTAAGATGATTAAGGAGGCTGTATTATCAAGGTGTGTGTTGGTAAAATTCGTAAAACGGGTCGTAGGTTCATTGTTAAACAACGGAGGATATATTAGCCTATCGTTTGTAGTTTTTGTTAAATATACTTACCGTTTATTGACAATAAAGAATAACGGGTTACTTTTTACAAGTTTTAAAGTCTATTTATTTACACCTACTTGACGTTTACTCGGTACGATTTATAGTCGTTAGTCTGGTCGTCAGATGCAAACGGCACTAACTTTGACTGTACGTCGCTCTCGAAACCACAGTTCGCTGTCCTGCATCTACTGATCAGTCGCTGATTTGCTTTTGACATACAGATACCGAAGATCAGAAGACATTTTTTGGCGAGAACCCTAAAGGGGATCTTGAACTACGGAAAGGAATCGAGATGAAGACCAACTCAAGTTTCCCCAACAACATATTGGAGTCTCCCAGAAGGTTGCTCGCGAGGTGCGTTTCTCCTTTTCTCATCTTTGTTTTAGTTTCTTTACATTTATTTAACATGTTTTTTTTTGTCGTGTGAGCCTATATTCCTGTGTCCATTATTGATTGCAAGTGAATTCCCCTTCACCTTATACCTTACCCTACGATACACGTCTCGTGCTCTCACCAAACACAGCCTCCCTAGCCTGATCAACTAGCAGAGTCCCTCTCGATCCTTAAAAGGCACTTTGTCACACTGTGCTTGGCCTTTACAACCGGCCGGGAGAGAGTCCAGATTTTCGTCTTCTATTCAAGAAAGCAAGTCACGGAGTTTTTTTAGTATACGGTGTCTTTTCACGACAAGAAAACCAACAAGCACGGTAACGAAAGATAAGACCAAAACTATAGGCAAAGCGGATTTCCAGGGAATGTCCACAAAGTTCATGCCAAAGACCGACGTAATCAGGGAGAGCGGTGCAAAGACGGAGATTAGCAGGGTGAGCCACTGGACCTCCGCCGCCTGGCTGATGGCATTACGCGACTCGCGCAGCTGGGCCGCGTTGAGTATGGTATCCACGCCATCTTTGCACTGCGCTGATAAGTCTTGCAAACGCTGCAGGAGACCACTGTAGTCGGACGTCAACTCTTTCAGAGTGGCTTCGGCCACGTCTGTTGCGGTAGTCCGGTCGTCTGCTGTCTTGCTGGATGAGCCATTTCGACTCGGACCGGCCTGCTGTGGCAACGGCGACGTCAATGCCGGCTGGGGTGAGGGTTTCGTCATCCACGCGGCCGCACACGCCCGGTGCCCTAGGAAGTCGAGCACGGTCCGCACGTGCTGCGCTTGGCCGTCCAGCTCCTGCTTGAAGGCGCTGAGGTCGGCCAGGGACAGCTCCTCCTGGCTCTTGACCTTGAGCAGGGATTCGCTCACATGGGCCTGCAGCATGTCGATCACTTGGCTCAAACTGCATGCGCAGTGCCGGAATACATCACTCAGCGCATACAAGGGGGACTTGCGCATGAGGTCGGCGTGGTCGCGCAGGCCCTTGAAGCCGTACTGGGCTGCCAGCAGCATTGTGTTTTGCGCCGTCGACGGCATACCGCCGCCATCCGGCGACTGCAGCGAGACCTTCCTGCGGGTGGCAATGATGGGCGTGCATGTAAAGTCCGTGACGGGCGTGGGAAACGGCAGGACCGGCAGCGGTCTGCCGACGTCAAGCCATACGATGGCTGCAATGTAGGTCAGTTGCTGCCAAAAAGGGAGTCCTAGAAAATAGAAAAAAAAGAGAAAAAAAAGAGAAAAAAAGAGAAAAAAGAAAGAAAAAAGAAGAAAAAAAAAAAAAAAAAAAGAAAGGCAAACACGTACCCGCCCATCCTTCGGACCTGTGCACAACGGTGCAGGAGATTTTCTGGTCAATGCTGCACACCCACTCGCTGTAGGCGTGCAGGTTCCGCACAATCGACGCACTGACGTCCTGTGCCTGTGCCTGCTGCTTCCGCAGATGGTCAAAGTCACACTGGCGCCCGCTCTTGACCTCCTTGCGTGTGATGGCCGAGCTGGGCTTGACAATGGTGCCCACTCGCAGCTGTAGAATGCCGTGGCTAAAGCTCGGCAGACGCGGCCAGTCGTAGTGGTCGTCTCTCCGCAGCAGCAGCATATGACTGCGCCAGAACTCGGGATCGACTTTGAGCGCGGTGCCCAACGTGTTCAGCCACGCGGCCGATGGATAGCCCCGGAGGAACACGATCTGCGCCCTGTCCTTCCCGATCTGGGGCCCCTCGGTGTACTCGACCGGGTTGAGCAGGTCACGCACCTCCACCTTGTCGGCGATGTCGACGACGGTCACGAAGCAGAAATCGTCCGAGGGATCGTGGGCGGCGGCCACAGCAGCAGCCGCACTGCTCTGACGCTTTGCATACGGACCGTTCCCGTTTCCGCGTCGCGAGGGGTGGAGGAAGCTGGCGAGGCTATCGTAGTGGCTGCCGGGGATGAGATGGTCGCTGTGGGACAGGGATGCAAGGCTGGCGACGTTGCTGCCGTATTCGGCGCAGGATACTTGCGCTTTGGGTAACGTAGACGGCGACTGCATCTTGTCCAGAACAACGACGATGCCTCCTACTCACATACATGCAAGGACTGTACGCATTACGTGCCCCCCCTGGCTCTTAAATACACACGCTCTCTCCGCCGCCTGCTTGTCTCGCAAGGCGGGCAGCAAGGCCACTTATCGACCGACATCCCAGAGAGTCCCGTTTTAGCCTAGGACCGCCACACAACCATCGGCAACTGCAAAAGGTGGCATGCAGGAACAGCAGGCGCTTAGGGAAGGCCTGGCCCAGACACGCACCCCCTGGCAACAAGGGCGGTGGTCGGTGGCTGACCACTGGGATCGTCGCCTTGAGCTGAAAAGGGACCGGGATGAAGAGCGAGTAGCTGTATGGATGTGACGAGTGGGGCAATCGTGCAGATATACTTTGCTGCACCCATTGTCGTCAGCGGTAAACAAAAAAAAAAAAAAAAAGAAAGAAAGAAAAACAAGATACGAAGGTATTGCTATGGAATACGCCACAGCACCGCCGCAGCGTGTCTCTGTCTTCCCGGTGCCTTTCCCGCGGTGCAGAAAAGCTGCTGAACGCAACCCATGTCCGTTGTCAACCATATGTTGGTCAGGAGGGGCAGCCTCATTTTTCTTGGCCTCCGCCGTCTCCCACGCCTTTCTTGCTTCCTCTTTGTCTTTCTGCAATGCAATGCATCGATCATTCTCTGCTGTTTCTCGGCTTGGCTTTATTCTGAATCTTCTGACATATCCGCGCGTCCCCCGGAACCCGTCACACAGCATGTCGCGCACCGCTTTCCTCGTTGGTAGGGTCGTCCTTGTCCTGCGCTGTCTTGCTGTCTTGCCTTGCTCGCAGAGCCGTCCAATCTGACTTCTCTTTAGGCGCCAACCGTGGCATCGGCCTCGAGCTGGCCCGCACCCTGGCCGTAAACAACTGGACTGTGTTCGCCTCGGTGCGGCCCGAGACCCGGGCGGCCCAGGATCCGTCCATCGCAGAGGTTGATAACGAGCCTGTGTCCTCCTCATCTCTGTGTGGGCTAACCTGCAAACATTCTGCGTCCCGGCGAGCAGATTGAGGCCATTGCATCCGGCATCTTGAGATCGATCTTCTGAACGAGAGCACCATACAAGCGGCTGCCCAGAAGTTTGGTGATCGACCTCTTGATGTTCTCATCAACCTTGCCGGTATGGACAGCAACGTGCGACGGATGGTCGTCTTTTTGTGTTTTATTTTGCTGTTCTGGTATCCTGCTAATCCTTGGTGGCGAGCCTTAGGCATCGGGCCGGAGCCTGACAACTGGTACGAGCATACCGCCGAGATTTTGATGGACAAGTATGCCACCAACACGGTTGTATGTTTTCTCCAAACGATCCCGTCGACTCCGTGGCCTGTTCTAACAAACGTGCACAAGGGGCCTTTCTTGGTGTGCAAGCACTTTCACCCCAACGTGAAACTGGCCAAGGGGATCATCATCAACATCTCATCCCTCGCCGCATCCATTGGCTGTACGCTATGCCCTGTCCTTTGCCTTTCTGTCCAGAACCTTTCTCCCGACAGGCGTTGACGTCCTTGGCATCGGCTGCCGGCATGAGACCCAGGGCATGGGCAATGTTGTAGAAGCCCTGATCGATCTTGGTCGGATCATCGGCCGCCACCCAGAACACGGCATCAAACTGGGCGTCTCGCGAAAAGGCATAGTGTATGGCGATCTGCGTCTTGCCAATGCCGCCAAAACCACTGAGCGAGAAGGAATGAAAGCCGCCCCCGTCCGCCGAGAGCAGCTCTCGGTCAATTTGCGCAAGGATGTCGGTGCGGCCAACAAATTTGTTGTTTGGTTTGACCGCGCTTCGCATGTAGCAGGGCATCTTGGGTATGCTGATGACGTTTTCGAAACTCGACGAACGATATGACGAGGGCGCTGGCCCGCGCCTCGTGAGTCGAACGACAGAGAGGGCGTCAGAGCAGAGCGATGCCTTCGAGTGAATCCCCAACGGGCTCGCCATCTTCCCACGCCCCCCTGTTTGGCTGCCTGCGCCACCTGCTGCTTCGACTGTCGGGAAAACAGACGTCAGCACTCTATTTGTTCCGGACGTTTATACGTACTTTGTGGGAATCGGTAAATCACCGTCCACGTTCTTGAAACCTTCATTTCTGTCCACCGTCACGGACATGTTGCTCACCAATGACTTCTTCCAGAACCCCACGCTGGTTGGCAGTGTCTCACAAACACTGAGAATTCCCTCTTCGATGTGCATCTTTTCGAAATTGGTGCACAAGCCGGCTACGCAGGGAATGAAGTCTTCGGTCTTCTTAAGGTACGACTTGTTATAGCCATAGGCCCGGAGGAGGCCGTCGAGCTTCGGCCACAGGTCACGCGAGTTCGTTACATGAGGAGCACCCAGAAAGACAATGAAAGCCAGGTTCGAAGCTCCCAATTTGTGCACGGCCTGCAGGACAGATATTGTAAGATCCTACAACATAGAGCGCCGGCCGTGCGAGCAGAGACACACCTTCTTGACAACGCAGCCGCCGAACCCACTAGCCACGAAACCCAGGGGTCGGATGCCAGACTGAAATTCCCCAGATGTCAGCTATCAGACGAGGTGTGAATTGAAAAGGATCCCGTACGCAGTCCCTGAGGAGATGCAAGCATACACTGTAGTCGAGAGCGGCGAGTGCAGCAGCCAGCGTCTCGCCGGCACCTTCCAGGGCGTGCCAAATTGATATGCTCTCGCGACCATGTGTCCCGGAATACTCATAGACTGTCGCTTGCGGCGTTTCTCGCTGCAAAAGATCAGGCACGGAGGTGGTCTGCCGGTGCTTGTCGTGGCTGCGCCTGGCTCGCCATAGTTCCTGATCCGGCACGATCACGACCCTGGAAGAACAAATCATGGACTGTTAGCGCATGTGCAGAATCGATATGTGCCGTGTGGCGCAAGGCGCAAGGCGCAATCGAGACAGAAGAATGGACGCACTCGAGATGTGTTGCCGCGTCCTGGCGTGCGCCGGCTCCATTTCGCTGCGGCTGCTGCAGTCTCTTCAGCGAAGGCGGATCAGAGGCCATGGTGTCGCAGGATGTTGTGTGCTATGCGATGCAACGATGTATGGCAGAAAAATACCAAAAAAGGGAGAGCGGCAGAGACGCCCCTCTGGCAACAAAACACAACAAAACACACGCACGCCCTTTTGCCGACACTTTGACTCAAACAAACAAACATGCCAGCCAGCCAGCCAGCCAGCCAGCCAGCGGATTTGCGCACAACGAAGCTCGACATACACCATGTGGAGGCGTAACGCACGAACCGTCGTACCTCTGGCCATCCTCGTATACACACACAACGTGGCAGAGGTAGTGACAGACGTACCGACCTTTCGCATCATCGAGTATGCCGTCTGCCAGCGCTTCTACCTCGGCGAAGGCCGATCTGGCGAGATCCCCGAGTTGGAGTGCAAGGCGGAGCCGATTCAAAAGCAGGTTCTCTTCCTTCTTGGATGGTTCTACGCCGTCGACTGCTTTCCCGGTACGCAACGAAGGAGACGGACACAAAGACGCATCAAAGACGTCGTCCCGATGGAAGACTGCCGCTGACTGCGTCTCCAGGCATCTTGACCGCGTTCATCTGGGGCCATGTGGCCGACAAGCTGGGACGGCGCTTCGTCATGGCGCTCTCCTGTACTGGGCAGCTACTGTTCATGGTGGTATTGGTCTCTGTTGGTTTGTTGAGACCAGCTGCTGCTCCTCATCGCGTCCATCTTGATTCAAAACTGACGTGCGGCGGGTTCTGTAGCGTACTGGAATGACCGAATTCCCACCGAAGCCATCTTTCTGGCCCCGGTGATGAAGGTGGTTGGCGGTGGCACGCGCATCTTTGATTCCATGACCACCTCCGTGGCCGCCGATATCACGACCGTGTCCCAAAGGTAAAGGTTGAGCCCGGAACCCCGACTGCCTCTCCTCCGTATCCGTATCCATTGCTTTATTGACCAACATGCACGCCCCACAACAGGACCAACCTATTTTACGCACTGGCATTGCTCATGTCCATAGCCAACGTCACGGCACCACCGTTCGCATCCTGGACGCTGTCTGTGAATCTATGGCTTCCCTTTTGGCTGTCTGGCGCTTGCTTTTGCGTCGTGTTTGCCAACATCATCGTGATCCCGGATACACGACGAGTTTTCAAGGCAGGGAACGGCCCTCCGGAGTCGCAGGCGTTGCTGAATGAGGAGTCCTTGCGCCGTGATGTGCTGGATCCGCAGCCTGGCGTGTTGCTGGACGAGAATGCGACGGATCGCCCAGGGGCACAATGGTACGACCGGTGGCGTGGTCCTGTGCACAAGATCCTGCAACTGACAAAGTCACGAACCGTTGTGATCTTTTTGTTGTGCTCTGTCTTGCGGAAAACCGCCATCTTCAGCGAGAACTTTTTTGTGCAATACACCTCGGAGCGATTCAAGCTGCGCTACAGCCAGACTGCCTGGTTTGAGGGACTCCAAGCGGCCGGCGCCATGCTGTCCCTCGGCGCCATCTTGCCCGGCGCCGCACACCATCTTCAACGCCGGCTCGGTTCGCCATGGAAGGTCGACCTGACGATCATGCGCATCAGCCTCGCTGTCATGGCCTTGGCATATATGTATTTGTTGCCGGACGAAATGGAAAAAATCAACAGTGGGAGGTGGACGGCCAAGATTGTCAAGTGAGTGCTTCTGATTTCTGATGCGTTTGGCCCAGCTGCATTGGATCGATTGGTGCTGATCGACGCCAACAGTCTGTGGCGACCTCTCGCCGTGGTGCGCAATGCACCACTCGTCATCACGGACAAACGCACGGTGCCGCAGGACGACCTCATGGAGGTCGAGAAAGTCCTGCCGGACAAGGTCGAGCGCAGCAACTACGTCCAGTACAAGGCCTATCACCAGTACTACTACATGTCCAACCAAGGCCCCGAAGACGTGGCCGTGTTTACCACGTGGCATCAGACCAAGGGCGACAAAACAGCGGGTGAGTCCTTTCCGCGAGCCCATGGTTCCGCTGTTTTCTTCTTGTTTACTTTTGGAAACTGACACATCACAGAGATCTCCCCGCATAGGGCCGCCAGCCAATTCACCGACGACTTTATGAAGAGCCCGAGGGAGAGCATTAAAGTGCGCCTGATTGTCTTGACGGATGCGCAAGAGACGAAATAGAGGGACGGGACCACCGTGTTGCCTGGCGGACAGGCGGGGGACGCTGGACCGCTAAGCATCGCTTAATTTGCCTACTTTGTGTTATTTTTTTTTGTACTTTCGTATTGTGCTGACCTGCTACGTGGCCACTCCACCCCATGGTCAAACTTGCTCTTTTCATTCTACGAGATTCAGTTCAGAAATGAGAGACTGCTTTATTCGTATTGATTCTAGCCTATCTGCCTACATCGCACAGAACCCAGTGGGAATAACAGGAGGTTCCATGGCCTCTGCCAGACATCGTTCTCATAGCCTCCTCCAGGAAACTGTCTTGGAATAAGTGTCTGGGACTGTGGAAAGGGCAATTCGTGCGAAATACAGGGCTGTAGAAATCGATGCCATTGACTCACCGGGGACTGCCTTGTTGTTTCAGCGGCTTTTGGCATCGAGCTCCTGCAGCAGGCGGATATCACGACGAGGGCCCGCGTTGGCCTTTTCACGGAACGCGTGCGGCTCCGCCCAGTAATGGCCGGACACAATGTCTCGCCAAGGCTGGCTGCGGCTGTTGCCATCTTTGGTGTCCACCGTCGGCGAGAGCAAGGGCAGGCTGGTGGTGGTGCTATGCGTCGTGGCACTCGCGTCGCTGGTGAACGAGTCCGGCGGAGACGACATGTTGGCTGTTGGTCGGCTGTGAGCAATGCTGTGAGGCATGCTGTGAGGAATACTGGAAATGGAAGTCGTTGTTCAAAATGCTGCGATTGTCTGGGTAATGTTTGCTAGTGCACATGTCGTGCCACGATGCCAGCTGGCAAGGCTTTGTGCGCCTCGCATGCCCTTCTTATAAGACATACGGGGGCAGACAGACACGCATGTACAAATGACCGCCGGACAATGAAAGCAGTCGCCTATCGCGGCATTTTTTGAGAAATAAAAGGCATCTTCAGAAAGAAAAGTGCACATTGGAACGTCGAGGCTCGCCTTGTTCTCGTCGCGATACGAATGACTTACTTTGCATGACTTGCAGGATACAAGGCCTATCATGCAGGTTGACCCTTTGAGAAGGGTGCTGTGGGTCTAGTGTCAGGCCCCCACATACAGTCCACCACCCTGAGACTTTTCCCTCGCTGGTCAATGGCATGGAAGAGCAACCAAGCCGCAACACAGAACCGCAACGCTGCAAATTTTCGGGGTTTTTGCCACTGCCCACCTCCCTCGTCCTCTTCTCTGCTCAGACTGCTCCGTCTTGAGCCGACTCGTTTGATGTTTGAAGTAAGTTGTACTTCATACAGAGCATTTGATGCCCAACGTTGCAGCTGCTGGACACGCTAAAATTTAGCGGCGGCTCGCTACAGCCCGTGGTGGGTCCACTTGCCCTGAAGGAAAACGGAACATTCCCAGTCGCCCATGTGATCACGTGATACGCTCGTGATACGGGCGCAAGTGTGTCGATAGCAAACAGCCATGCGAATTCGTACATGTTGCTGTGCTGGAGATGCTGACAACAAGGCCATCTCTCCTCAGCACACAACCGCAACGATGAAGGTCATCCACCTTGTGCAATTTGCGGCCTTGGTCCGCGCGGCGCGGCGCCGAGGCCTGTCCGGCCAGACGCCGTTCGCTGCCGACTACTGCGAACGTAGGTCCAGGAGCACCATCTCGGAGCACCGTCTCGGGAAGGCCCATCCGGCCAGAGGAAAAAGTTGTTTTAAACTAACATCTGACAGACTATGCGATGGCCGACTTGGGCGCCATTGTCCGAAACCATACACCGCTGCTAGCCCCGATCGAGCGTCTGTACATGGATATTCACCAGCGCGCCGAGCTGGATGCGCTCCCCGTCCGCGAGCAGACAGGCGTACCGTATGCGAGCACGCAGCACATGGTCGACTGGTGGGGGCACGAGCAGCCGGTCATGCACGCCTGCGGGCACGACCTGCACATGGCCTGCCTGGTCGGCGCGGCGGAGCTGTTGCAGAGCGCCCGCGCCAGCTGGTCCGGCACGGCCATTGTGCTGTTCCAGCCGAACGAGGAGCACACCGGCGGCGCGCAGGCCATGATCGACGACGGGCTCTTTGCCAACAGCGGCGATGCATAGAACAAAAGAACAAAAAGAACAGCATCCCCGTGCCGGATGTGTTTCTGGCACAGCACTCGGGGCATCTCGTCCCGAGTGGCTCCGTCAGCATTCGTGCGGGCCCGGTGCTCGTGGCCGCCGACATGGTGCGCATTCGCCTCTACGCGAGCGAGGGCCACGCGGCCAACCCGCAGGTGGCCGTCGACGCGGCGATGGTGGCTGCGAGCATCCTCGTGCAGATGCCCGACCTGGCCGACCGGGTCAGCCGCGAGGGCCGCGGCTTCGCCTCCATCCATGCCGACGAGATCCACGCCGGCGCGGCCGGCACAGACTGGGTCGCGCATGCCGACATTGTGCTGGACGTGAAGGCGTACGACGCGACCATCCGCAAACAGCTGCACGCGGGCATTCACAGCATTGTCCAGGGGGAGGCCGCCGCGTCGGGCGCAGCGCAGAAGCCCGAGATTACGACGGCGGTGCGCGCGCCGCCGACCACCAACGACGCGGCGCTGGCAGCCCATGTCGGCGGGGCCTCCCGCCGCTTCTTTGGGCGCGACAAGGTGCTAGACAGCCTGCCCCAGCACCCGTGCGAGGACTTTTCTGTGCTGGCGACGGCCGTGGGCAAGCCGTACCTCTTTTGTTTTTCGGCCGTGTCGACCCCGGCCTCCTCGACCGGGCGCGCGCCAACAACACGCTGCTACAGGACATCCCCATCAACCACTCGCCCTTCAATATGCCGCTCCTCCACCCTACACTGGAGACGGGCATTCACGCTTTGTCGTTCGCCATGCTCTCCATCGTCGGCAACGCAAGCAATGCAGGATCGTACGGTGGGCCGTGCCAAGGAGATGGATTGGTCCCTACGCCATAGAATGGAAATTTGTATCATTGTTCTTTGATTTCTGTGTGCTAGTGAGAGGAGCGACCCCAGTGCATCATAGTCTTGCTTCCCGTCCTACCATGGGAGCGTCTTGCCATCCCAGTTCAAGTACGTGCCCGTGTCCTTGCGGCCGATGCGCTCAATAATCTTCACCATGCCGGCAATGGTTTCGTCCATATTGTCGCGGGAGCGAAAGTTGGTCAGCTTGGTAGCAACGTAGCCCGGACGCAAAGCGACCGCCGTAATGTCGCCGCCGTTCCTCTGGAATTCCTTGGCCAGAGTGACGGTCATCATATTGAGGGCAACCTTGGACATGCGGTAGGCGAGGTCTTTGCCCTTGCACACTGCCGCGCGTCAGTCAGCTTCGAGACGGATGACCTGGAGTGGCTGTCCGACCCGCGGAAGCAACTGACACAAGCCGCCGCAGCCGCCGCTGCAGATGCTGCCGGTGGCGCCGAGTTTGCCAAGTGGCTGTTGATCTTTGACAACGTCGACGAGATTACCATGTTGGATCCGTTTTGGCCAGCCGGTCCACACGGGTCCATCCTGATTACCTCCCGTGACCCGCTGACCAAGACCGACCTGGCCACGCGCGGCGTGGACGTGCCACCCATGTCGGAAGTGGAATGCGTCCTGATGCTCTGCACGGAGGTGGATGAGTTGCCCACCAAACCGGCAACGAAGGAGGCCGCGCTGGCGCTCGTGCGGCCCGTTGGCCGGCTGCCCCTCGCAATCGCGCAATGCGCAGCGCGGATCCGTCGGACCGACACGAGCATCGAGGAATACATGAACCGCTTCGGCCGCGGCGATCTGATGAATGAACTCAAGAAAGTACAGGTCCTCCCGCCCCAACAGCAGTACAAGCATGTGCTGGACACCGTATGGCGGTTCGAGCGATTCTCCGCCCCCGCCCTCGGTTTGTTCCACGTGCTGGCCTTTTTCGACCCCGACAGCGTGTCCGAGCGGATCCTCGAAGTCGATGCTGCGGTCGAGGCGGAACCGGATGGCGTTCCTTGCGCCTATCCGAAACCAGGCGAGGAATACGACAACACCCGTGTCGAAATCATGCGCACATCGCTCGTGAACCGGAACAAAGAGACCCGGTCCCTGTCGTGGCACAGAATGGTGCAAAAAGCCGTACGGAGCAAGATGAGCGCGGTGGACGCGCAGCGCGCCTACCAGCTGGCTGTCCACCTGTTGCACCAGGCGTGGGAATACGCCGAGGATCGGTTCAGCCGCGAAAGCCGGAAGCGTCCAGCCTGCGACGAAGTGGTGCCCCATGTCCTGACCATGATGCGGGCCTATGGTGCGGCCGTGCGCGGTCGACCCCTCGCTCTGCCGAGCGCGCGCCGGCTCGTGGTGCTGCTGCAGGAAACCGGGTACTATCTTATCCTCAGCGCCCAGCACGGCGCCGTGGACAAGATCCTCGACCTGGCCATCGGCATCTGCGAAGCGTACGGCGACGACATGCGCGATCTCCTGGCGAACACCAAGTTTTCGTATGCCCGCTTTGGCGGGGAGACCAACATGGATCCGAAACGTGTCCTCGGCTACTGCATGGACTACCACACCATACGGAAAGCACTGGACGATGGCAGTCTGGAGAGCCGCGAGGACGTGGCCTCGTCGCACACCAGCCTCGCGCAGGGCTACCTGTTCCTGGACCAGTTCGAAGCGGCCCTCGAGCACTGTCAGACATGCATTGCGATCGAGGCCGCTCTGCCGGGCCATGAAGGCGTCCTGTCGCAGTTTGCGCACATCTACCGGGCATGGGCCTTGTACGGCCTGCAACGGGACGAAGAAGCGGCCAAGCTCAGCATGGTCGTCATCCAGTACCGCACGACCAAATTTGGGCAGGACGATATGGAATCGGTCAAGTAAGTATCCTACATCTTGTGTGTGTGTGTGTGTGTGTATGCAAGATGGGATGAAGAAGACGTACTCACCGTTGGACTGGAACCTAGGTTGGGTCTTGCACTGCACTGTCTAGCCAACGCCCGACGACGGCAAGGCCGGATACTAGCGAGCTTCAAAGCCTACCAGAAGGCATGGGCAAACTACCGCGCGACGGAGGGGCCCGACACCTGGCGCCTGGCCCAGATCGACCTCAAGCTGGCCGAGATCTACGTCACGCAGCCCAACATCCCGGGCACGGCAGAGTTGGCAAAGTAAGCTCGAACGAAGAGAGAGAGATTGTTTGTCTTTCGCTAACGTCTAATCATCTCGCAGGGAACACTTTGACAGGGCCATCAAGGCCTTTGGCCGGTCGCCATTTCACAAGAACGAGCTGGCCCGCGCCTTGTACAGACACGCTCTGTCTCTCGGCGAGCTGAAGACGCCTCTCGGGCCCCAGCCAACGTACGAGAAAGCGAAGGGCCTATATTACGGATTGCGGCCAGAGGCCAGCCGAGAGACACCACCAGGGGAAGCGGAGTTTGATTCCCTGGTCCGCTTTTGGTCTCGATAAGGGGAGACGCGTGCTCTTCCGCTACATATCCATATGTATGCAGGAGGTTGGTATGTAGATGCTCTCGACACGGAAAAGCCCTTTTACGCCTTCTTATGCTCCGCCTTCTATCAACGATCAAAACCGGGTGCCGCCGTCCTTGCCATTTATACAGTTTTACGATTGCGGCCCTCACGAGGCCAGGATGGGGACCCGACCCCCAGGTACATCTCAAAGATCTTTCGCTCGCTTTTGTCATTGCTCCCGTACTCCTTGGATCATCCTGGCCACTCGGGTCTAATTGCTTGCACAAGGCCGGGGGTTTGTGAAAAAGCCGTCACGTCCGGAACGGGTCGTTATGTTTCCGTATTGGTCGCGAGCATTGATTTTATTTGAAGCCTGGGCAGTGTAAGCAGACGATGATCGTTAAAGCGAGAGCCGACGATCTGTAGGCCGAACGGCGGTCTTTACGGAATAAAGCCTACGCAGTCCTTACTAGGCCATTTCGGCATTTGTATGTACTTGTCGTAGGCCGTGAAGCTGGAGGAAAAAACGGTAAGCTTTTAGCGAAACACTGTCTTCACGATTTGGTCGACCGGAATAAACCCAAGATCCTTTAAGACGGTTATACGTAACCCAGACATATGAACATGCTTTCATGTAGCGAAAATTAATGGGTCGACCGGTCGTGATAGTATATCCCGACTATTAAACTACGCGATGGCCGCGAGTAACAAAGTTCCATTTGCAACGGTGCGGCCTATAAGACCTTGCACGTTATTAGTTGATAGGCTGATTACCCTTCGGTCGGAAGTTACGAGGCCTGGAGTCGGACGGAGTCCTGTTCCACCGTAAAAGGCTGCCGGATTACATATACTAAAGCTAAAGTTTAATCCGATGCTTAATCAGCTGTTGCATTTCTGAAGACATCATGATGTCTGTTTTGTCATCTCCCAACATCTGCTTTTAACTGCCAAGAATTCACGCCCACGTGCAAAAAGAAGTGCCCAAGGGGGATACTCGGAAAGTGAGCTGGTGAATGCCAATGTTCAAAACTGTCTCATTTCCGTGGTTGCTTTCGAACTCGCATTTATGCATTGTATTGATATAAATCGTTTCTCTTCATTCGCAACTCTTACGTACAGCATGCTTGGCTGATCCACTATTTTTATCCACTATCTTCTTTGCATTTGCTGTTGGAGGCGTTCTGTTAGCGCGCCCAGCTGTATTCCCCCTGAACAAGCCTGAAAAGACCACTGTGCAAAGACCGAAATAGGGGTCCGTTACTCAATACCAGTAGTATTTCGTTACAGCCACCGCCCGCTACCGCCCAGCTCTAGCGCTGTCAAGTCCTCTCCTGGGACGCTGGTCCAGAACGCGCTAGGGAGACGTGCATGCCGAATCTGGCCAGAGTTCCGCAGGGGAAGGAGGTCACGGCCAGCGCAAAAGCAGACATCCAATTTCGGAAACAGCCATCGAGCCTCGTCTAGGGAAACAGACTCGACCGTCACGACTCGACAAACAAACGCAGCAACAACGCAGAAACGAGTCGAAAACGCACCACAGCTCTCTGGCGACGACCTTTGTGTCTTCCATCCTGCGAACACGGCCATTTGTATTCCCATCGCCACGTACAGCCATGCGAGCAACGATCGTCTGACCCCTTTCGTCCATTTCCTGCATTCTTTTCTCTTCCTCTTCGTGGTCTTCCTCTCGACCTCGTCCTCTCGACCTCGTCCACAGACTCGCAATGCCGTCTCCAAAACCAGTACGGACGGCCGCGTTGGGGCTGTCCACCGTTCCCTTCCCGTCCGCTGGCTCCTCGTCGACCAACAGCCCCGTGGCCGATGCAGGCACGGGCGACCTGATCAATCCCAGCCCCATCGCCGGCTCGACCTCGTCCTCGGGCACATCAGGACGGCCACGGCGGCGAAGTAGTCTGTTGAAAAGCAAGCACAACAATGGCGGCATTGGTGTCGGGACGGCGGGCCGCCCCAGGAAGGCGTCCACGGCCGCATCAACGGCCACGGCCATCGGGACGACAGGCGCAGGAACGCCAAAAGCATCGACCGCACGGGCACATCAACTGCAGCCACGAGACGATCCAGGAGACGGATGGGACGATGCATGGGGCGAGGAGGAGGACGAGGACGGCAAGGCGCACGAGGACGGCGAGGACGCAACGCAGAACGGACGCAACGCCGACCACACACTGCTTGACGAAGACTACGGACGCGACGACGGCGACCTCCACACCGACGAAGAGACGGGCCTGGGTGCCGCCGCACGGAGGCAGCGTGGCGACGCGCGGCGGAGCCGGACGAACCTGGACGAGCGCTTTGTCCCCGGCGGCGGAGTGGGCGGCTCCGAGTTTGGCTTCGGCGACGGCCGGCTCGTCGTCGAAGACGCCCAGAGCAGCCTCATCATGGCCGCCCTGACGGACGACGAGCGCAAGGAGGCCGACAAGAATGTGCTGCGGCGGCTGCTGGTCAACGGCCTGCTCATCGGGCTGTGGTACTTGTTCTCGCTCAGCATTTCGCTGTACAACAAGTGGATGTTTGGCAGCAACTTCCCCTTCCCACTGTTTACCACGTCCGTCCACATGCTGGTGCAGTTTTTCCTGTCGTGTCTTGTGCTGTACTTTGTGCCGACGCTGCGGCCGAGCCACGGCCGGGACAATGGGAGCGGGCATCGCCCGGTCGCTCGCGACGAGGATGCGGACGAGGAGGACAACGATGCCGATGGCGACGTCGACGTCGACGTCGGCAACGTCGACGGCCAGGATGCCTACAAGGAGGCCAACGGCAAAGGCGACAGGCAGCTCGAGCCGGCCATGACCAAGTGGTTCTACCTCACGCGCATCGGGCCGTGCGGTGCTGCCACCGGTCTGGACATTGGCCTGGGCAACGCCTCGCTCAAGCTGATTACCCTGACATTTTACAGTGAGTCCCGGCGCGACAGTGTGCGTGTTGTTTGAAACCTGCAATAATACTAACACCTGGCCTTTCTTTTTTCTCTCCTCTTTCCCAGCCATGTGCAAGTCGTCGTCTCTCGCCTTCGTGCTGCTCTTCGCGTTTGCCTTTGGCCTGGAGAAGCCGACGCTGCGCCTCGTCGCCATCATCGCCACCATGACCGTCGGCGTCGTTATGATGGTCGCCGGCGAAGTCAAGTTCGACCCCTTTGGCTTCTTTCTCGTCATCACCGCCGCCTTCTTCTCGGGCTTCCGCTGGGGCCTGACGCAGATCATGCTGCTGCGCAACCCGGCCACGTCCAACCCGTTTTCGAGCATCTTCTACCTCGCCCCGGTCATGTTTGTCACCCTCTTCGCCCTGGCCATCCCCATGGAGGGCGTCCCCGAGCTCCTCCAGGGCCTCCGCGAGCTGAGCGACAAGTTTGGCGGCCTGCGCGCGCCGCTGCTGGTCCTCTTCCCCGGCACCATTGCGTTTTTGATGACGGCCTCCGAGTTTGCCCTGCTGCAGCGCACCTCCGTCGTCACCCTGTCCATTGCCGGCATCTTCAAGGAGGTCGTCACCATCGTCACGGCCACGCTCGTGTTCCACGACAGGCTGACGCTCGTCAACTTTCTGGGCCTCGTCGTCACCCTGGCCGCCATCGTCGTCTACAACTACATCAAAATCACCAAGATGCGCCAGCAGGCCCAGATCGACGTCCACAAGGAGCACTCCGCCGCCCGGCAGCACCCGATGCAAACGTTTTCGGGGCCGACCGAGTACGGGCCCGGGCTAGGGCCCTCGTCCTCCCCGTCTGGGTCGCGTATTGGTCGGAACGCCCACGCCAACCGTCCACCGCCCCATGACGGCGACCACGACAGCGACCCTGACGGCGAAAACGACGCAGAAGATGCCGGCTTGCTGCGGAAATAGACTCGTCGTCTCCGCCGTTCCTTTTGATCGATGCCTGCCCACCTTTCTGTACATGATCACTAATATAAAAGGCTCGGCCGCCTTGTGTTCTGCTTGGTAGCGAATAATAAAGAGGATACCACCTGTGGGGCGTTCTGGATTGCTTGGTTTCATTCTTTCTGTATTCTTTTTTTTGCGGCCACGACATTCATTATCGTAATTGGAAAAGGAAAGGCATTTCTAGATAGCATCTCGAATGTGGGCACATAGCTCTTTTGTATGCAATCGTGGTCTATTGACGAACGCACGTGTGCCATTGAGTGTTAAGTTAGCGATGTACCGGTATCCAGAGACCCACTCTCCACTGTAACTTTGTCCATGCTGCCCACCAAAAAGCTATTGTGGGTCCTTGTCACGTGCAGTCTTCAAAGAATTTCCTCAGCCTTCTCTCACTGACGTCGCTTTGTGTCCATTCTTTTCGCGACCACTTCTGCGTTTATGCCAGCCACGAACAGCTCGACACTCTTTACGAACCAACACAGTTTGGCTTATATCACACAATATGGCAGACTCTGGCTACCGACGGAATCGCCGGCCAGACGGCGACCGAGAACGCGGCAGTGGCAGCAACCGCCACCGTGACCGCAACGACCGCGACTACGATCGGGATCGTGGTGGCCGTGGACGTGATGACCGTGGGCGTGACGACCGTGGGCGTGACGACCGTGGGCGTGACGACCGTGGTGGCCATCGCCGCTACCGGTCGCGCTCACGCGACGGCAGAGACTATCGGGACCGCGACCGCGACCGCGACCGGCGCGACAATCGCCACAACGACCGCAGCGATCGTGGCGACCGCGAGGACCGCCGCCGGTCCGCCTCGCCGGACCGCCGCAGCGGCAGCCCCCCGTCGCTGTCCTCGTCTCGACTCACACCACCACCGCCTCCTCCGCCTCCGCCACCCTCTCGCCGCGCGGCTGGCGGCGGCCCCAACAAGAACCACCGCCGGGCACCGAATGGAAGAAGGGCTGACGAGGACGACGACGACGACGACGACGACGACGACGAGCAGGGCGGCCTCCTGCGCAACAGCGCCTCGGCGGGCCTGCCGAATAGAACGCGTGCGCGGCCCGGTGAGAGCACGTCCACGCCCACGACGTCTGCGTCTACCGTCGCCCCCATGTCCTTCCGTGTCGGTGGGGCCCACAACGGCAGCAGCAGAAGCAACAGGCACTACGACGACGCTGGATATGGAGAGGCCGACGGCTACGACGATGCGGACGGCCACGACGACGGCGAGGCCGACATGGAGGCCGGTGGCAGTGGCGGCGATGTCGACGGCGACGGGGACGGCGACGGCGACGACGACGACGACGACGATGTCGAGGTCGACGACGATGGCATGGATGCCATGCAGGCCATGATGGGGTTCAGCGGCTTCTCGTCCACCAAAGGCACCAAGGTGGCGGGCAACAATGCAGGCGCCGTCCGCAAGGCCAAGCGCACCCAGTACCGCCAGTACATGAACCGCCAAGGCGGCTTCAACCGGCCGCTCAGTCCGTCGCGGTAAGGAGGGGGTGTGCGGCGTGTGTGGAATTTGCAAGGAAAGCGGAAAATGAAAATGACAATGTTGGCGTATGGGGCTTTGCGATTGCTTCTTGAGATTTAGACTAGCGATTCATAGACTAGCGAATACACAGTGATACCCTGCCTGTTCCTCCCCATTCCTCCCTATTCCCTGTTCTGGTCGCTTTCATTTGTGCCACTACGAAGCACCAACCCGCAAAACACAATGATACATGCCCAGGCACACAGCACAACCCATTCACACAACAACATACGGCTCGCCGGGCTCGTCGGACTCATCGAGCGAATCAGAACCTTCCGGAGGAATGACAATCTTTGTCCTCGGCGTCTTGGGCTTCGTCGCCTCGCCCGGGTGTGCTGTCAGTGCAAAGGTCATGACCAGCCCCGCGTGGTCGCTCCAGGGAATCCGGATGGGCTCGTAGGCCGGATCGGCCGGATCGGCCAGGTCGTGTGGCATCGTGTCACCCTCGGCGTCCACAAGCGCCGTCGGAACTCGCATGGAAACGGTGCCCGGCTGCAGAATCTCCATCGTCTTGGGCGTCAGTCCCCACACGGCAATCTTGTCGAGACGGGCGGGCGGAAAGACGTGCGACCCCGGGCCGTGCATGCTCCAGGTGTGGCCTGGGAACTCGGCAGCGTCACCGCGCAGCCGGGTCCAGCAGTCGACCAGCCCGTGTTCCTCGGCGAGGTTCTGGTCTTGGTCGTCGGCCAAAAACGGGTTGAAGCCGCCGGCCACCAGCCCGCCGTACACGTCGGGCGCATGCAGCAGCTCAGACACGATGCCCAGCTGGCGGCGTCGGTAGTTGGGCGCGGCCGCGAGCGAATCAAAGTGGACATTGGCAAGCCGGATGGTCTTGCCGGTCCCGTTTGGCGTGGCCGTCGGGGCGCCAATGTCGCAGCAGAGGGCGTAGCGGTTGAGCTGGCTGGGGTACCAGACGGCCCAGACAGCACCGAGCGAGGGAAACGTGGCGCACGAGCCGCGGGCAAACCGGAGGCGTGACATTAAAATGGCGCTGTAAAACTCCTGTTTGTTGTCGGCCAACATCCATTCGAGACCGGCGATGTAGTAGTTGGCGCGGACAAAGGAAAGCTCGGCCAAGGTGTGCTTGGCGATGCCCGACAGCTCTTGCAGAAAGACGACGTCCGGGCAGCCCTCGACGTCCGCATCCTGGACGCCGTCGATGAGACTGGCCAGACGCTCGGCGCGTTCGTTCCGGCCGTGGCCCACGTTCCATGTCACGATGGTCATGTCTTTGGGGCCCAGGTCCGGCGGCCCCGGCAAGGGGACGACATCGTGGCTCAGAGCAATGGGCGGAGGAGAGATGACCCATTTGTCTTGGGCATGATCAAAAATATACCAGGGAAACGTCACAATTTGGGTATCGGTCGTGTCCAGCAACGGGGGCGTGATGCCCGCAGTGACCGCCGAGGCGAGCGAGACTGGGAGAGGGTCGAGGAGGTTGCCGCCTGGTGGATTCACATTGCTGAATGGATGCTCGGGGTCCTCGTCCGCAGCGACGATGGGCTTTTCATGCGGAGCACCAATTGTAGGCGGGTCTTCGTCCGCGGCGGTCATGGTAGCAGTGCGAGCACGGCGTTTTGAGTGGGCACAGACAAGCGTCTGTGGGGGGCAATGCGTTGATGTGAGGTGTTTGATGGATGCTCAGTCATTGATCATTGGTGGGAGACGGGAGGAGGAGACTGAACGAGATGTGATTAGAGATGTGATCGATTTGATCGGTTTGATCGATGTGATCCTGCGCCGTCCCAACGCAGCAACGGAAGGAACAACAAACAGCACACTGTGTGGTGCGGTTCGCGTCCGTTCTTGCCCTGTCCGTGCCGGGTTGCTCTTTCCGCACTCTGTTCATAGCGACGGCCCCGCCAACAACACCAGTGCAGGCAGGAGCAGGTAATGCAGCCATTCGTCACAGCGGAAGGAGCATACTGACACACGGCTGCCCTATGTGAGAGAAAGCCACGCCTGTCGTGGCTGTCCACAGCGGAGGCGGTCGTCTGTCATCGGTGTCCTCTCAGACGTCGTGCCGTGGCTGTCGAATCATGTGCTCTTGCTGTCGTGCCGCCCCCAGCCGGTCCTGTTCTCGTCTGTCCGGCTTGATGAGATAGTGACCGGGCGGCGACGTGTCGCTCGTCTTTCCATGGCCCGTTACGTTTGCTGGACCCTTTCCGGTCGCCGTCTCTTGGGCCGCTTGTGCCTCCTTCCAGCCCGTGACGCGGTACCGCAGCTGCTCGGGGTTCAGCAAATGCCGGAACCCGATGCAGTCTAGCGGGTAGGTTTCGTTGACGAGGATGGGCCACGCCGCAGCCGCAGGCTCCGGATCCGTCGACAACATGGTGGCCAGCTCGTCACGTACGTGCGCCTCCACATCGGCCCACCGCAGCTGCTTGTCGACAACGACGTGTGTCGCCTCGCGCAGGTTCTGCACCCAGCGGGCGCCGTGCTGCCGGGCCTTGTTGATGCGGAGCTTCCGGGCGCCAAAGGCACCATTGGGGAGGTAGCAAAAGGACAGCCCAGCAAAGATGCGCTGCCCTTCGGGGACGAGAGGAGGCGATATGTCGCGGGCGTCCTTTTTGGTGGTCGTCTTGGCAGGTCGTCCCGTCTTCCGCGCGGCCGTGGCCCTGTCGAGAACCTCCTCTCGCTTTCTCTTCGGCCCTCGTCGGTCCGGCAGCGGATTGGACGACGTGCGGCGAAGCGTGGTTGACGATGAAGGCCGCACAGGCGCAGCAACGGTCGAGGCGGTACGGCGCGGCGGTCGTGGTAGTGTCTGTGGTGGCCCGGGTGGTTTTAGCTCTGGCTGTGTCAAGTCGATGATTTCGACAACGTCGTCGCTGTCACTGCCGCCGTGTTCCCCGCCCCCGTGGTCGGCCCTAAGTGCAGCCTCGTCTGCTCTGGCCTCCCGTGCCGCCTCCTCTGCCGCCTTCTCAACCACCTTTTCTACCGCTGCTTTGGCTGCAGCCGCGAAAGCCTTGCTCTTGCGCCGGTGCTCGCGCTCACGCTCGGTCCACCGCGAGTCCGGCTTCTCAACGGTGCCTGAGCTGGTCGCTGGCTGGCTGTTGTCCGTATCGGACAGTCCCCAGTCTGTGAACAGCAGTTCCTTCTCATGCAGTGGTAGTGGCGGCGTCAGCGACAGGGCCGGCGACGAAGCCAGCGGGTGTGAATCCATGCCGGTCGCCAAGGGTCAAGGGTGTCTTGGGTGTTTTGGATGTTTTGGGTGATTCCAAAGCTCAGGTGGCCTGTCGCCGGGCGAGGTACTGCAATGCATGGCCCTTGAGATGCTTTCGTGTGTCATCTGGCCTGGAGTAACGAATGGAGGCAATGCCTCTGCCTAGAGCAAGAACAGTGTCCGGTGTCACACTAGCAAGACAGTTGTGGTACAGGACGCACACGAACGTCGAGACAAAGCCGGACGGAACCAACCATGGAGATGCCCCACTTCCAGAATTAATTAACACGATTTCCCAAATGGACGTCCGCCGTGTGTTAGCGCCCTTGAATGTCCAAAATAGGCAACAGCGACACCACCGGCCTGTTCTCTATCGAGGCTGATTGGTCCGTCCTCATTTCCTGCCAACGCAATAAGAGGAAAGCTGCAATCCTAGAGTCCGAAACAATTATGCAGAAATGTACTTTTGTATTACATTCGATTTTGGGGTGTGTTATATTTTAGTATTATTTTTGTTACAAAAAAACTAAAATAAAGAGAGAAAAAAGTTAAGAAAATTAGCAGTATGTGTATGTAATCAGCCAAAAATGGGTACATTTTTATTTTTATCACATTTTGCCCATCCGACTCTGGCGTCCATGCATTCAGCCGTGTCTAAGATTGATTACCACACAAAAAGCACTTGCATATATATTTTGGGTGTACCCAATGGGACGGGCCTTGGGCGGCAAGGATGTAAGACATGCAGGTTGGGCTGCATTGTCAAGTACACCGTACGGTCTGTCTCAATCGAGGACCTTCGTCTGGGAAAGGGGAGTACAGGAAGCAGGACTCGGTGTATGGACGTTTTTTTTTTCAGTGCTGATAGTATGTCAATTTCTTTTTTGTCGTAATTTTCTGTCGTTATGAAACGGAATACAATGTGAACATCTCGGTTTATATAATATTAAAGATGCACGGGGAAGGAATTCGCAGACTCCGAGAGAAGAGAGAGAGAGAGAGAGAGAGGAATCTCGAAATAGGCTCATTAAGATCACTGCACTGAGCGCTTTCAACACCACCTCGTCCGTAACGAGATGCGAGCTCCGACTTAAGCCCTGCAACCGCATGCACGTCGGCTCCGTTTGTATGCAGCAGCTGGACGAGCATGGCCCAGGATCCCAGGATCATGGCTGCCACCACACCCGCACTCTTCTGGCCTTGTGGGAGGCCATCAACTGAAACCAATTTTTGCAGCGCACCACCATCCAGATGGGTAAAATACACCGACACGTTAGGCATGTCGCCTATGTCAGCGCGCTCACAGTTTCCACAAACCCCTGATGGTCCCGGTGAGGACAAGAGCGTTGTATCCGTAGGCCCAAGACCTGCACGATGGCGGTTTCGTTGTCATCGCACCATCGTCGACTCGAGAGACGTTTCTTTCACGAACGAGATTGTCTCGCCCGTAGTCTTTGGATGTCGCCCCGGCGGACGAGCAGACAGAGGACAAACGACACAACCAGCAGGACGCCCTGGAAGATGACACTGCATCGTGCACTGGTCTTTTCGATAAGAGCCTGACTGACGGGGTTGCCGATGAGAGTTGCAATACTGACAATGGCATAACAAGAACCTAGCCACTTTCCAAAACCGCGGCCATGGCAAAGGCGGCTTATGCATGTGGCTACAACGGGACACGAAGGGGAAAGAAAAGGAAAAGAAGGTCAGCTGCGTGTCTCACATTGTAATGGAACAATTGGGGAGGTTGAGCTGAGGCAAAGAAAAAAAGAAAGAAGAAAACGAAATAAATACGAGAAGACGGCCAACAATGGCATGAAGCCCACCTTCGCTGAGAACTCACCAGCCAAGGGTACAAAGGAACCAGTTCCTACGCCCATGAGAAACGCCACCAGATACAGGGCGGCTGTACTGTGGTCACCAAAGGGAACCCAAACCACAAAGATGGTGAGGATTGTGAGGGCTGTCATGGCAAGAGTCATGTTGAATGGGCCAAATCGGGTGGCGAGCCAAGAGGGAATGGTGCGGCCGGGGATGGCGCCGCTGGTTACGTTAGTGAGGCAATGGATAAAGCACCAGACGAAGTGCATCTGTGACTGACATGTTGTAGACCATTTGGAAGTAAAAGACGTCTCCCAGGCCTGTTCTTGAGGCAAAGTATGGCAAGGAGCCCCACTGCGTGAAGAGGACGAATTCGTATACTGGTAGAAGCGAGGCGTGAATGTTAGCTAGTGGGCAAAGAGAGAGCTGCAGAGATGGAGAGACGGAGAAAGAGCAGTACTGTCCATCACGACACAAATCTCTGCATCTCTGCAGTTTTGATGCACATAGACGCACAGCATCTGCATGTGCGTGGGAAGACCAACCAAAAACACATATGGTAAAAAGCCAAAAGCCTCGGTCGGTAAAATGGCTCAAGGAGCCCTTGTCTGCGTCCCAGAGAGCTGCATTGGCATACCAGGGAATCGTATGCGCAGGTGACAGTGTCTGTGACTGTGTCTGTGTCTGAGTTTGCATATCAGGCGGGTGGGCCGTGACGCAACTGCGTCGGAGAGGCAGGCCAGATCGTTCAAGGCGGTCTGCCTGTTCAATGGTCGTCGTTTCTGTCACAGTCATCTTGATCTCCATCGGCGGTGTTTGGAGAGGGCTTTTGTGCTTGAGCACCTGCTTTTTGAGTCCATCGAGTCCATTGGCGTCTTTCTCGGTCGCTAACTGGTGTGGTGATGAAGACGAAGGCCGTCGGCTTCCCCACACGACCAGGACGCATGCAATGAGCTCCATGGCACCGATGACGGACGATAGACAGAACATGGACACTTGCCAAGTGCTGGGCGCCGTCCGGGCCAGCAGCGCCCGCAACATAAGCGAGAAAAGAAGGCCACCGAGCGGAGCACCTGTCGAGACGACCCCTGTTGCGGCCGCGCTGTGCTTGAGGGTGGGGGACATTTCGAAAATGTGGTCAACGACCGTAAACGCGGCGACCGACGGCAGGGCGGAGGCAATTCCGGCAACCACCATGCACGCCATGAACTGGCCATAGATCGAGCACCACGCGAGGGCCAAAAAGGAAGCCCAGTACACAACACAATGCGGGGCGAGCAAAAGCAACAGGCCTCTGGTGGAAGACGACGACGAGGAGACCCGGTCCAGGACGATGCCGCTGAACAGGCCAAAAAAGCAGTTGAGAAAGCCCAGCAGCGAGCTGATCCAGGCAATGGCAGCATCGCTGTTTCCACCGTTGTAGTCTGCCAGCTGATGGGTTTCCCAGTAGACCTGGAAAAGGCCAAAGGCCGACATGAGACCATATGTAGGCATGGTCAAACAGACACATCCGACCACAGCAATCCAAGCAGACCAAGCTGAGTAGCTTGTAGAGGGGACAGAAGCAGAAGCTTCCATTGGCAGGGGACTCACCCCCTGAGCTGAACCATGGTCATTCAGCTTGCCATGTAGTGGATGGAGTGCCGGGTTGCCGAGAGGGCATAGCAGGTGAGGATTGGTGACGGCAACTGTCTGGTCCGTGTCGGTGGCTGTGTGCTCAGACGCGTCTTGAGGCCTAGAAAAACGTTGTCAGTGGATGGTGAGAACAGTGGGCGAAAAAAGAAAGCAAGATGCAGCTGTTTCATTTGGACGCATCCACGCAGCACCAAAACAGCGCCGTCGTGTGTCTATTATGGAATGCACCATCATTTATCCAGTCCTCCTATCCTTCTATCCATCTGTGATCCAGTAGTTTTATCCATTGGTATTATTCACACCCATGGTAGTGGAACAGCAAGCCTGCTAGGCGCGCATAAAGCGGAGAAAAAACAAACGAAACCTACCTGATGATGGTCAGGCCATCCTCGCCCGTGGACGACGAAGAGACCATGGCGGTCACGGTCCCGTGTAGCTCGAGGGACCTTCTCTGGAGCTCGAGGAGAGAAATGAAAAAGAATTCCCAGCGTGATGCTAGGAGAAGAGATGCCGTGTGGTGATGGGCAGATGGGCGTTGACTTTGGAAAGCAATCAGATAGTATGAAGTGAGTCCTTAGAGATACGTGGGCAGAGACAAAATGGGAGTAAACACTCGCTTTGTTTTGTCTCAATCCTGGTCCAGTCGAGTCAAAACACCGTTGAGTACGTTTCCTATTTTTTGGCCTTTTTTGCCTCTTCTTTTTGTCTCCTGCCTCGAGATGCCCGTTTAGGAAGTCAACATACGCAAACTATCAATGCCTTAAGCAGCCCACTTCTGTTCCCCATCGCACCTTCCCTTTGCACCGCTGCTTCTTTCCTTGTGTAACCATGGTCACCATCGCCGCGTCCGGCCGCGAAACCGCTCTTCCTCGCTGCTTCCCTTTTCTGCCGAGTATATTGGCTCTTCCCTTCTTCCTCCTGCGTTTGCGTCTGTCGAGAACCAACGGCATCTGCACGACGAAGATCATGACCAATGACATCTGTGTTTGCTGTCTCTCTCGTCTTCCTCTCTGCATTCGTCTTGGCACGTTTCCTCTTATTCTTTTCCCGTTTTGGCCCGGACGTCGTGGACCGTGCTTGCCTTCTGTTGGCCGGGGCTTCCTGCCCGAGAGGGACATGGGCTAGATGCGAGCAAAATAGGAGGAGAGACAGGGATGTATACGGGTGATAGCTTGCGTTCGTAGTGGTTTGACAGACAGACTTCCGTCTGCGTGCGTTGTTTTGTCTGAGGCCCCATTCTCTTTGTCAAGATGTCCTCTGGTGAGTGCTCTCGACCATCTCTGAATCCCCAAAGAGTGGCCAATACGAAGCGAGGCGAAAGTAAATAGATACGTCGACAGTCAAGTCGTCACACAACGTCTCCGTGGACCGGTTCAACTATTCGTCGAGGCCAATATAGGCGCCAACATGTGAACATTTCACCATGCAAGCTTGCGTTCCAATCCCTTTCCGTCGAATTTTGCTTCTGTCATCATTTGTAGGTGCAATTGCATCTGCATCTGCATCCCACCCAACCACGGTCTGTTGGTTCGACGTGGCAGGTCAATGATTCACACTGTGACCGTACTGCGGTCCGTTTGAATTGTTGCTATTAGTTCCGTTGTTCCCCGGACTGAGCCCCCCGAAACGTTGACTTGCTTGGCCTTTATAACTTTTATCTGTTTTCTTTTTTCCTCATGTTGTTCCCTTTTCACGTCGCACAACGTAGGCAAACATGTCCAATACTGCCCAGCGGAAGTGGAGATGTTGTGCGCGCACCAACAGAGAAAACCCACAGGACTGGGAACGTGACGCAACGCAACCTGCAGGACACGCAAAACGTCTTCCTGGATTTTGCGAACCCAGCCTCTTGCGTTTTTTTTTCTCTCGTATACTCGTACGATTGGAGGTTGCACTCGGGATTTCTGCGTACATTTGGCCGCATCATGGCTTTCATCACGGGATGCCCCCGACCGCATCTAGACCAAATTGCAAAGCCCCGTTTGCAAAATGACGGAGCGGCAGTCGCTCTCTAGTATGGTTTCCTTTTTGTCTGCCAATGCACGGCGTAGTCTCTGTCAGGAGCGTCACGAACGTCTGTGTACCTTTGACATTCATATGCCTCCCTCAAGTTGCCTCGCCCAGAAACCTGCATTTCGTATACAGGCGGCAACCGAGAAACAAAGAGTATTGGGAGAGGGGCATATAATGCTGCACAATGGCAAGTGAATGAAAACCAAAGAGGCAAGAAGAAAAGTGTCTTACAGTGAATGGTAGCCAATATTGAACAAAAAAAGCAGCTATGGAAATGAGAAGTACCGACCAATAGCAAGCGACCACCAACGACAACGACGACCAACAACCGATGATCACCATCCACGGCGATTGGACATTCAGCTCAGGCGCTGCACAACAACATGCACAAAGGTACGTACAAAGCCACGCAGTCCATACAGCCCATAAAGTCCATGAAGCCATGCAAGATCAAGTATCGCGGCATGTTCTCCCCCTGTTCGGACTACCTCGAGCAGTAGGGCAAGGGAGAGGGAGACATACAAACATGCATGGGCGGCGAGAGTGATATGCAAAAGTTGCAGACAGTAGACCACATCCTCAGCATGTCACTTTTCTGTGACGTGCCCTCATGCTCCCACGCCCCCCAGTCCCCATGCCCGAGGATGCAGTCTGCCATGTAGGTGAGTAGACAAAAGGCACAAAAAAGAAGCCGGGAACGTCGAGGATCGACAACGAGACCTGAACGTCTGTCTTTTGCAACGGCTGCTCTGTAGTTGAAGCTGTCCGCCATCGTAGAGTGCTAGGCGAGACTTCTTTGATGCCCGCACATTCCCTCGTCCTCGTCCTCGACCTCGACCGTTTGCATCTCTGGTCTACTCTCACCTTCCTGTCGCCTTTGTCTCACTTTCTTCTCTTTCTCTCAGGCAACAGTTTGGTGGAGGCTTTGGTGCACCTTTGCAGGTCCGTCGAGGAAGGTAGACTGTTTACACCCGAAGCGATCAAGAACAGGAAAGAGCGATGCACAAAATAAATGTCGCCGTCCAGATGCTCCAGCAACCAAAACATTGCAAAGCCATATGTGACGGTAGCTCCTGCCCTGTCCGTCCCTCCCTCTCTACCCTTCCTTCCTCTTCTGACTTCTGTTGCTCTTGCCTATTCTTCCCTGTTTTCTATTTCTTGCCCTCTTCCCTTTTTTGTCTTCCAAGCTGTTCTCTCTGTCGGCATTCCTTCTTCTTAATTTCTTTTCTCGTTCTCTCTGCTTTGCCTCTTTTCCCATCAGCACGTTCTCTCTACATCTCTACATCTACTCAACATCGTTACCCAGCGTCATTACGCATCATCGTTATATATCCTTTCTCTTTCGTACCTCTCTTTCATCGTTCACCACGCTCGCTGTCAATTTGAACAGCTCCCGGCTGTTTTCCGGACGCATGGCTGCACCCGTGAAGAGCATCACGATCGCACGTACTGTTGCCACACTGCCTCCTCGCATGGCACCCATGGTACCCGCTGCGGCTGCTCAGCAGACCCAGAACGAGGACAAGGACACACCCATTGTTCAGGAGGCCGGCATGGGTCCCGTCGATGCCACGCCCTCTCGGGACCAGTTCTGGCGCAAGATTCCCGTCTGGAAGGACGTGTCTACGGACGAGTTCCTCTCGTACAAGTGGGGAGTCCGTGTAGCCTCCCTATTTTGTTTTCCGTTCCTGTACCTCCTTGTTCTGCACGCACGCTGACTGCCTACGACTCCCACAGATCAAGAACACGGTCCAGGGTGAGCTCAAGCTCGCTCGCTTCCTCGAGCAGGTGCTCCCCGACGAGATCCCCATGACCGACGTGGCCAATGGCGACTCTGGCAAGCTCGTTCAGACCCGCGACGCGCTCGTCACGGACGTCGTCGACGGCATCAAGACCGCGACCATGTCGACGCGCATGACGCCTTACATTCTCAGCCGCATCAACTGGGCCGATCCGCGCAATGACCCCGTGTTCCGTCAGTTCATTCCCGTCAAATCCCACATGCTGCCTGACCACCCCAAGCTGGCGCTGGACTCGCTGCACGAGCATGCCGACTCGCCCGTGAGCGGCCTCGTTCATCGTTACAACGACAAGGCTCTGTTCCTGCGTAAGATGTCCCTTTCTTTCTTTCTTTCTTTCTTTCTTAAATCCCCTATATGTCCTCACCTTGTGCACGACGCTGACCAACAGCCACGTCGGTCTGCCCGACTTACTGCATGTTCTGCACGCGCTCCTATGCCGTGGGAGCCGACACGGACTCGGTGAAGAAGGCGTCCATGAAGCCCACCAAGACTCGCTGGGAAGAGGCTCTTGCTTATGTTGAGCGTACCCCTCAGCTTCAAGACATTGTCGTCTCCGGCGGCGATGCCTACTATCTGCAGCCCGAGCAGCTGGCCTACATCGGCCAGCGCCTGATTGCCATGCCCAACATCAAGCGCTTCCGCTTCGCGTCCAAGGGCTTGGCCGTCGCCCCAGCGCGCATCCTGGACGACCAAGACTCTTGGTTCCAGGCTCTCAAGTTTGTGGCCGACGAGGCCCGCAAGGCCGGCAAGGCCATGGCGCTGCACACCCACTTCAACCACCCACACGAGATCTCCTGGGTGTCCGAGCTGGCGGCCCGCCGCCTCTTTGAATCCGGCATCATGGTCCGCAACCAGACCGTTCTTATGCGCGGCGTCAACGACGACACGGCCACCATGTCGGCGCTGATCCGCAACCTCGCCGACAACAACATTTTCCCCTACTATGTCTACCAGTGTGACATGGTCGAGAAGGTTGAGCACCTCCGCACGCCGCTCCAGACCATCCTGGATCTCGAGGCTCAGATCCGCGGTTCCATTGCGGGCTTCATGATGCCCCAGTTTGTCGTTGACCTGCCCGGCGGCGGTGGCAAGCGTCTGGCGTGCTCGCACCTCTCGTACGACCGCACCACCGGCGTGTCGCGCTTCATGGCCCCTGCCGTGACGGGCCGGGACAAGGAAAACAAAGTCTACGAGTACTACGACCCCGTGGACGCGGTTGTTGCGCCCAACGCTGGTGATCAGTGATGACGAAGAACAGTCTCTACTATACCAACAACAGCACGGGCACGTTTGCACACCGAAGGGAGCGAATGGAGCGGAATTTGGATTTTTTTGGGCCAGCACCATGGTATGGGGTACGTGAATGGATATGGAAAATTCAACACAAGGAACGAACTGGCCTTGGAAGGGTCTGAAATCTGGATCTGAGTTTGAATCTGAGTCTGAATCTGGACATCTGGACATCTGCAAATATGGCGGCATTGTATGGAGAGGAAAATATGTACGTACGATATGTACGACGGCTTTGCGAGTTAATGTTCAGGATGTGGTATCACGGTCGAGAAAGACCCATCATCTGGCAGGGAGGATATAGCCTGAACAAATACTAAAATCAAACAAGACACAAAAGTCACAGTAAACAAAAACTTGGCTTCAATACGACGCTACTTCGTAGTATGTCGTGGAGAGTTGACACTCGGGTCCCGGTGATAAGTAATAATGTGTGTTTGAATTCGAGGACACCAGTTCCTGTATCAATAACCATAAGGAAAGCTGAGGACGTGCTACGTTATCTAGCCTAATGAGTCGAGCAGGTAAGAAGTCCGGGAGCTGCGCGGCAAGTAAGAGAACGCCGACAGATCTTGATCTAGTTCTCGGACCGTTGTCATTGTTAGAACTGGACAGAGTCTCCAAGACAATGTCGTACTTCGTAGTCAATGTCAAAAGCAAGGTCAAGATACCGCCGGAAATGGAGACTCTCCGACGACAAAAGGATAAGCAACCTAAAAGACTGAAAGAAGTATCAAATAACGCACCAAAAAGAACAATACAGGAATAGAAAATCATCAGTGCGTGCAGTGGTGCAACGTGCTCATACTAAAATAAAAAATAAAAATAAAATAAAAACTACCAGTGGCCCCAACCGCCTCTTCCCGCCCTGTGCGCTCGCTAAGCTCCACCCGAACCAGTCGATCCAAACGATGGCGGTTGTACTACTTGTCGCTGTGTACAAAGTGATCTCCCCGTTGATGAATCTTTTCTCTGCGACAGCATGGGAGGCGGCATCAGGCGCTTTCGACGGCTGTGTTGTACTAGCCGATCACTGTCGTCGCCGTCGGTAGGTGTGGTGTCATTGAGAAACGTGGGCTACTCAATGTTGTACTTGCTCCGGGAATGTAAACGTGTGCTGTGATTTTACGTATTAGATTTCGGCATCGAGCGGCTACCTCCTCTGGCCCCTGTCTGCTGAGTAGATCCTGTTATCTCTTTTCTCAAAATGAAATGACTTGGCATGCCCCAGAGTGGCTAGTGAACAAAAGAACGCAACAAGGAACCCTGAAGGAAACACAGAAGACACTTGATAGGAATAGGAACAGGAGTGGTAAAAGGCGAGGAAGCCGAGGGCACAGAAGTCAGGACGGTATTCAAATGTGATAAATATGATAGATGACAGTCGAAATCACATTGTGACAGTGTGAACAGAAAAAAATCCGCAGCAGATCGTTGCCGTTCCCGGGAAAGATTGGCGGGTTACCGGGGTCACCGGGGTTCTAACCTCGCTGCCTAGTGACCTTCATCGTACGGGCGGCGCCTGGCGTTGTGACGCTGTACATGTTGCCGCCGTGTCCGCAATGTGCTCCCATCGGCCAGGATGACGAATGCCAGGGGCAGTATACAAGGGCAGTATCCAGTGGAACTAAAGAAATGAGGAGAAAAGGAAAAGAGAAAGAAAAAAACGAACAAGAAGAAAAGAAGAAAGAAAAATGACGAAAGCGCGCGTCAAACGGGCGAGATAAAGTGAATAATACCAGACAAAGGTAATATGACGAACGGAGGACTTCGTCCGCGAGTCCTCGAGGTTGTAGTCGGCAGGGCCACAAGGCAGTCTGACCGTCTGGCGTTGTTCCTTGGCGCTTCCGACGAATTTTGTTGCCCACTGAGCCACCCTCTAGTTCTCGCACAGATGATCATAAAAGAGGGTCTTTTTGGTGTCGAGGGCGCTTCTGTGGCCGGCGGAAGCGGGATGCTGACTTTGTTTCTATTTTCAACCGTCTGGTGCGGTTACTCACTCGCCCCCCTTCTTCACGGCACGGACTCGGTACGGTACGTTGACGCTGAACACGCGTCGCACCACCAGACGACAATATGGACGACACTGTGAATGCACGTCTTCGATATCGACGGACGGCCGAGACTGACGCGTTCCCGTTTGTTCCACCTCCTTCTTTTGCAACGTCCTCGGTTGGTACAGCGTCCCATATGCACCTGCAGCCACAATCCACAGTCTTCACCATATGCATGCACTCCTGGACCAGTGCTACAAAATGCAGGCCTTGGACTCGCAGCTCGACCGGCAGACGGGGTTTTGCGGCACAGAGCACATAGGATGTAAGTGCAACGCCACGCAGCTCAGAAGGAAGAAGCAGAGGGACGAAGGAAGGTGGAGAAGAAAAGGACGACGACGAAACTGTACGACGTATGCAGTGCCCCCCAGATGAAGTGTTTAGCGTCTCGTACCAGCTCGAGTTGTGCTCTCGATGCTGATCTCGCTACAAACCAAGGACGATTTCCACATTCACATTGAAGCTATGAAAAGTGAAGGCGATTCGACAACGTTCGACACTCTCCTGCTCCGCACAAACAGCTCGGATATGGCGGTGGACGACTTGTCATTCTAATAAAAAAGCAAGCGGAGATTTCTCTCAGGGCCCCATGGCAATTTTGCATCTCCCGCCTTTTGCTCGCGTACGGAGCATTTTAACGTCGTATTTTACGGTTGCCATTTTCTGTTGAGAGGTTAATCCTGGGCAGAGGCTAGCTGGGATTTAGTTCACATACGTAGGATGTCGGTTGGCGCCCCAAATCCAAAAGTCAATAACCACCATTTGCTTGCCGGGCATGGGGCCAGGCCTGTCAACAATATGCCTGCAAGGTCCCGCACACAATACGACACTGTAAATTTGTTAATATCGCTGGGGCAAAGAGAAAACGAGCCTGGCCAAAATAAAACGGTCTTCATTGCACGGTTAATTGTTTGAAGACGCAAATACTGTGCAAGGACAACAAATTGAAGGCACTGCGAGACGACGATCATGTCAAAAGAGGTAAAAAGGACGGGCATCAAAAAGGGACACCAGGACGTGACCAGGCAGACAACAGTGTTCAATGAACAGTGAGAGTTGACCAGTTTGAGACAAGTCAGACAAGGGCAGACCGCGTACCGGGGCCCTGGCATTCCCAAAAAAGGTCATCTACACGGTAATCAACGAGCTGCCGATCGTGGTGCAGAAGAGGAAAGGCTTTCTGTCTGGGGTATGAAAAGAGGCGGAGGCCGGGGCAGGCGAAAGAAAAAAGTGTAGAGAGTGGAGAGAGGAGAATACACGACAATGGACGAGGTGAAAGGCAACAAGGAGAAAGGAAACGGAGACCAGAAAGCACAGTCACGTTGCTTAATGTTTTTTACGGCGTACGGGGTGTGTTTCTGTCGATGGATGTCGAATGTCGTATGTCGTACATTGTGTTTTGGAGACAGAAGCGGCGAGACGGTTAGAAGGTAGAAAATCAAAAATAGACAGCTCGTTTCAGGTTGGCTCTGCCGAGACCAGGTCGAAGAGCTAAAATAGATTAACACCAGAGGGCGGGACCGCGACTACGATGTATGTAATAATACTTTGTAAGTGCGCACGCTTAAAAAGCTCCTGTAGCTTTTAGCTTGTCGTGACTTTCAAAACAGCTCACCATAATTCGTAAACACACAAAAAAAGAAAAGGAACGCAGATCGTTCACCGGTTAGGCAATGGCTTCAGACTTGTGAATAGGAGAAGTGGAAGAAGCAGTCTCCGGCTGATACGAGCAGGAAGACCCTTTTCCCAGATATCCTGAGGTAATTGCTTTCCATGTCTCGCTCTCACACATGGTCATTTCCGGAGTTTGTCTTCTTGTTCCACCGTCTCATGTGTGTCCTGCGTGTCTCGCCTTGTCCCTCGTGGATGTGTCTCGCTATCGTGTCTTAGTTTGCGTTCCTTTTTTTTTCTTCTGTTTCAACTGTTGCTTTTCTTTAGGTTCTTCCTTTTCGTCCCCTTTCTTGACCCATCTACACAAGTACAACTATCTCAACCACGACAGCCAGATTCTCGAAAATGGAAAGTAAAAAAACGTAAAAGTATGTTGTATACCAACAAAGTAAAGAAAGGACGGCTCAGACGCCTTTTAGCAGCCACCACAATATAATTATGCAAATGGCCAATGCGCAGGCGCATCAAATGCTGTACAAGACTCTCAGTGGCCGCCGGATACCTACCGAGCTGCCGCCTTCCAGCAAAGCAGGGTCATGGCGTCGTGGTCAGTCAACAGCAGCGACATCGCATATTGCCATCCATGGTGCACTCGCTTTGAACACTCTGTTAATAGATTGCATTGGCAGTTATAACGTTTTAATCTAGTGCTTTCCTTCACTCTCCTGTAGGCTCTTGCCGTATTTGCTGACTATGTAGCAAGGAAGGTGCCATCTATGGTCGCTGCCGTTATTTATTGCTGGTGTCCGAGCGACGATAGCCAAACACGGCAGGAACGACAGCTTCGTGCGATCTGCTCTTGCCTCACGATATTCCACACTCTTCCTTCCCCTGCAAGTTGCAATGCTGCTCCTTCCCCTTCTCAGCGTATTACGGAGTACAGAGCACACGTGTATGGAGCGTGCCTTCCCTCGCTGTACACAGACACGTTGCACAACAGGAAAGAAGGAGAAAAACAAAACAGAGAGGGAAAAATCCTGGGACGCCCACAAAAACGGCGATCCCTCTCTCCTTGTCGAGAAAACAAGAGGCAACGAAGCAAACATCCTGGACATAAGCAAATGGCCAGAGATGATGAAGAAGGACGACAAGAACGAAACAGATTAAAACCTCTGCGCCGCCCACGTTGCGCCCTCGTGTCCTACTACCAAACTTTCCCTGTCTCTGGTTCACGTTTCTGTCTCTTTTTTCTCTTCTGTTCTTCTGTTCTTTTGTTCTTTTCTTCTTTTGATCTTCACCAGCGTCCATTCGCCCTGCAGGCCCACCGCCAATAACACGTACCGACAATACGACGTACGCACGCATACACCGACACGACCGTCGACTAAACGACCATCCACGGATATCTTACTGTCAAGCCACAATTGCCCCTGAGCAACAACGCAGAAAATACACAGTGCCCCTGGACTTTGCTTCTACTGTTTACCAGCAGTGTCCCCAGATGATCGTCGACAATCGACGAAACAAAGCGAAACAATACGACTGACGACGGGCATTGAAACCATAATATTGGAAACGGAAATTACCGTGCGTCCAAACAGACGAAGAACCCAACAGGACGATTTTAGAACACTTTGTACGGGCAAACACAACCCACGCGAGAAGCTGCCTTCTGCGCACACCGAGCACCATCACGTCCACACTCCAGACCCTGGTCAGTTCCGTTGTTCGCTACCCGCTTGTTTTGCAGGCTGGCCCCATTTTTCACCAGGCGGTTAAGGACGCAAGACGAAAAAGGGAGTTGGGGTGAAGAGCAGGGAGACGGGGCAGTTTGAAAGGCAAAGGGGATATTAATCACAACACTGCTAACGAATATGCCAAACCAGTAGATAACAGCAGCAGACAATTATGCCTGCGCTCGAGCACCACAACGGCCAGTTCGTTGCGTCTGATGTTAACTGTTGTTCCGTGCTGAAGATGGGCGCCGATGCCGTCGAAATAGTTGAAGCCGTTGAAGCCGCCGAGGCCTTTGCCGCCATTAAAACGTCTACAATCACCACCGGCACAGGCACCATCGCCAAGACCACCGGAGCGAGCTGGATTGCCGCTGACAGGATTCCCACTACTGGCACTGACAGCAGCTACAGGGCTGCCACTGCAACCTCAACCGGAATCACAACCATCACCACTGACGCGCCAACCAGTGGCACTGGGGTTGACGCTGCCAGGGTCCAGATTGAGGACCCTGGTAACAATTCTGGGTCCGCGCTAACCAACACCAACACTTGCGGAGGCAACATTTGCAACACAAGCTCAAGTTCAAGCTCAAGCACAGCGACCGGGGATGCCTCGTTATGTTCATCGCCTGCTCTGGATTCTGCTTGTCCTGTGTCTGTAGCTTCTTTGCCCTCTTTGCCATTGGCATTGCCATTGTCGCCTCTTGCTTTCCCTTCGACATCTGCTTCTGCTCCCCTTCTTCGTCCCACGTCAGCCTCCGCTTCCTCGTCTACCTTTATACTTTCCAAAGCACCTCCACCAAAGAAATACGCACGTATTCCTCCTCCCATCGAGATCGGCGGCAAGCTTCGCAACAGTACTGCCTTTTTGCTGTCACCCTCGCCTCCTCAGTCTGCCCTCCTCTCTCCTTCCTCGGGCACGCTGTTTTCGACACCCTCCACATCCTCTCTTCAGTCGCCCTTCTCCTCTCTTTTCAACAACACGGTGTCTGCTCCAGATACACGGGCCTCTTCGTCTTCCTCACGCACACTCACGACGACGGCCATTGGCTCTCACACTGACGACGACGACACTAACAACAGCAGCGGCGGCAGGAGCAGGACCAACAACGACGACACCGCCTCGACCTGCTTCCACGGAGCATCTGAGTCGGTTTCAAACCCCACATCGCCAACTTTGACAGTTTGGCCCGGCCACCACGATACCGACAGTGACAACCACGCCAGCCAGCTTATTGGGCCTGTCCGCTGTCGCTCTTTGTCCGCCGGTCATAGCAGCATGACTATGACGGCCACCGCTGCTACACGGAACGCAACTGCAAGCGACAACTGCGACCACAACCACGGCCACTTTCTCAGCGCCAGCTTCGACGGGACGGCTGCCGGGCGCATGAACACTGCCCGGACGAGCAGCAGCAGCCACGGCAACGGCAATCGGAAGAGCAACAGCAGCAACAGCCGCTGGCGTCCGACCTCTGCAAAGAGTGCACGAAGCGCCGAACGGGTTCGTAGACGGTCGCCGAGCCCGCTGTTCAACCCGTTTGCCCGCGTTTCCCGCCACCGACACGACGACACCCGCGACGACAACAACAACAACACCGACAGCATGCTTGCCAGCACAAGCAACGGGCGCCAGCCTACTTACAACCGGCGGGGCTCCTTGTCCTCTGGTGCAGCACCGCCGCCATTGACTCGTGAAGAGTTTGAGGCTCTTCCCGTGGCCATTCAACGAAAGGTAAGTTGATGATGCTGTTTTCTGCAGCTCGCTCAGATCGATCCGACGTAGCAAGCAAAGAAAGAAAGAAGCAAGTGCGAGACGAATCACAAACCATGAAAAGGCGGCACTCTCAGCCTTCAGCCCTTTAGCCTTCAGCCCTCCAGCCGTTCACATCGGGGTTGATGAGGCTCCACCCGCCCGTTTTCCTTTTTTTTTCTGTTGTTTCTTCAAATTCCTTTTTTGATCGTGTTCATCGCGTTCGTCCCTTTTCTTTTCGCGTCTCCACGTCTTCGCCATTGTTGTGACGCATCACATTGTACTGCTGGCAACGTTGGCGCCCGCCATCCAATCCCATCCAATCAACACGCATCCCCGACTGCCCATTGGCCAGCTTTGGGGCATTGCAAGCACTCGCTTGCAGACATGGATCTCCATGGGCACCCTCGTCACATCGCGCCTTTTGGGCCTTCCTTCATGTCCCCCCATTTTTGCTTGGTTCATTACCTGTCAGCTGGGCGGCAATCGGGCAGTGCCACGATCCAATGAGAGTTTGTTGATGGCCCCCAACCACACTTTTGAACCCTTTTGCGACTGCACAGCAAATGCATGCATTATCACAACCGCTGAAGAGCGAAATGAGAGTGAGAATTGCGGGTGAGAAAAAGACAGATGAGAAGCGAAAAGGGAAAGCACCAAAGAGACGGCAGGGCTGAAATGAAAGCCATCTCACGCTCTGGCCAATGTCAGTCGAGAAATAGACAGTTGGACGTCGGCCAACGGCGAGTCGAGATGAGACGAACGGTAGGAACACGGACAACACGACAAGACCGGCAACGACAAGAGCTGTGCCCGAAACGGCAATCCAGCTGGGGGCGTTACTCGCATTGTGCATGCGAAGCGCCACACAGTTGCCTGACTGGGACAGTTGAGGTTGCGAGAAAAGTGAAGAGAGACGAAAGAGGACATGGACGAGAAAAGAAGACTGAGAAGGTGGCCAGTGGCCGCTTGAAAGAGATGTCGTCTTTTCGCGGCCGCCTTTCCTTTTTCATCCACGTCGACATCCACGGCGCCGCCACATCTCCGCACGAACGTGCCTGTTTGCTTTTCTGTTCGTCTGTCCGTTCACGTTTTCTTTTATTTTTCCTTCGTTCGGTCCTTTGTGTGTCCGGAGTCTCTCCATCCTATTCATGTCTCGCAATTGCTTGCCCTGTGCCGGCCTCTTGCGGGGCTTTTGCCTCCTCTACTGCATGTCTCGCTCGGTCTGGCGCTATCTCGCGTCTTTTGTTCATCCCGCGCATCATCCATTGCACATCACATCCCATACTCTGCACTCGCACTCTGCCCTCTGCACATCATTTTCGTCCGCTGTATTGCCTGCTATGCGGTCACTTCTCCCTTGGGCGGGACTGAGAAAAAGTCCAAATATGAGGGTGGGGGGACCAAAGAGTCTGGCGGTGTGTTGTTCGGGAACCGACGATCATTACCTGCCATCAACGACCAGCTTGACAAGGTATGCGCTGGCTTTGGGTTGCAAGCGTGTGTGACTTGCGAGAATTTCCTCGCTGGGATTTCTTTTCTTCTTTTTTGTCTTATATGTTTTTTTTGTTCTGCTTATTTTTTTTTTCTTATTTTTTTGTCTCGTTTTGTCACATCATTTTTCTCCCACACCACATGCAAGGCCCACGCAAATCACCCCCCAACGTACCGCTGAATGGCCTGGCCCAAGCAAGAACAGGTGCGTTAGGGCGTCTTGGGACCCAGCGACCTGCATATGCAGTGGTCGGGGGTGATGCATTGGTGGGTGGCTTTTGGCGCAGCCAGGTGCAGCTTGGAGTTTGGTGCATTGCAGGCTCCGTCTGGGCTACCAGTGAAGCGCTGCAGCGCCTGTGCGTGCACTGCATCGCTCTAACTGTATGTACCTGAGCTGCGATGACAGGGACCTGAAAACTGCCTGAACTGGCACCTGGGCCCTTGCCCCTTTTTGCTCACTGCCCCTTATCCGCGCTCCACTTTTTGCCCATTGTCCTTTTGCTCTTTTCCTCTTTGGCCAAAGCAAGCCAGGCTTCCTCTCCACGTCGGCGGACGTTGCTCTCCTTTCTGCGAGAGCTCTCTCTCTCTCGTTCCTTTCACTTGCTTTTGACCGTCCTTTTCCTCGTCCTTTTTCTTGTCACTCCATGCCAGCTCGCCTCCGACTCTCTCCTCTGGGCTTTCTTTTATTGTCTTTTGTTCCGTGGAGGTTCCTTTTGTGTCGATCTCCCTCGCCTTTGCGGACATCATCATCACAAAACCTCTCGTCTTTCTCCTTGCTCCTTTCTCCTCCTGTCTCTTCCTTTCTCTCCCCATTACGCCTCTCCACCGCTTGCTTTCCTTTTTCTATCCACTCCCCATATAGCACGCGTATTTCCTCGGTCAGTTCTCGACGAAATTGCATTCTCGTATCTTTCTCCAACCAACACCGGCCACACCGTCTCTGCCCCCTCTTGTCCACTCTGGTCTCTTCTCGTTCCTGCATGACCACCAACCACCACGTTTGCTGCGACTTACCTGCCAGATACAGGTACGCCGCCGCAGCCAGAGTTCTCACGCCTTTCCTGTCCACATAATACCTCGCCAATTCCCACCGCGTCCCTACTAGCCGTTCGTATTTTGATTTTGATTCTCGTCTTATATATTTCTGTCGGGGCCTTTCTCCTATTTCTGTGTCATATTATTCCCACGCCAGCCAGCCGACGGCCTCTCGTTGGCGTTGTGTTTATTTGTCCCTAGATTCGTGCAAGTACACAACAGCTCCATATTACCATCCCTCTCGGCCATTCTCTCTCCCTCCATTCCATCGTCCCGTTGTCCCACTTGGACCTGATCACACACTTTCCAGCGTGCTTTCTTTCTTTCTTTTTTACTTCTCTTCTTTTATTCTTCTCATTTTCCTCCGTTGTCTTTCTATTTTGATTCCTCTTTTATTCCATCTGCTTGCTACTGTCGTCGATCTGCTTTACTACGTTACCATCCCGTCTTCCATTCCAAACAAAACACTAAACAATCCTTTTTCTCCCTTCTTAACAGTACTTCTCCACACTCGAACGTCTTCGCTTTGCGCAGGGGTCTGGCGCCATCGACGGCATATATCAGCACTACGACGCCATCTCCGTGCAAAACATCCAGCGCCGCAGAGCTCGCCAGGACCGCATCGCCTCGGACAACATCACCACCCGTCTCCGCAAGCGTTCTCTGCGTCTCGAGTCGTCACCTCTGCTGTCCACCAACAGCTACTTCAGCGGCAACAAGAACGGCCCCTCGCCCGCCATTGGTGACGCCGTCGCAGACACCCTCTTCTACGCCAACTTGCCTGACAAGATCAAGAAGCGCGAGTTCTCCCGTGAGGAGCGGCTTGTCCTCGCCGGCCAGCTCCACGCCAGCGTCATCCTCGACGCCGCCGACGAGGCCATCTACAAGATTGGCCGCCGCGCGAGCATCACCCACCGCCTCATTGCCCCGGACATCACTGTGGACACGCCCACCGCCACCTCGTTCCGCCGCAGCATGGAGACTATGCGGTCCGTCGAGTCCATGGAGACCATGGAGACCATGCACAGCACGAGCGATCCCCGGCTTGCTCCAGGCCGGCGAAACCCCCTCGGCCTCAACAACGACGCCGCTGCCAAGCGCATCAGCGGCGTGCCCGAGTCCTTTTACGACAGCTTTCGCTGGCTGGAAGACGAGGACGACCTGGACCTGCGCCTCTTCCTCGACGACTACCACGCCAACCTGCGCGACGCCCTACCCTCGCCCAGCAAAGCGCGCCGCCCATCGCTGCGTCGCCACCTTTCCATTTCCAAGAAGCCCTTTGGCCGCCCGCTGCCCACGTCCGCCTCGACAGGCAGCAATCTTCTGGGCGCGGGTGTTGGGAAGGGCAGCAGCAGCAACATCAGCAACAGCCGCCCTGCCACAAAGGACGACGCTGCCTCGACGCGGACAGCCAGGTCACCCAGCATGAGCAACAGCAACGGCAGGACCACACCCTTCCCTACCGTACCCTCGAGCACGTTTTCCTCGCCCACCCGTCCTGGCTCGCACGTTCGCCGGAAATCACGGACGCTGTCTCTCATCACGCCGAGACAACACGCCGCCCACGACTCCATCTCCAGCATCGACCCAGGCGCCGCACACTACCAGGACCCCGAGGCCCGTCTCAAGCTGCGCGTCTACTTGGCCTCACCGCAAAAGTTTGACGAGGCCATTGAGTTTGGCTTCCCCTCGACCGACGTGCTGTCGTCGATGCCTTCCATGGCCGGCATGTCCATGGCCGGCGGCTCGCCGCCCCTGGGCTCGTCGTCCATCCTGTCGTCCACGTCCACCAAGGGCAATCGCGTTTCCACCGCTCCGACAGCCATCGAGAAACGGCATATGCGCCGTGGTACGCGGCAGAGCACCTCGGACGGCACCATGCGGACGTTCCTAGCCGATGAGGACGATGACGAAAACGACAACGCCAACGAGAACGCCAACGAAAACGGAAACACGGCCACTGAAGACGACGACATGACCAAGCTCGACAGCGACCAGGCATCCGTGCCCGACCCGGAATCCCCCAAGACGCCAAACCTGACGCACGACAGTGACCTTGTCGGCGGCATCGGCAGCCGGAAAACCTCGTCCTCGGCGTTCCGCCCGTACCGTATCTCCTCTTCCGCCGACGCGCCACAATCGACCGGCCACCGGCCAACCGACAGCTACGCTCAGGTGCCTGCGTCGTCTCGCGAGATGACGCTGCGTATGACCCTGACGCGCCTGGACCTGCGCGCTGGCGAGGACGAAATTTATGGCTGGCAGCAGCAGAAGAAGCAGTACCACGTGCACCACCAGAGCAGCAGCCACAACCACCTGCAGGGCCCCAACCACCTCCGCAAATCGTCAAACGCCACGGCCCTCCCGGGCGCTGTGGGGCCGTATTACCCATCGGCGCGCAACGATTCCCTTCGTCTGCCGTCCTCCACTACGACGACGACGACCACCACCACCACCACCACAACGACATCGACATCAACGTGCGACAACTCGATCACGTACCTTGGTGCCGGTGCGGTCAGCCGGCCCAAGGCAAGCATCGAGGACGTCTTTGCCGGCATCGACCATTGGGAGGCCGACCAGGACAAGGGCGTCATGAAGCGCTTTTGGAATCGGGTGCGGCGGTCTTAGAGACGCCTCCGCCGCCCATCGCCCTGGCCGAATCCCTTGCTTACTTTGGAGCAGCAGTTCCTCCCCACTCTATTTTCCACTCTTCCGCCCCCTGCTCTATAGAGTGCGACATGCGTGCTTGCCATTCTTATTTTACTTGGATTTCGCTTCGTTTATCATTTTGTGTTGCATCATACCATTTCTTTGTATCGTTTTAGTCTTTCTTCGTCCAATTCGTAAGGGTCTCTTTGTATTCTTTTATTCTCATTTTTATTTCTTTTCTTTCCGTTTCGTTCAGATATCAACATTAGCCAGCGCTTGCATTTGTTCATCCTTTTTCATTTCCTCTCTGCACACTTATTCTCAGCTTACATACATTCATTACCAACTATTTTTGCCACTACTCTCGTTCTTATTGGTTGTTTTTATTTTTCCCTGGCTTTTGGTTCTATATCACTTATTTTATTACCCTGATCAGCATGCTTCTTATTATTCGTTTGGGCCTTGCATGTAGCCCCTATTTGAATTTACAACTATTCCTACGGACGTACCTGTGCACATACTGAGAAAAAGTGGCCAGCCTCCATATAATGTGCTCAGTTTTGGTTTCGAAACGTGATTCTGGCATGGAGGATGACAAAATACAACGTCCAAATCACTGGCCGCTTTGTCTCGGTCCGGCGGAGTGTGTGCCTTTTCCTGTTCCTTGGGTCGCCATGTCTCACTGCGTTGCCCTCGACCAAAAAATACGACCCGTTTGGAGCATTGTTTTTCCTCGTTTGGTTTCGTCTAGTCGTGCTCCAGCAGAAGCCGCAGTGACGTTGCGTGATTGGAGACGCCAAAAACGTGGGGCCCTGTCAATAACACTGAAGCGAATATAGGGAGACGCTGTGCACGGCGACGACGGGATGGGTCCTGCCACTTCCTGCCTGTGCCTGTCTGTCCCTGTCTGTGCCTGGGCGGTTTGTTGGTTTTTCCCCTCTTCCAATTAAGCTTGGACCGCTTATAATTGACGTCCATGTTCTTGGAGGCATACAGCAGGCCAAGAACAAAATAAATGTTGCAAAAAGCGAGAGGCAGAGTCACACTCTCTCCACAATGTCTGTTGCGTTTTTCATTCTTTTCTTCTGCTGGGAGAGCTTGTGAGATATGGGCTAGACTCGTACATAAACACAGGACACAAACCTAAATGGATTTCTTTTCAACAGTTCGTCCTCTTTGCTTTGTCCATGCTCCTTGTCAGTCTGTGGCTGCACTTGACAAACTCGCCCTTTCGTCGATGACGTGCTCTCAACGTAGTCGAGTCAAAAATGTGAAACTAGTAGCGTTGCATCCACCAATGCGCGGGCCCTTTTGCGTGTCGTACGACATCGCGATCGTTTTGGCAGTTTTACGACGTGCAGTTACTTCAAGACTAGCCATGCACAATGGACGATGCATGATGCAGGCGCTGTGGTTTTTTTTATGTACCTTTTTGCCTTTGCAAGAAAAAAGAAAAAAGCGCCTGCATTAGTGTGTATGAAAAAAGAGGACCGGCCGGCCGTGCCCCCTCTTCGACTGTCTTGGATGTGCAGACTGCTTTTGGAATGGTGCCAGCGAGCTGCTGCAGGTCGGTTTTGTCTTGCCGATGGACACACAGCACATGTCTCCAAAGGACGATTCGTCCCAAGCAACCAGGTCAGCCTCGTTTTGGCGACGTTAACCGCCACCGGCAAAGGTCAGCGATGCACCCAGTGCAGCTCTACTAAAGAGGACAACAAACAACTTGTTTGCTGGTTGCATCGGACATCCAACACATGGAAAAGAACAAAGAGGGGCTCGGCTACCAAGGAAACATCCTAGTGCGCCCGCGAGATGTGGCGGCTAGTATAGGAAAGAGCAAGGAGCTAGGAGCCCGAGTTGGCGCTGGGAACAAGGAACCGGGAACCTACATCGTAGAACCAGGAGAGGAGCTTTTCATGTGTAAAAAGCTAGATGGTGTACGCCATCGCACGAAACGTCTCGCCGAAACAAGTGCACGATGCTACTCTGCTCACATCACCTCTAGAAACAATGCAAGGGATGAGAAGCTCGGAGCGCTTTCATCTGACTTTGTTTGGCGCATTTCCATTCTTTTTTTTTTCTTTTTCTTTTTCTTTTGTTTCCCGCTGTCGCAATGCCCACTCTCTCTTCGCTGGCATCGTGGTGTGATCGGCCGCGACCAGTCAGCTGAAAGTATGGCGTATGTCGTACGACGTACAAAGAGGCCGTTGCAAAGTTGAAAAAGTCTCAAGGTTCAAAATGCATTACGCCGCACAAGGGAGCCACCGTTGGCCCGTTTGCACGTGCCGAAGGAATGAAACGAGAGCGACGGTGCCGACAAACCATACTCCAGAGAAAACGGCCGGCCGAGACAACTCGAGGGACAAAAAAGTATGGAGACCGGAGCACACAGCGCACCAAACAAAACGCCGTCGACCTGTTGGCGCCTTTTGGCCGAGGTTGACACTCATCCCTTGCTTCGCCGTGTTCCGTTCCGGCACTTGTCTGTGATGTCGTACTTTGTGCCTTTCCGTGCCTGAGAACCATTCTTAGAGGCTGCACAAGCCAGCTGAACAGCATGCCACCCCACGAGGCAAGGGAGACACGATGCGAGACAGCGAGAGACAGATGCAGGTAGTAAGACATACGGCACACGCAAAGCATGGCATTTGTTTGTGCATGCATTTTATGCATAGTTACCTGTCGGTGATGACTAAGCACGACACTCGTCAGACTCGAGCACTTATTTTCTATATTGTACAAAAAGGATTTGGTATTTGGTATTTGGTATTTTGATCGTTTGTGCTTTTGCAAGTTGTGTTTGTGCTTGGCGGGCTATATGTGAGAGGTTACAGGGGAGACAAAGCGAGGCATCTGCCTGATATCTCAAGGCAAAAAAAGACGAAAAAACAGAAAAGTAAAAAGATAAAAAAAGGAAATAGTAACCCATGAAAAAGACTGTACAACTCGCCATCCAAAACATGGCAAAACAAATGGAAACGATTTTATCTACTCGTCAGCGAGCGTTGCTTTTCGCTCGCGCGACCGGCCGCCCAAACAGCCTAGACGTCCTCGTCGCTGTCGTCGCCCAACAGCTCGCCCTCGTCGTCGTCCACAATCGCATAGTCGCCCCGTCCGCGCGCAAAGCTGTCGCGCGTCGTGAACCGCCGCGACCCGCCGCCCAGGCCCAGACCCAGCCGGCTCCATGCGCCCCGCGCACCACCACCACCGCTGCCGCCCGCGCGCCGCTCCAGGGCACCGGTGGCCGTCCGCCAGAGCGCCGTCGCCAGCAGCGGCAGCGTGCCGACGACGGCCACGACGCCGGCGGCCGCCATGATGGGGTACTTGATGTAGGGCGCATCGCTGTCGACGGTGAAGCGCGACGAGCCGCCCTCGCCGAGCCGGATCGCGCCAAACTTGCCCGTCCAGTTGCGGTACACGTACCACGCCACCGCCGCGGCCGCGCCCACCGACACCAGCACAATCACGGCAATCGCAAACGCGCCCGGCCCGCTGTGCTTGCGCTCAAACTCGTCCTCGTGGCCCTTGCACGACTTCGGATCGGACGTCTTGTCCGACTCGTCGCCGCCCTGGCACGTCGTCAGCGGGATGCGCCGGAAGCCCGTCGGCGGGTAGTACTCGACCGCGTCCGGGTGCTCGCTGCACCACTGCTTCTTGGACATGGGCGCCAGCCCGGGCACCAGCGAGCACTGACCGTGGTTGTCGAGCTCAAAGTTGTAGTCGCACTCGTAGTCGCGCCGCGTGCACGTGCAGTTCTCCGTGTTGTACAGGTGCCGGATCTTGTACCCGTTGTAGCACGTGCGGTCCGTCTTCTTGCGCAGGTACTGCGACACGTGCCCAAACAGGCACGACGACTCCGGCAGCAGCGGGTGCGACGGCGACCACAGGTAGTAGTCCGACTGGCCCGCGTCCTTGTCGTCGTGCTCGCACGGCCGGTCCGTCAGCCCGGAAAAGTCCACGTTGATGGTAAACACGTGGTCCCGCCCCGGCGACCGGCACCACAGCAAGAAGTTGCGCGACGCGCCCGACCGCAGCGTCGTAATGTCCAGCACCTCCACCTCCTCGTCGCTGAACTGGTGGTCGCGGAACGTCGCGCCCTCGTCCGTCGTAAACGACACCGTCCGCGTCTTGGCGTGGCGCGGCACCAGCACCACAATCGAGCCCTGGTCGCCAAACTGCCACGTCCACGCGCCCTTCTTGACGTTGCGCCACGTGAGGCCCGCGTCCGTCGTCATAAACGTGTCGGCCTCGCCAATCGGGCCCAGCTGGTCGCCCACGTTGCCGACGCCAAACATGAGCCCCACCGCCCCCGACGACGAGAACGTCTTGCGGTGGTCCTCGCGCTCCGTGTACCCGTGGATGTGCAGCGCGCAGTTCTCGTCGCCGCCCTCGCGCGCGCCCTTGCGCGGCGTGCACCCGTAGTTGTTGTTGTCGACGTCCTTCTGCGGCGGCGGCAGAAACGCCCACTCGGCGCCGTCGTTGTGGCTGATCTTGGTCTGCAGCTTCTTGGCCGTCGCCTTGGCGTCGTCGCGGTTCGCCACCACGTTCACCACCACCACGCCCTCGAGGCCCAGCATCTTCTCAAAGTCCACGTAGTAGCGGTTGTCGCAGTTGACGCCCGCAATGCTCATCACGTACGACGTGCCGTTCGAGTTGCTCTTGAGAATCGTACCGTAGCGCCGGTCCTTGCCCGTCTCCGTCGCCACAAACAGGTTGACCGCGTGCGTCGAGCTGTCCAGCACCGTGTACTCGTGCTGCGTGGGCACCGCAAAGTTGACGGGGAACCGCGCCTCCGCGTACGTCTCGCCGTCCAGGCTCGCCAGCGCCCGCAGGCTGCTCTTTTCCTTGTCCTCGGCCGCCACCACAATGAACTCGGCCATGGTCGCAAAACCCTTGACGTTCGCCTCGTGCACCACCTTGGTCTCGAACCAGTCTGTGCTCGACACCAGCTGCAGCGGGTTCGCGTCGCCGCCCTGCACGTCCTCCTCGCGCGCGTGCACGAGGCAGACGACCTCCTCCGGCTTGCGGTTCTTGTACGCGCTCGAGCCGATAAACTCGCACCGCTCCACGTACCGCAGGAGCGTCACCCAGTTGTCGCCGCGGTCCCGCGAAAAGGACGCCTCCGTGTAGCACGCGCCCGTGCTCTCGCACTTCTTGCCGATCCAGATCAGCCAGTCCTTGTGGTCCGGGTGGAACAGCAGCGGCGACCGCTCGCTCTCCACGTCCGGCGGGTACGGCGCCTGGAACTCGTGATACTGCTTGCCGTAGTCCACCGTGTACACGACGTGCTCCTTGGTCGTGACAAAAAACACCATTTCCTTAAAGTACTCGTGCGGGAGGATGGCCCACACGTCCACCTTGTCAAGCACCTCCGGGTGCGTCCACGTCTTGCCGTGGTCGTTGGTCACATAGATGGGGCCGCCCTCGCCGCGCGCGCGCTGGATCGGCCGCATGATGATGGCCTCGTTGTCGGCCGTGTCCGAGCTCGAGTCGCCGCGCTCCAGGTAGTGCTTCTCAAAGTCGGTGAACTCGGACAGCTGAAAGTCGTAGGGCGTGTTGGCAATCTCGCCCGACGCCGGCGTGTTGGGTGCCGTGCCCGTCTCGCTGCACTTGTGCTCCACCAGGTCGTCCTTTTGCTTGCCGCCGGTGCGCTTGCACGTGTTGCCCGGGATCAGGCGCCAGCCCGACGAGCCCATAAACACGTCGTCCGGCTTGGCGTCCTTGCCGCTGCACACCTTGCTGCCCTCGGGCAGGACCAGCGGACCCACCCGCACGCACTCGGTGCCGCTTTCGCTGCGGCGGAAGTTGTAGTCGCACTCAAAGTCGAGGTCCGTGCAGTCGCAGTCGGTCGTCTCGACGACCGGGTCCTTGAACTCCTGCTTGAGGAAGCAGGCCGCGTCCTTCTTGCGGCGGTGGTACTTTTGCGTGTGGCCCATCAGGCAGGTCGGCTGGCCCTTGTCGTCGACGCGCGCCCACCAGTCCTCGAGGTCGCTGTCCTTGCACGTGGCCTCGTGCAGGCCCGCAAAGTCAATGGCGATGATGTGCCAGCGGTCCTTGGCCTCGCCCACCAAGACAAACTTGAGGCTCGTCGAGTCCTGCGTCGTCGTCAGGATGTACGGGCGCACCTGCAGGCCGTCGGGCAGCTTGGCCGCCGTCCAGGTCGTGCCGTGGTCCAGCGAGTAGGTGACCTCGTCGACGTCGGCGGCGTCGCGCACCGCCAGCAGGATCGAGCCCTGGTCGCCAAACTCGTACTTGTGCGGGCCCTTGGGGCCCTCGATCCAGGTCACGCCGGCGTCGTCCGAGATGAAGAGGCTGCCGTCCTTGTAGTGGCCCAGGTAGTCGCCGGTGTTGCCGACGGCCATGACGAGGCCGGGGGCCGGGCTCGAAAAGACACGGCCCACGTTGCTGAGGTCCGTGACCGAGTGCAGGTGCAGGCGCTCCTTGCCCTGGCCGCGCAAGCCGACCGGCGCAAAGGTGCGGCCGTCGTCAAAGGTGATCTCGCTGACAATCTTCTTGCCGACGCGGTCGTTGCTGACGGCCTCGCCGTTCTCGACGCGGTTCACCAGAAAGATGCCCTGGATGCCCGAGATCTTTTCAAAGTCGACGTGGCCGCGCTTGTTGCGGTTCGTGTAGTCGAGGTTCTGGGTAAAGAAGGTGCCGTTGGAGTTGCTCGTGAAGAGCACGCCGGTGGGGTCGGAGGGCCGGGTGTTCATGACGTCGATCTGGATGCTGTAGTTGGTGCTCTCGAGCACGGTGTACGACTCCTGGTTGATGCGGTGGTCGGCCGGGAAGACTGCGCGGTGCCAGCGCAGCGTGTCGTCGGTGACAAAGAGGGCCATCTCGTCCGTGTTCAGCGACGTGGTGGCCACCAGCAGGTACTTCTTGACGGCCGCAATGTTGACAATGCCCTGGACGGGGCGGTTGGTGTCGAGGTTGGGCTCAAACTCCTGGACGACGCCGTCGGCCTTGACGGCCTTGAAGTAGTTGTCCGACACGAGCAGGCGCTGATCCTGCTTGAAGGGCGACAGCGTGTCGCGCACGATGCAGAGGATGCGGCTGGCGTCGAGGTCGGCCGCGCCCGTAGTAAAGAGCTCGGAGCCCTTGGCCCACCAGCAGCCGGCGGTGTTGCCGCGCAAGAACTTGGCGTCGGTGCGGAAGCCGTCGGTGGTGTACATGGCGACCTCGCTGAACGAGGCGGCGTCGTAGTCCATGCCGTTGAAGATGATGCGGTCCGGGTCGGCGGCGTGGAAGGTCAGCACGTCGTACTGGAACATGCTGCTCTCGGCGTCGGTCAGAAACGACTGCCACGTCTTGCCGCGGTCCTCGGTGCGGTAGTGGGTGATGCCCTCGGTCAGGACAAACGCGCGCTCGGGGTGGTACTGGTGCATGACAAGGCGCGCCGCGGCCATGGCGGGGATGGCCGTGACCTTGTCCCAGTGCGCGCCGGCATCGGCCGAGCGGTAGATGAGGCCCTCGACAAAGTCGTGGAAGAGGATGACGTCCGAGTCCTCAAAGTAGTTGAGGTTGTCGGGCTGGTAGCCGAAGGCGCTGACGTGGAAGGTGGGCCCGTCGGCAGCGGCGGCGGCCGGCGAGATGGCCCAGAATAGAGCCCACAGGGGCGCGGCCAGCGCCGCCGCCGTGTGCAACGCGGACGAGACCCTCATGGTCGGAGTGGCGCAGAAGCGGGTGTCATAGGCGGGGGGAGCGACGCCGAGGGGAGAGAAGGGCAGCAGAGGGGGTGTGAATGGCCCCGGTCGAAGGAATGGACGGACGCAGGGAGGTGTGTGGTTCTCGTCGAGGAGGATGGAGGGGGTCGATTTGTCAAGATTCGAGAAGACGCGATTCGAGGTCGATGACTATCCTCGCTCGTGAGGACGTCGGAGGCTCCAGATGCAGGTCGGGGACCGGGCTTGGAAGAGTCGATCGCAGATAGCCAGATGGTAGCACCAGAAATCAACGAAGCTCAAGAATGGCAAAAGGGAGAGGTCGTGATGCGTTTTCGGCCGTTTTGAGGCACGTAATAAGGGGGGGTGACGCCCTGTGCAAAGGGACAGACGGCGTCGAAACGAGAGAATGCGAAGCGAAGAAAAGCAACAATGCCCAAAAATAAATCAAGCCACGGCGGACGAGTGGCGGCGATGCGGTGTGTTGGGCAAATCGCCAAAAGGAGACCTGGAGCGTGGAGGAAAAGAAGAGAGGAAGACAACAAGAAGACACGAAACGATGAGAAGCGGAAGGCTGAATCAATGCGTGGACGATGAACTGGCTGGACTGGAGCAAGAGCTTAGGAGGCAGCAGGTGTCCCTCGTAAGATAGTACGGCAGGCGCGCAGTTACGCCGTAGGGAAGGAGCCTCAGGTGTCTCGGGCGCTGACTTGGGGCAGGAGCTCCCCAGTGCGGTGGATACTGTGCCTGCAGCTGCGCATCAGAATTAGCGTGGGAAATACAGAGTAATTAGCGCGCAAGAAGCTACAGTTACTGCCTGGCATGGGCCTTGGCAGGTGTGGCGCTGCCAGGCACCGGTTTGGGTTGTGGGAAGGGAAGGCGCGAACGCGACGCACCACCACTGCCGAAACGGCAAGATAGCCCTAAAGGCCTGTGGAGTGCCTCGTCGGGCAACTGTCTCACATGTGTCAGGCAGTCGATGCACACTCTACAGTATACATCCGCAGTATGACAAAGAATGGTCCGTTTCGCGCCGTCTTTTAACGTCAGGGCTATCATTTCAAAGTACCGTGCGACACAATACAGCGCGAGTCTTTTCGTGCTCGTATTCGCACGAGCAAAGCCAAATACACAATAACAAACAGTCCATCTATAATAATACACGTCGAGCTCTACGTCGTAGTAGCTCGTTCTTTCTTTTGAACAAGAAAACACCGAGTGCCCAGATCCTTATCCTTATCCAATTCCAATTCCAATCCCAGCAGGAACCCCTTAACCTCTGATCTGGCCAAAGCCAATGCGCCGATAGCTTGCTCCGTCTCGTCTTTCAATCATCTCCTTTTGCACCCTTCTCTCGCTCTGTCCCCCTCTCGTCTTGTTCATCTTCATCCATCACCCCTTTTGAATGTTGTCCTCCAGTTCCTCCGTGTAGTAAGGTCCGTGAGTCTGTATTATGATGAAATCGAGGGAGACAGGTCGCCGCCTGTTCCCCGCCCTGTCCTCCAAATACTCCGTTTCGGGGTGGAGACGAGGTTCCCATAGGTTTCCGTAAAAGCAAGAGTGCCGTGACAATGGCGAGTCGTAGTTTTTGAGTTGTGGATGCGTCAGGTGGCGTTGATGGCATCGAGATGTGGCAGTCCAGTCGGAAACGGGGTTGCAGATAAAAAACAAAACATATGGCCAGCGCCGCCCGGTAGATAACAACAAACAAAATAATGGAATAGACAAACGCCGCAAGCAAAAACACAAATTACCCCGTAAAGGTTTTTTTAAAACATCATGTGAAAATATGAAAATGCAAAACGTGGCAGATCCAGCGACGCCTCGGCGTCATCACTGCGCACTCGCAGCCTCAAGCTCTTGGCCCACGCGCTGCTCCAACTGTTGCTCGATGTGCTCCACCAGAGGGTGCTGCTCCTGTGGCTGCTCCTGTGGCTGCTCCTGTGGCTGCTCCTGTGGCTGCTCCTGTGGCTGCTCTTGAGGCTGCTCTTGAGGCTGCTCTGGAGGCTGCTCGTGTGCAGCCCGAGACACTTCCGTCTCGGGCGCCACGGCGGGCGACAGCGCCTTGGCCCCGGCGGCAGCAATGGCCGCCGCAGCAGCAGCGACCGTTTCCACGGACACTGGTGCATCAGATACGGGCGCTTCCGCGGCGGGCGCTTCAACGGGTGCTGCCGCGGGGGCCCCGGCCAGCGCCCGTTTGAGCGCGGCAACTTGTGCCTCGTAGGCCCGGTTGTCCGACTCGAGCCGGGCCACCTTTTCATCCTGGCGGCGCATCCGCTCGTCCTGCGCCTTGAGCTTGTCCTCGAGCGTCTGGACATACGCCCACATGCCCTGCTCGGACGAGAAAAAGTTGGCATTGTGGGCGGGCGAGCCGTTGCTGTTGGAGGCGGGCCGCAGCAGGACGTGATTGCCGACGGCGGGGCTCAGCGGCTTCGGGCTCTCCGCGATGCCGTGCTGTGAGAAGAGGCCGGCCGCATGTGCGGCGTTGCTGCCCGCGCTGAGGGGCAGCACCATGGACGACGAGGAGATGCTGGTGTTGGGCGTGTGGGCGCTACCGGACACGGTGGTGGCCGTGGCGGAGCTGGCGGTACCGGTGCGGTCGACGCTGGGCGGGTAGAGGCTGCCCGACGACCTCGGCTGCTGGTGCTGCTGGTGCGGCTGGTGCGGCTGTTGGGACACGGGCGGGTAGGTGCGCGCGTGCTGTTGGGCGCCGCCGCCAAAGGAGTCTGGGCCGCCGGGCGTGCCGCGCGCATGGTCTGTCTTGATGCCCGGCAAGCTCAGGCGGCGGCGCTCTTCCTCGCCAGCGGCAGCACCAGCTGCCGTGCTGCTGTCGTACTCGATACCAGACATGACCGAGTCGTCGCCCCCGGCCGTCGTGTCCATGAGGCTCGCGTTGCCCTCAAAGCTGTCGTCGGCGCCACCCAAGGCACCAAAGGTGTTGGAGCTCGAGCGGCGGCCCGCACAACCGCCAGCGCCTTTGCTGTGGCGGGCCAGGGCGTCGCCGCGGGCAAACTTGCGGTCGCAGCGAGGGCAGATGTGGGGCTTTTCGCCCGTGTGCAGCTTGGAGTGGCGCTTGAGATCGTGGAGGCGGCGGAAGCGCATGTCGCAGCCCTGGCAGACGTAGGGCTTCTCCTGGCTGTGGGTGAGCAGGTGGCTCTTCAAGTTATGATGGCGGGTGAACTCGGTGTCACAGTAGGGGCACTTGTGGCGCTTGGAGGTGGGCGACTTGGGGGCCAGCTCGGGAATGATGAGGTTCGACGGAGCCGGTGCGGTGGCCGAGGCCGGTGTCGGTTGGGCAGCAGTGGACGCAGCAGTGGGGCCGGGGTAGAATCGTGGTGAAGTTGGACCTTGCTGCAGCTGTTGAAGTCGTTGCTGATGCTGCTCTTCTTCCCGTGCAATCGCCGGATCAAGTTCCATGTGGTCCGTCGCTGGGACCGTGTTGGCTGGCGGCGCTCCAGACGAAGCGGTAGCTGCAGCGGCGGCGGCAGCGGCCGCCGCTACTGCAACGCTGGCAGCTTTTGAGGCGGCAAGCTGGTTGGCAGCCGCCTCGGCCAGGGCAGTAGCAGCTGCAGCATCACCGGCGCCGGGCGCTTGTTGCGGGTCGTGCGGTGGTGTTGACTGCTGGGCTGTCGTCTCGTCTGTGTCGTTCCCATCCATCTCGGCGGCCGCCGCTGCCGCCGCGCCCGTGTCCGCGCCCGTATGTGCCGCGCTTCGTGTCGCAGCTGCCGCGGCTTCGGCGGCCTCGCGCACGCGCTGGGTCATGAGGGCTTGGGCACCGCGCAGCACAGAGAGCGCTGTCTGTGCGGCATTGTGGTTGGCGATGTGGTCGGCAGTGCCAGCAGTGCCGGCAGTGCCGGGTTGGGGATCTACGCCATCGACGGCTTCAACGCCATCGACTGCTGCGCCGTGGTCGTCGAAGCGCGAGCCGCTGGCAAGACGCGCCAGTTTGCGTGGTGAAAGTTGGGGGTCTTCGAGCAGGCTGTGGTCGTGGTTCTGATGCCGATTGGCGTCGTCCTGGGGTATGTCATCGACGGCGGCAGACGACGGCGATCGCAGTCGCTTTGTTGCTGACCGCGCGGCAGCGGCGGCGGCGGCGGCAGATGCAGCTGCAGCGACGGCGGCTGCGGCGGCATCGGCTGTCTCGGCGTCGGTTACTGCTGCGACGGCAGTGTGTGCTGTTTGTGATGGGGAGGTCTCGATTGCAGGTGCTGTGGAATCGGCAGCAGCGGCTGTCATGCGATCGGACTCGGGCACGAGGGCTTGGCTGGACGCCGCCTCGACGGAGTCGGCGGGTTTCTCGACTGCCGCCATTGAAACGACGGGGAGGAAAGAGTGTAGTCGATACGTGGCGTTGATCGCGAGGGGGATGGAATCAATGTTGATGTTGTGGTAGATGTGGATGTGGTCGTTGTTTTACGAGGCGACAAATCAATACTCGACAATCGACGAGCATCAATCAACAGCCGTCAATCGACACCAAACCAAGCCGAATAGACGGCGTGAAAAGGAAGACGTGAAATAAAAAAGGAAAATCGATGGCAGCCAAAACACTGACTCGACAGAATCGACAGAATCGACAGAATCGCGTATCTCAACTCAAAATCAACAAGGTGTTCCCTCTCAACAAGGAACGCGTCGATTCTCTGGGAGCATCGGAACCGCTGGCAATTGTCTCTGCAATTGTCCTTTTCTTCCGTCTGTTTTTTTTCTTTTTGTTTTCTGGCTGGGAGGGTTCTCCTGTTTCTGTTCCCGTTTTGTCTCTCAATTTCTTGCTGCTCCGAAAAAGAGGGACGTCGGCGACACTCGCTCAACAACAGCCTTCCAAGAGCATCATCGATTTCGAAGGAGGGGGGTGGAAGGCAATCGAAAAGCAGAGGAGCAATCGGTTGTAAACAGGGCTTTTTGGAGGCCAGCAGCGTGAGAAAAAAAGAGGAGTCGGGATGTGTGGCTGGAGAAACGTGGCGACAGCTCTGGGTTGATTTTGGTTTGGGGAAAAAGAGGAAAGAGAGAAAAGAGAGCAGGGAATGGAGACTTGGGGCCGGGCGGCTGGAGAATGGAGAAAGGCAAGGGCGACGGACGTTGGACAGTGGGAAAATGGAAATGGGAAACGGCTAAACTAGGAAGGATTAGGTAATAGGGCGAATCAATATTTCGTACTGCCAGAGGCTGAAGGACCAGAGAGGGAAGGAGTGCTGGTGGCGACCGTTGTTTTGTTGACAGCAATGAAAGCGAAACGAAGGCACGATGGAAAAACGGGCAAAATGGCAAAAAGACAGGAAAGCGCATTGCGTGTCACGACGGAAATAGAAAAAGCAATTGCCGTCCGGTGCGTGAAAGACTTGTTTGCTGGGCTGCTCCTTCCCTGACCACGCGAACAGGGGAGGTATGTACGATGCATTTCTGCGTACGAGGTGAGGAAAGAGCGACGGCGACTGGGCGTTCTGAGCAGCCAGAATGCTTGGCCAGGTGAGGCTGGTGAGCACCAAAGGGAAGTAGCGGGTCCTCTGCTCTAAGTGGCTTCCTACAGCGCGAGAGCGGATACGGGACAGTGGAGAGCTGATAGGTGAAAAGGTCCATTTAGCGGGCCGTTCGGAGTGTGTAGGACTACTGTGTGGGCGCATTTGGTGGGACGCCTTGGGGAAGACAGCCACAACGGGGCGCTTTCATCCACTAAACTGTAGCGGCATCAACTAGGTCGCAGTGGGTAATGAGGGACGGAGGTGCCTAAGCCACGAGGGCGCCCAAAACCGAGTGCGCCGGCAGTTAATCTTACAACTACGACAACAGAGACTTTCTACGCAGATGTCAGGGACTATCACAGAAAAGACCTCGAGCACACGACACAAGACAGAAAGCAGCACAACACCAACCGAGACGACAAAATACAAAGTAGGAAAAGGGCCGCCACAGTCGTGTATGTCCGTGCTACGGGCCATTGGGAGAGTGTGTCCTATGTGTATGATTGCCTTCAAGGTGGCTGTCTCGCATGTGGCGCGTTATCTGTTTTGTTGCGTCGGTGACTTCTTGGCTTTGCATTTGTTGGGTTGTGCTACCTGCAGGCCGCTTCTTGCATCTTACTTGCTTGTATCTCCTTGTCCCAGCGCTGCAATTGGACATCATGTTGGGTCGCGCTCGGTTCCTTCACAAAGAAACAAGGTGGTGTCCGTATTCCTTTTGGGTGAATTTGCGTGTCGCGACGTCAGCTGAAGAGCAGGACTCGCAGTGGTTCATTACCCCGTGGACAGCCAACGGCAAGGACGAAGAGAGAGGCGGGCTATCCCAGACGCTGGCTAGCTGGGCTCTGTTGGGCTGAGGACTTTGCGCAGGATACGAGGAGAGCGGAGGTCGCATGGTGGTGTGGAGAGAGTATTTCGTTCTAGGGGAGACATATCACAGTCAGATAGGCCGTATTACTTGTTTGGCACAAGGCTCTTGTCCCTAATGGTAACATATCTTACGTACTCCTGATTGTGACTTGTCAGATATGGAGTACATCTCCATCACAATAGGACATGATGAGCGACGAGGAATCCATGAATCAAGAGAGCCAATACTCCGTAATTACCGTGCAGACGCAGAAAGCTACGAAAGCCTAGCCGGCAGACCCGCTTTCAGCCAACACAACATCGGAGCTTGTGGCTGCAAGTGGGAGGCTCTGGCAGTGACAGCTGAGAGTGGGGATGGGAGATACGTAAATTGAGAGGCAGCCGCATATTTCGGACGGCTGGGACGTTTGCCATTGGACTACGCCAGGATTCCGTATTTGTACGAAATTTGTGCTTGCAGTGACGACTTGGTCTGTCAAGCCACGAGAGGCTAAAGTTTATTGCAGGTCAAGATGGACAGGGGCAGGCTGTGAGAGTATTGGGTTGTGCTGACTGGTGGTGAGCAGCCGGGACAATCGGGGCAGTCGGGGCAGCCTGGACAGGTTTCATGTATTCCATACGCAGCACGTTTTATTTCATACGTATTTCTGCGAGGTGAACTGTGCAAGGGAGGGATGGCGCATGTAGGTCGTAGGTACGCCGTAGTCTGGAGCACGGGGAATTTCAAAATGTATTTTAAGAACAAGAGAGGATCTGTGCGCTGTTTAGGGGTGTACGGAGGTGTTATTACAAGCGTACATACACCCCAACTCGGGAAAGATTGCATGCAAGAGCCAGGACGAGCAATGCCGGGCATCAGTTAATTTTGGCAAGCGAAGCTTGGGCAGACGAGCTCCTGCAACCTCACATGTGTCCAGACGCGTCATGTCTGTGTCAAGATCTGGGAGAGGTCGTGTCGAGTCGAGTCGTCTTGACTCTAGTCAGGAACGAAAATGAGGAGACCAAAGTGGGCCACAGGAGGCCAAGACGGAGCCCTCTTCCCTCCGTCAACTCCGTTATCCTCCTGTCTCCATACAGTGCCCATTTTCGTGTTGTGCCAGTGCTTCTCCGTCGACAGACCTGTGAGAAGGTTGTTGACGTTGTTCATCAACAGGTTTATAATTCACAACTCACATGATGGCCAGACCATTCTTACCTCCTGGAATCGCGGCTTGCCAGCATATACGATCTATTGTAGCTGTAAACGCTTACCCGGTTTGGTTTTTATGGTAAAGTGAATACAAAAGCAAAATTACGATGTAATGAGGAAGCCTAGGTCAATATCAAAATGAAAAGACTGAAAATAGAACACAGTAAAGGAGTCATTCAATGGCCGAGGCTAAAAATCAAGGCAACGAAATCAACAATCAACAAATCAACAAACCAAAAGAGACACGCCGCCAGACTTATGTAGAGAAAAGGGGTAATTCACCCACGCGGTGCCTGCCGAAGGGGGAAGCAGCCGAGAGGATCTAGGCCCGCCAGACTGTGGCTGTGTTGCAGAAGCGCGATGCAGAACGAATAACGCAAACACAGACCAGAAAGACACGCTGCCAGCGAGCTACCAACGACGCGACATGGAGCGGAGACTTGTTGTCCTCCGACCTCACTGGTACCAGGCCGACATGGCGAGGTGTGCGTGACATCTCGTCCGATGGGAATGGCGATACGACACACAGAAGCCACCAGCATATGCCGCTGGCAAAAACTTACCCACAAGAGGGTGCATATGCATAAGCGATACTCCCTATCCTACCAACATCTTGCGGAGATTTTGGTTTTCTTCGGCATATATGTATTAAATTTTGGCCATTTTTCAGCTACCCCTTGGCTTGCTTGAGCTCCCATACAATGGCAAGCTCCACTGGTCGCGACGCATGTAACAGGCAGCTGCCAATGGAACTGCACATCCGTCGAAATTGCTTCGTACACCACAGAAACGCCATGCAGCCACCCATGCCTGCAGACGTTTGTTTCCTTTTGGCAGCCATAGACGCAGCCTACGTGAAGAGCTTAAGAACAGTCTTCTTACGTATGGTGGTGAATAACAGGATGTGCGGCCGTGGGCAAAGTCAGAGTAGTGGTGGTCGTTCGTGTCCAAGTACCGATATCAAAATTCTTGAAAATGGACTTTACATATTCGCTGCGTCTACTTTGGACATATGGTTTATGGCTTATTCGACTTGTTTCCGACCTCTATTGGTTTGAGCGTTTCCAAACAAGCCTAGGTGCTTCGCTTGTTTTCGCGATGCAGGACGCCTTGTCAAGGCCCAACGTCTACCTGCCGCGGCATATAGATGATGCAAAGGGATTATATGATATTGCGGTCTGATATGAAAGTTGCACGTCTGCATCACGGTGGGCGCCTAGTCGAGGAACCCGTTGGCTGTATCTGGAATGACGGTGTGCTGTTTGGCAAGGCTGTAGCGAATGATGCCTCAGAAGGATATTTTGTTAAATTTCAAATAGGAACATCACCACTTTGTTTCGTGAACACATCATACTCGATTTGCTTGCCGCCTGCTGCTTTCTTTTTCGACAAAAATCAATCATAAATCAATAATAAATATCAGCCAAAACCATCTGTATCACCTTGACGAGGCTGTGGACAAACACAACATCTCAATGTGCCTTACCCGTCGCCCTACCCAATCTCATGAACCACGCGCCCGTGGTTTGTAAACAATACAAATAGGCAGTGATTGTACTTATTGAATCCCTCGAAACTGGCCCTACAAGGACGAAGAAGCGAACACACAACGTTCATCGACATGGCTACTTCGGTATGCGGCCGTTTGTTGCCATTTCGGCATGTTTTATCGAGATCGACCGCCAGATCGTGCATTCTTGCGGGTTCGCGATGCGATTCAAAGTTCATGGTACATGGACAGACCACAGACTCTGCTCGTCGTTCCCTTTTGTCGTGTTTGTATTGTTTACAGTCTGCAGCTCTTTTCCGCATCGACAATCTCAAACATCACGCGCCAAGCCGCACGCCCAACCACATTCCAATCACGCAGACCGCCCACACCACGGCCACGCTGTACCGAGGGATTGGTAGTCCTTTTACAGTCTGCCTCTATCATTTTGTACGCTGGATTGCGTTGGTAATTGAATTTGTCACTTGTTTCTGTCGACAAAGGACGCCTCGAGGCTGTTCATGATATCATCCACGGCCACACCATCATCGCCTTGTTAGACCATACACTCTCCTTGTCCTCAAGGAGCTATTTTTTAACGTACTGGAATCGCAGTGGCATTCAAACGCAGGTGGTTTGTTCGCGTAGAGCATGTTTTGGGAGCTTCCCTGTCCGCCAGTAACTTGTCGTGCACGGGCATCGACGTTTGTGATGTTATTTGGGTGGCATGTCGAAGTGTATGCACTCTGCAGTGCTTGGGACGCTGGTTGCGTTCATGTCCAGCGTGCACGGCAGGATTCCTGGGCCCTGCTACATCCATGCCGGCTCGCAACCGATGATATTCAAATATTTACGGGCACGACAGTTGTCACGACGATGCAACGATATGTTTGCATCGAATTTTTGGACACTGCCGGTGCAACGCGCATGTCATCAGACAACAGGGGCCATGTGGCCAAATTTACAAACTCCCTAGATGGCCGTTCACAAAATTCATGATCCCTGACCATTTACTTTCACTTCCACTTGGCGGGAATGCCATCGCGAGGGATGAGGAGGAGAACAACTCTGCCGCTGTATGTCTGCTCGATGGCAATGGAAATATCGACTCCACGGTAGATCACGAGACGCAAACACCCGTCATCGTTTTCTTTCGTGTGTGTCTTCTGGTTTGCCACAAGCAGGTTCCTTCGGCAAACCATGGAAAACGCGAAACCCGAAAACCGAAAACTCGGACCGGAGCCAATGGACAAAGAGATGAGTGAAAATATAGACACAAACGGGGGGAAAATGGAAGAAAAAGCCTCACGTTTTCACCTCGCTAACGAGATAATTTTTCATCGTCAAACATATCGTCGCTTTTGGCTTTGAAACCTTTTCAACGGCTTCTTGTGCTTCTTTTGTTTCTTTGTTTGTTCGTTCCGCCAAGCCAATACCGCCGGCGTGGTTAAAAGCGTCGGTCTATTGTCCATGTGGATCGCAGCAACGGTCGTGACCATGTGGCCAGGTCAAACCACGAGGAAAACATGCAGAGGCTAGGAGACGATACTCATGGAGAGAGCAACAGATGGTAGAAATGCTTTCGCTACTAGGTGTTTGAAAGTCCATTTATTCTTTTTTGTATGCAATGGGCTTTAAATCCTGTGCGCCATAGTGTTTCAACGCCGTCCTACGACGTAGAAGTTATGACGATGTGAAGTGATGGGATGGAAAAGAAGGGACGAATAGATGGGATACAAAGAAAGAAACAACCAGGAAAAGTCACGAGCTTCTTTTTATCCCGCAGCTTGTCAATCGTCTCCTTAACCAAAGAAAAAAAATCAACGGTTTCAGGTCCGTCGTTGGGTATTGTGTGGTTTCTTTGTTCTCGCTCTTTGTTCTTTGGACCATTGTGGTTTTACGATATCGACGGCGTCTTTTGTTCCTGGATCCAACCGGGTCGAGCCGGCAAAAACGGTGCTGCCAGTCGTCGAATGGTTACTTTTCCATGGCAAAATACAAGATATGCCGTAAGAGAGGGCTAAAAATTCCAGGGTCTCTTTCAAAAACCTCTGGTCGCCGAATTTCACCCGGTCGCCTCTGCCACTCGGGATGCGAGTTGCTAGAAACGAGAATCAACTGGCGCACTCTACCTTGAACGTCGTTGGCCATGCAGCAATTTGTGCCCGCTGCTGTGTAAATTGCAACATCTTACTTTGATGGTCCTATTTAACAGATGCGTACTTTGACCCGGATTGTGTATGCATGCTCTTTTACTCTCTTTCTCTCTCTGTTGTCGTCGTCTTCATTAGCGCCTATGCGTGATTAATGGACGGGATGAATGTAGAGGAAGTAGCAAAAAAGAAAAGAAGAAAAAAAAACGAAGAAAGAAAAGAAAGAAAACAAAATCAAAGCAACAACAAGACCCGACAACAGCCTCCAGGTGGACCGCCACGCCGACAGCATCCACACTCTTTCTTTGTGCCAGTGGATCCACGGAGACAAAGTCGATTGCCGTACTTCGTAGTCTAGGTCTCGAGGAGCCTTCGATCGAAGACGGGATATTGTGACTTGCCCGGGCCATTTTCTGGATAAATTGGACAAGTCAAGAAGTCAAGTGTATGGGATACATCGTGCGTCGTGTGTTCGAATGGAATATACAAGTACCCCGTACTTTGTACCTTTGTCCTGCGTTTGATGTGACATGAAATGAAAAACTGGGATACGATGTTGGACGCCAATTCATGTCCGCATGGCGATATATCAAAATGCACTTGCTCCGTGCGACATGCATCGTATTCTCGTGACCGTCGTGTTCCTGGAGCGGTCACTTCAGCCTCGCGAGGTTGGCTGCATGTTTTCTCGGGTTTTTTTATTTTCTTTTCTTTCCATTCGTCTTCGACTCCACCAATGTCGCTGGAGTTAAGGAAGAACGAGGGACATTGGGGTCTGGCTGGAACGAACGCCGAGTGTCTGCATAAAGTGGCCCACCAGATTTCACCAGCCAAGATCAAGTGAGCCGTGGTCGTGCACAGGCCGTCGGAGAAAGAAAGAGAGCGTGAGAGAGGAGGGAGGAGAGGTCAAAAAGCGCAGAACGAAATGTTGGCCATAAAATCCAAAGCGGAGCAGATCATTGGGGCGATCCCTATTCCAGGCAAGAGCCCAAATCAGGGTGCGGCGGGGCTAATCTAAACCTGGACTGGCGCAATGGCCAAATCAGGTCAAGTTCAGGAACAGGGGACGATCGACCAATCAGAAGTGAAATATCGACGAAATGGTGGGGCAGGAGCCAGGGACAAACAACAAGGGAACGGCCCAAGGGGCTCGACTTGGGATGGTGTGGGAGGGCAGGCGCGCTCTTGCTTGCAAAGCGCTGGAATAAGGGAGGAAAGAGGAAAGAGGAAAGGGAGCAATGGAGAGGACAAGGAAGGACCGACCGACCAGCCCAGGCGCAGGGGTCAACAGAAAAGGGGCCATCGGAGGATTTCCTGCTTGTGCACAAACAAACTGCATGTCGATTGCGTCCCCTTTCATTCGTGTTTCCTTGTTTCTGAAACGGCCGCGCCCCAGCCAGTCCAGTCAAGCGGCGGTGCATCGTCCATCATTGTGGGCATGTTCCGTGGCCTGTTCGCCCGCTAGGTTGTCTTGGCTTCTCACGGCGGCCCTCTTTTGATTCTGGCTTCGAACGGTACACAAACGACATACGAAGTATTTCGTACATGTACGGAAATACACTTACAGCACGACGTAAGTTAATTCGTACATCTTCCGGAATACTGTCGACTGTCGAGACCGATGACGTCTCGTTGAAAGACTGCCCCTCGACCGCCCTGTGAGAGGTGCATTCCAGTCGCGTCTTGGTGGTATGAAGGGACAGACCGGCCAGCAAAACAAGGGCAAAGTGGAAGTGGAACGCGAAGGCAAAGGGACGGACTGGAAAAAGCCAGAAAGGCACAAAGGGTCTTTTCCTGACTCGTGTGCGGTCGTTCGTCACGTACGATGCAAGTCTTGTCTTCCCGTTAGACAATCGACCTCCAGCTTCGTCATCGTCGCCTCTCACACGCTCACGCTCACAGTCTCTCGCAATTTCTCACTCTCACCCACTGCCAATACACCCCTGTCGTCTCTCCACCAACCGCCGTGTTGGCGATACATTGTACAAGGGGGGCTGCTCCCCCATTCAGTTCAGACCAGAAAGAGACCACCAAGATTACGGAGTACAGACCCCTGGTCCACTCCCACTTGCCACACCGTTTCTTGGTCTGCCCTCTTTTTCCTGTTCTCTTCAGACTTTTTCAACTGCTTCTTTCCAGTTCATTTCCACTTGTTTGGTCCTTCAATGGGGAATGCAATTTCGCCAAGACCCGACCATCAAGGGCGATCATTGGACGACGGCGTCGGTCACAGGCCCTCAGGCCCTTCAATCACAGTTATTGCGACCTGCGCTCGCCGTCGTTAGTGATTTTACGGGCTTCTGTTTGTGCCTTTTCGTGCTTGCTTTGTGTCCGTATCTTGCTTGTGCCTCTCCGTCGTAGCCTGTATTTTATTTCTGTATCAGTAGGCGTGGACTGACTTTCAATCGTCGAACCCCCCCCCCAACCGATGCTCTTCATTTGGTGGCTCCTCTCCCACTACACTACAGATTAATTACCTTTTGCCCATTCCTAGACCGCCCACTCCCTTTTTGGTGCCTCTCCCTTTTCGTCTTACCTCTTTCGCTCGTTTCTCTCTTCTCTTGCCCTTCTTTCTTTCCTCTCCTTTTCTCCCTTTTTGCTTTCTCGTTTCTGCAAACACAGCATCACGGTCGACATTCGGTCACCCCTACGCTCGCTTCTCCATCCAACTGAGGATCTTGTTCCTCTATCACGCTCCTTTTGGAAGTTGTTTTATCGACCGTCAGAGTGAAGCCAAACGAACAACATCGGACCTGAACCGCCGACTCGCACGAGTAATCAGAAGGTGGGTTGAATACATGCAATGTGAGAAGACGGCGAAATCACGACGGGATAAACAAAGACATTCGACGAAAGTGAACAAAACACCAGACGACAAACGACAAACGGCTTCACGACAAAGAATGAAATCAGCGTAATCGATTGAGTGTGACAAACGCAAACGACGATACAATCGAAACAAAACAGTGATCGAAACAAAGAGGATCAAAACAATCACCATCGGCATTGATATCGACAAAAGCGGCTTATTGAATTTGTACGGCTTGCGTATTGCACAGAATTGTTCGAAAATCACGGCGACATTACCTCAACGGCTTCGGAAACGACTTTCAATTCAATCCTTGCTATTTCATGTTGTGTTGATCGCAGAAGCACATTGCGCACATCACCAGATCGATCTACGCCAAGCCGTTTGAATACGGCGCATCATCACAACCATCTCGTCTGAGTATACTAACACACGCTGTAGCCAAACACCAACCAATCGCCGTACACTTGTCACCATGAAAGGTTTCGTCCAGATTGCCGTCACGGCTGCGCTCGTGGCCGGCGCCTCCGCCGACATGGCCCACCAGCGTCACCAGCACATGCACCGCCACCGCGCCATGAACGTCGAGAAGCGTGAGGCCGCTGTCGAGGTCCCCGCCCAAGTCGAGAAGCGCGCCGCCGCCGTCGCCACCGTCGTCGACCCCGTCGAGACCAAGTACGTCTACTCGGACGGCGAGGCCGTCAACGCCGCCGAGGCCAAGGCCTGCATCCAGAACGGCGAGTGCGTGGTGGTCGGCACGTCCACGCCCAAGGCCCCCCCCAAGCCCAAGCCCACCAAGCAGGCCGCTGAGTTCTTTGAGAGCAAGGCCTCGAGCACCAAGACCACGTCGTCGTCGACGTCGTCGTCCACCTCGACCTCGACCACCTCGTCCTCGACCTCGACGTCCACGTCGACCACCTCGTCGTCCACGTCCACCTCGTCGACCTCGTCGGCTGCGCCGGCCAGCAACAGCAACGTCACCGCCGCCGGCTCTGGCTCGACCTCCGAGTTCCCCAGCGGCAAGATCCCTTGCTCGCACTTCCCCTCCGACTACGGCGCGGTCGCGCTCGACTGGATCGGCCTCGACGGCTGGGCCTCCATCCAGACCACGGGCTCCTGGACGCCCGGCACCCTGATCTCCGACATTGTCGAGCCCATCAGCGGCGGCTGTGTTCCGGGGTCCTTCTGCTCGTACGCCTGCGCGGCCGGCCAGACCAAGACGCAGTGGCCCACCACGTCGCAGGGCGCCACCGGCCAGTCCATTGGCGGCCTCTGGTGCAATGCCAACGGCTTCCTGGAGCTGACCAACGACAACTTCAACACGCTGTGCATGGACGGCCTCGGCGGCATCAGCGTCGTCAACGAGCTCTCGGACGTGGCCTGCGTCTGCGGCACCAACTACCCCGGCAACGAGATGATGAACATCCCCCTGGTCACGGAGCCCGGCAACACCTACACCCTGACCAACCTCAACGCCAAGGTCGCCTACCAGTGGCAGGGCAAGTACACCAGCGGCCAGTTCTACGTCAACAACGCCGGCGTGAGTGTCGAGCAGGCCTGCGTCTGGAACAGCCCCGACTACCCCAACTCGGCCGGCAACTGGGCCCCCGTCAACATTGGCGCCGGCACCGACGTCAACGGCATCACCTACCTGTCCATCTTCCCCAACACGCCCACCTCGACGGCCCAGCTCAACTTTGACATTGAGATCACCGGCGACATCACCGCCCCCTGCTACATCAAGGGCGGCTCCTACTACGGCGGCTCCAACGGCTGCACCACGGCTCTGCAGTCGGGCGGCGCGGCCAAGATTGTCTTTAAGGCCTCTGGCAGCTCGTAAGCGCGGGAGGGCAAGCCAAAAAGGACATGTGTACATGGAGGAAATCAGGGAAACATGATACATAGTGAAGGGACAAAGGGACGCGAGAACCGGGGGTCCTCCTTTTTCAGTTCTGATGGACGGTGCTTATTTCTGTGAAACAAGTTTTCACACTTTTGTTTATTTTGTGTGGCTGTTTGCCCTTTTTTGACTTTTTTGGTCCTCACTCGCTTACTTGTTTGTTGCCAATCTCTTTGTTGTAATCTGCCTTTTCGTGACCGATGCCCTTTTCCCACCCCAATCTTTCTTCTTCTCTCTCCCATCCTTCTGTCTTCCCTTTCTGCTGCATTGATTCACGTCACTTTCCCCTGTGTTTACTTTGGACTCTGCCGGTCGACGCACGTCTCCGCTGCAGACCGTTTTCAAGGGATCGACTCTCTTTTTCTCCTTCTTACGTGCCAATGTATGATCTTGTTTGTATACTCGCTCACAATCTATAAAATACACTCATAAAACGGAGCAAATGTCGGGGGACATGAATCTACATGAAAGATGTACAAAAGCCACAAGTAGACTGGAAAGACAAAGTGCGTGCTGTGAGATTCGGTTTTCGTGGGCGGTTGGAACAGCCTATCGTTTTCACGTGACTTTATGACCTTTGCCAAGGCAACCCTGCAGCGTGCCGCCTAGCGCCTTCCCCAGCCACAAACGAAACTGACAACGTCATCAAGCATGTGCAAAGCCGCTGGACGTCGTCTTTCCGCGCCGAGCAAGAGGGGGCGAGTACAGGGAGAAGGAACGACGCACGAAAGCGAAACCAAAATCTGACGCCCGAGGCAAGCACGCCGCAGCATCCATATACACAAAAAAGGGAGGCGTGTCTGTTCTTGGCTGTTTGACTATTGGATACGTTCAGCCGTTGTCTTTGGGACGGGCGATTTACTTCAGCGAACATCAGCGCATCTCTCCTTGCGACACGACAGCTGTCAAGGGATTTGGCATCGCTCAACGAACCATTACTACATTCTCCCTCACCTAGCGACGACTTGGGAGCAACGCTTTTCATAGCCCTGCGTCAGAAACAGCTGTCTGATTGGGACATCGGCTTTGCTGTATCCCTGTGATAGACGGAGAGACAGGTATTGTGCCCTCCAGGACACAGCTGGCTGTTGGTGGACGCAGCGATGCTGACAACTCTTGTCCAGACTGGCCCTCCCGACGACGGACACGGACGCAATGCCTGCCGTAACCCTCGACTACGAGCCGCCCAACAGAAGCAACAATAACAACCGCGTCGACGGTGTAAACGGTGTGCGGCAGCGGAACCGAGCACGGCCGAGCCGCAACCCCAAGACGAGCGACGAGCCCGACAGCGAGCCCAGCGACGCGGAGACGCCGACCGGGCACATGCCGTCCGACCAGCAGCAGCCGCGCCAGCGGACTGCGAACGGCACCACAAATGGCACCACAAATGGCACCACAAACGGCACAACGCCCGCAGCACCGCCAACGCAAGAGGCACACAAAGGCATCCGCTTTGCGCCGCTGCGGGTGCCGCTGCGGCGCCGCAAGCAGACGCTGGCCGTGCTCATCCACTGCTCGTGCCTCATGATGGCCATCCCGCTCTTCTTCTTCTGCTGCGCCGTGCCGCTGGCCTGGCCCCTCATCGTCCCCTACTTCCTCATGATTGTCGTCTCCAGCGCGTCCACCAACGGCCGCCTGCGCTGGCGCTCGGAGCGGTTCCGCAGCCTGCCCATCTGGACCTGGTTCGCCGACTACTTCCCGGCCCAGCTGCACAAGACGGCCGACCTGCCGGCCGACCGCAAGTACATTTTCGGCTACCACCCGCACGGCATCATCTCGCACGGCGCCTGGGTGGCCTTTGGCACCAACGCCCTCGGCTTCCGCGACAAGTACCCAGGCATCACCAACGCGCTGCTGACGCTCGACTCCAACTTCAACATTCCCTTTTACCGCGAGTACCTGCTGATGGCCGGCATGTGCTCCGTCGCCCGCGAGTCCATCATCAACCTCCTGAGCCGCGGCGGGCCCGACGGCCACGGCCAGGGCCGCGCCGTCACCATTGTCATTGGCGGCGCCCGCGAGTCGCTGCAGGCGAACCCCGGCACGCTGCGCCTCGTCCTGCACGGCCGCGCGGGCTTCATCAAGGTGGCCATGGCGACGGGCGCCGACCTGGTGCCCGTGCTGGGCTTCGGCGAGGTCGACCTGTACACGCAGCTGCAGGGCGACGACCACCCGCTGCTGCACCGCTTCCAGATGCACGTGCTCAAGGTCTGGAAGTTTACGCTGCCCTTTATGCGCGGCCGCGGCATCTTCAACTACGACTACGGCCTGATGCCGTACCGGCACCCGCTCAACATTGTGGTCGGCCGGCCCATCCCCGTGACCAAGGCCGCCAGCGACACGCTCGACCCGGCCGAAGTCGACCGCCTGCACGGTCTGTACTGCGACGAGCTGCAGCGCCTCTGGGACACCTACAAGGATGAGTATGCCAAGGACCGCGTCGAGGAGATGCAGATTCTGCCATAGTGGGCCGTTGCTGTAGCGGGCGCGGAGAAGCAGATGGGTGTGGAAACGAACGTGAAACGGAACCGTCTCGTTTGGTTTATGTATACTTTGGATGCGGTGTATAATTGAATGTTTGGGAAGGCAACATTGTGGGGAAACACGAGAAAACACGAATCAGGATTGGTTTTGCAAGGACTTGCCTCGTTGATGAAAGTAAAACGTATGTTTTCCATTTCACGCATGCACGATGACGAGATAACTAAACGTTACGCCTCTCCGTAGACTGTCTGCACGACGACAGCGGCTAGACGTTCGCCACGGGCGTTCCATAGCGAGGCACATGGCACGATGGGCGACGTGGACGTGTGCGCCTTGGAGATCTGGCAGAGGTTCCTGTCGGCATAGACCACGTCGACGTTGTCGGCCAGAACGGCGTCTGGCAAGACCACTTTTGTTGATGGTTTGTCTGCTGGACAGGCCCACGCTGTTGTCCTCTGCACGACAACGCGGCTGCTTCGTGGTGCTGCCGCCGGGCGGCAAACCTTGTTGTCGTCCTCGCTGCCACTGTCCTCGTCGGTGTCGCCATTCCGCGGCGGTAGCGTCTTGAGGATCGTCTGGTGCGTCCATGTCTTGTTGGCCGCACCGTCCGTTCCCGCCCACGTCCGGAGCTGGATGCTGCTGTTGCTGCTGTCGCCGCCACCGGCGTGAAGGTGACCAAAACCGGCCTGTGCGTGCCACTCAACCGGCGCCGCCCGCGGCAGCTCGTGCACCTCGGCCAAGAAGACGGGTGGCACAGCACGTGCAGGTTGCAGAGGACGGCCGTCGAGCACGCGCCAGTCTGGCAGCTGTGGTGTGTTCTTGTCGCTGCTGCTGCCGCCACCACCACCCGCGCCATACCTGGCATACCGGGCGTCAAACGCGCGGTCCCACAAGTCGGGGCCATCGACGCTGTCCTCCTCCTCCTCGTCTGCATCGTCCTCGCTTGTTGGCCGCCATTCATGTGCGGTCTGCCAGGCGCGGGCCACCAGCCGAGCTTTGTTCGACAACGAAGGCTCCGCATGCCCGTCTGTCTGCCGCGGCACGTAGGCCACGGTGCTCCCCCACCACTGCACGTCCTGGTCGATGCCGATGCGCCACAGATGCTGCAGCGCAAGCGTGGCCTGGAAGGCGAACGAGGCGGGCCAGGGCGAAGGCGCGTTTGGCATGCAAGCAAGCCCTGCGTGCGCCGCCGCCTCCACGGCCTGGTTGGGCAGGTCCATGGTGGCCGGCACCAGCGGGATCTGGCCCGCGATGGAGACCACGCGCGGGCCGCGGGCGTCGTTGCCGTCGTTGCCGTCGTTGCCGTCGGCGTGGGCCAGCACCGACACGGCCTGGCTGTAGGGGCCAATGTTGGCCGGCGCCCAGTACGAGCGCGACTGCACGTGGAGGCCCTGGCGGCGGGCCGCGTCAATCTGGGCCGCGTCGTCCAAGACGGACAAAAAGACGGCGACGTCGACGTCGGTGGGCAGCGCCGTGCCGCAGGCAATGGTGACGCGAGACGGCGGGTTGGGCGCGCCGGTGAACAGGGTGCCATAGACGGCGTTGAAGGCTGGAAAGTCGGCCATGCGCCGGAGGACAACCAGTGCGCGGATGACACTGTGGGTGGGCGACAGGTGGCTTGGGAGGTGGCGGAGATGCTGGCGGACCTGAACGACAATGGACCGCGTGGCGTCGGCCATCGAGGGCGAGGGAGGGATGGAGGCGAGGTCAGGGACAACAGCCAAGGTCGTGACGGCAGAGGTCACTGTGCTTGGAGAGAGAGCGAACGTCGTCTCGTCGGCCAGGGAGAGGGCTGCAGCCATTGTTTGCGCAGCATCGGAGGCGGTTTCGGTCCCTGTCCCTGTCTTTGTCTCTGTCTCTCTCCCTGTCCCCAACCGTGCCAGAACAGCGGCAAACCGTGCGTCCAGCAATCCCGGCTGCCGCACGTTGACCAGGCTGGCCTCTGGCTCGTTTGTCGGCCCAGTTGGCTCCTCTTTCGGCTCCACCGTCGCCGTCCGAATCTGCAGCCAGGACGTCCCGCCGCCTTCGTGGACCACGCGCCGGTCGGCGTCCGCCACAGAAAGCGACCCCTGTCGGAACAGCGCCCGCGGCCCGTCCACGACAAGCGTCTCGTACTCGCCGCCCTCGCCCAGCATGCTGCCGGGTCCGTCGTCGGCCAGGCCCAGGCGCTGCAAGGCCCGCTGCAGCCGCGCCCGACCGGCCGCGCTGGCCACGTTGGTCCACAGCAACGAGTCGTCGAGGCCGCCGCTGGCGACCTTGACAATGCGGGCATCGAACCCGGCGACAGCCAGGTCGTCGAGGTAGTCGGTCGCGGCGGCCGACGTGGCCGAAAGCGCGTCGTCCGCCGAGGACGAAACGGCCGGGAGGAGGGGATACTGCCACAGATAGGCCAGCGACGCCAGTCCCAGGCGCACGGCGACCGACTCGACGCGTGTGCGCTGGTAGGTGCTCAGCAGGGCGCCCGCGCAGACGGCATTGGCCTCGGGGAGGTCGGCGAGCACCCGGCAGAGCAGCCGCGTCATGGACTCTGTTTCGTCTTCGTCTTCGCCGCCGTTAGGGTGGTACTCCCGCCCCGACTGGACGGCACGGCCGAGGATGGGCTGACGGTAGAGCGGTAGGCCGGTGGCGGCGGCGTACAGCGGCAGAACCCGGTGGCCGACGGTCTGGTACATGAAGCTGTTGAGATCTTCTTCGTCGGCGTCGGCGTCGGCGTCGCCGTTTGCATTTCCATTTCTGCTGCTACCGCCAGCATGGTCCTCCGTGTGCGGCGGGTGCAGATTCGCCAGGGCCACGACGCGGTGGCCGTGGGCCATGCAATGCAGCAGGCTGAAAAAGCTGTCCTTGCCGCCCGAGATGAGCGCAATGACGTTGAGGGCCATGGCGGTGGTGATGGGCGGTTGGCAGTTGGCGGTTGGCAGTGTGTGTGAACCACACGCCCCTACCAAGTCAGGGGGTCAGCCTGGCGCACCTGCCGTCTCGTGTAATCGTGTGATCGTGTTCTTGCCTGTTTTTCCGATGCACACCTCGGGTGGTTCTTCCCCCCTTGGGCTGTTCAATCTCGGTTGTTTGCTCTTTCCCTTTGCCTTTGAGTCTCTTTCCTAATTTGTTTGGGCTTTTCTTCCCCTCCCAACGTGCCTTCCTTTCTCGTTCGTCAATGTGTGACGTGTGATTGTCTGTTGGGCACACTGCGCCGCAGTCAAGCCAATTTCTATCGACTTTGATATCGTCAATTTTCCGTCGCTTTTTTTTTTCGCAAGGCCGTTGGCCCAAGAACAACTGTTGGTGTGAGGCTGGCCTTGCGCTTGCTGCCGCCTTCTTTGGCGCTAATTTGCTAGTGCATAATCCCGCCATTGGGCTGTTGGTGCAGTTACCCAGTCGCTGTAAAAGGCAAGTTCAGGCTTAAAAGAAAGTGTCCGTCTCGGCATACTGCAACGGCACACAATGACGACAACACATCATCACGATCTTCACGCCGCCGAACGCACAGATCACTCGAAATGGCAACACGATGACCATTTGTTCAACCGCCTTTCTGGCAGTGTACAAGGCACGAGGGTCAAAGAGGGAGAGCAAGAAAAAGCCTTGTCGGTTCGGATGCGGGCAGGTGAGATGCTTAACACTTACTGCGGGTAGGGTGGTGTCGACGGGTGACGCAAAGCCTCGACGAGAGATGGCCGAGACGATATTTGAAAAGGCACGGTCGGGCATGCTTTTGCAGTGTTTAGAACGCCAGAGCTTTTCGTTCTCGTCTTCGTCCCATTGCGCGATGTTGATATATGCATTATTCCGTCCACACGTCTGCCGAACTTATTTTTGTTTCTTATGTTATGTTTTTGCCTAGTCTACGGATGTAGCTGCGTATCGAGACACAGGACGGGGGTTGACAATGGACGAGACAAAGAGACTGCCTAGCCGACGTGTGTTTGTGGAACAGGACGCAGTTGGCCGTTGCCACGGTGGAAGGGCCACTTGGAGGCACGGCATGGGACGATAATAGACGCCGTAGGACAGCCATATGGCAGCATACGACGACACAGGACGATGCGGTCCTCCGAAATGGCGGTGGAGGCAAAAATAGACATTCATGGGCTACACGAAGCACGGAGCACGAAGCTTGGACATGGCGTACAGCATCACACCCTCGCACAAAGATCAGAGGACACTATTGGCCTTGGTCGAGGACTGACGGGAGCGTAACAAGAGGTGTCCTTGGGCGTGTCTTTGAGTGTGTCTTGGAGCGTCTTTGATGTAGTGGTCCCTTTTCTAGCGTGGCGGTGAGGAAAAGACGACAAGACGGTCCTCGGACCTCACTACTGTTTCCTTTCTTCGTTTGCTCGACAGTTTTCGTAGTAGTCTGGTCCGCCAGAGCCGCGTCGAGTCACCATTGCTGTCGCCTCTCTGTCCTACAGATGCAAGCGAGCGACTGCAGAATAGGCCTGCTTATGACAGAGTACAGTCGCCCGTCTGCAGATGACCCCATCTGGCGTGCAGTGTTGTCAGCACGGCATGCCACCCAAATCACGACTACGCGTGTATTCCGTACCTTGCAGAATATTTATGCAGGTACAGCCGCTGGTCAGGCCGCTGTGTCTTTCTGTTGCTCTAGGCTTCGTTCTTACAGTGCGCCTCAATCATCCCATTTTGCCACGGCTCGGTCATCCAGCCGAGAGACTTTGCAATCCAATAGACTCTATGTGCGGAATTAATAGTCCGATTCCATTATTGCGTATCTGGCCGACATACGCCGTAATATTGGGTAAATTGCTATTCATACTTGGATCCGGAGTATATTACTTTTGCACCTTATATTCATATTGCAAGAGTTCTGTTGTTTCTAGAAAGAACTACAGACTAATTGTGCCGTAGAGTGTGGGCAGTCGTCAAAAGAAGGCCCGGTAGGCCAAAACCAAAGAGCCACCCATTTGCGGATGCGCGGCGGAAGCGGGAGGAACAAGCCAGCGGCCGAGGGCCCACACGACAAGACCAGACCAGGCAAGGCCCAGAGCTCCAGGCAAGATGACAAAAGGACAGTCGTGCTCGTCCCAGACGACAGCGCAAAGAGCTGAGCGTCGAAAATTGCACTGTTCTGGCCATTGCCCTCGCCGACTGCCCATTGGAAGTCTCCCAGCGGCAAGAGACGTCTTTTGCCTTGTAAGTCGCTGTCAATTTTGTTTTGTTTTGGGGATTTGCTTTTTCCTTTTCTTTCCCCTTCCCGTCCCGGCTCGGCTGTTACTTGCATTTATTTAAGATGAGCCTGTCATTAAGCCCACACTCATCAACGCCTACAGATTCACGCCCCTCCCCCGTCTATCAATCCTCCATTCGCGCTCGTACCCGCGCGCCCGGGGAAGCTGTCCCGTGTGCGGTTCCTTTCCTTGGAAGAGAATTGTTCTGTAAAAGAAATGGTTTGGGCAGATTGACTCTGACAAGAAGACAAGGGGAAGGAAAAGGACAAGGAAAAAGCAAATGGCAAAGACAAAGAAAGGGAAAGAAGCCCGTTGGATCGTCAAGACATTGTCAACGTCCAAGTTGAATAGCTACACACGCTCTGTCCACTTTCACTTCCACTGTCACTTTCTTTTGCAAATGGCCATACACGTGTCTAGTACTTCGTACCTTTGCTCATTTCAGGGTCCACTCCACATTTTCACACACCCTGGACGAAAAACACGAAAAGAGAGTAGTCGAGTACTCGAGTAGTCGAGATTATGCACCTCTCTCTCGTCTACGGAGCACCGGGTATGAGGGCTCCATTCGCCTAGGCTAAGCAGAGCAAGAGGCAAGACGATCGAAGCTCGCTAGAAGAGCGGGCAATTTCAATTGCAGTTTCCAAGGCGTGGGGAGACGTCGTACATCAGAGAGGGAAACGGTGAGAGCAAACGAGCGTTGCTGTACATTAGAAAGTGTGGGGCAGGTAATCTTGAGTCGTTCTTTGTAATCTTGTCCTAAGCTACGTTGACTTTGTTGGCCATTTGTTTTTCCACGGCGTACTTGGCTTGCAAGGGCCATATATCGTAATTGACTGAAACAAACATGGAAGCACTGAGCGGAAAGATGAAAGAGGGAGCAAGCGCAATTGGAATTCGAGCTGGCTATGCTAGACAATGAGCACGCATGTTCGGTACAAGATTCTGTTGGCGTCGTTTGTGAAGCTTATTTTCTTCGTCTGCTACTCTTCAGCCCCGGTAAGCGACGTCAAGCGATATTGTGAACCAGCACACCCTGTAGATCGCGTCGGGAGAATGAGAGGACCGATGAATGAAAAAAGAAAAGAAAGAAAGAAAAGAAAGAAAAGTACAGACGTACTACAAAACCCAATAAAAGGTAAAGTTGGGGGGCCAAAACAAAAGGAGAAAAGATGTTCGCCGTTACGAAACTTGCATCCCACCGGGAGACATCCCGGCGAACAGTTTTGGCTTTGAGACATTGAAGCAGAAAATGAGCCGGTAGGAAAGATCAACAGATGGGAGCTGTCAGAAAAAAAAAGAAGAAAGCAAAACCGAGCCAAGCGACAGTTGACAAGACGAAAAAAAGAAACAAAAGAAAACAAATAGAAATGACATGGGTATATTGATCTGCTCTCCACCGCGACTTAACGCCTTCGCTTAACCGCTGGTGTCCTCTCACTTGGAGCTCGCTTGTCATGAATTACGACAATTGTTGCCCCATTGATATTCAGCTGTCAAATCGCACATGTCGTACACTGGCAGCACACATACAGGGCATAGAGATACAAAATGGCATCAAGCAGAACTCCTCATCTCGAATTTTTCAAATAGCGGTCATCCTAATAAACACGCTTTCTCTTTTCTGTTGCCAGAAAAAGGAGAAATGTAATAATTAAAAAACACAATCGAGAACAACCTAAAGCGACAGGACGAAAAAAGAAAACAAAGACAAGACAAGCAAGGTAGGATTTCAAAAAATGAGAGGAACAAGCTTTGAAAATGGAAAAGTCTTTGACAAATAGAAGCGAAAATAAAAATAAGATACGTTGGGGAAGTGGTGGTACATTGAAGAAGGCTAAAAAAGGTTATGTGTGGAAGAGTGTGAGGGAGAATCGAAGTTGAATAAAAAGACTTTTTTTTTCTGTTTCCTGCGAAGATGTTTCTGACCATAGTGTTGTGTGCCCTGTAATGTCCTGTTTTTTTTTCTTTTTTTTGTGCATAGCCGAAGCAAAAGCAGACAAAAGCAAGCAAGCCAGGGCAAACAACCATTGCCTGAAAACACCGCAGAGCCAACAACCCTAGGGGGGCCGAACCGCGTAAAACAGGTAGCGGGGTAGGCCTGAAAGAAGAATGTGTTTCGTGATATTCGTGTCGGGGCATACAAAAGGTGCGCTGGGGGGGAAGAACAACAAACAGCGCGCCTTCTGGTCGTAGGCAACAAAATAACAAAAGAAAAAGAACGGAAAAAGTGCAGAAAATGACGAAGCGCGCGTGGTTGGGGGGCTAAGACACGCTTAGTCTGTCCGCTTCCGCTTCTTCTTCTGGCCGTCGCTGCTGTCGTCCGAAGAGTGCTCGCTGGCGCTGCCCGGGATCTCCGAAGCGACCTGGAAGAGCACGCGGCCCATGCCAGAGTAGTCGTCGCCGCCCATGGCCGCCGGGTGGCCAGGGTACATCATGTGCGGCATGTAGCCGCCGGCAACAGCAGCGACCATGTCTGCCTCGTCAAAGACGTTCATGACCATGGCACCAGCGCCATGCGTGCGCGCATGCTGGGCAAGGTTGTCAGAGCGAGAGAACTTCTTACCGCACTCGTGGCAGTTGAACGGCTTATCATGGGTGTGCAGCGAACGGTAGTGGCGCTTCAGGTGCTCCTGGCGACGGAAACGACGGTTGCACAGGTCGCACGCGAAGATCTTGGACGGGTCCTCCGTCAGCGACTGCTTGCGGCCGCGGCGGTTGGTGGGGACCGGGGCGGCGACGCTCTCCGTGCTCTCCTCCCCCTCCGGCGTAGCCGACTCGCCAGAAACAGCGACGGCCTCGCCGGTGGGGGCTTCGGCTTCCTTGGGCTCGTGCGCCTCCGTGGCAGCAGCCTCGGTGTTGTCAGAGGCGGCAGCAGCCGACTCTGCGTCCGACTCGGGAACAGTGGACATGGCGAGGAAGCTACCGGACGAAGTCCGCTGGCGCTTGCTAGAGTGCGACTCGGAGCTATCGAAGGAGGTGCTCTCCCACGAATCGAAGAACTCAATCTCAGAGTGCGCAGTGACAGACGAGCTGGCACGCGAACGCAGGCTCAGGTCGGCCGAGGCAATGCTGGAGGCAGAGGAAAACTCTGTGCCCAGGTTGACCAGCGTGTTGACGAAGTCGTCCTCCGACTCAAGGTCAGGGAACTCCTCGAGAACCGACAGGTTGCTCGGGATGAAGTCAGCAGCAACGGGTGCAGGAGAGGCGGCCAGAGGAGAAGACGGCGCGTGCTCCTGCTTCAGGTTGAAATCGTCCTCGGCGTCCGCAGCAGGGCTCAGCGAGGTCTGGATGGCAGAGAACGTGGGCGAGAGGCTGCCCTCGCTGCCACTGACCGTCAGGTTGCGGGGGTCGCAGAAGTCGTTGCCCTGCTCAGACGCGACAGAGCGAGCGTAGGGCGATGGGGAGGGAGACAGGGACGGGCAAGCTGAGACAGACAGCAGGTCGCTGGTCAGCGCCGCGGGCGTGGCAAGGCCGCTAGTGGGCGCAAGGCCCTTGACGGATTGTGACTGGCCTTGGACGAAAACTAACGCAGGGAGAGAGAAAAAAGCCAAATGTTAGCATTGATGATGCCTCTCAAAAAACAAAAGGAATGCGGTGAGCTTCACGTGTTGACTGAAATAAGGGAGAAGGGATTTGGTGCCAAAAAGGTGAAGCAAGGGAGAGAATTGGGGCCACCAAAATCCCAGACCAGGCTCAAAGGAACCCCGCTTTATCGCCTTATCAGTGAGGCCAGCCAGCTCCCTCGTTCCGCCGCACTTGTTGGGCGGAGCCAGGAAACAGCACGGCGCATACCAAACAAGCAAGCCCAACAAACACAATGCATCAAAAAATGCACCGCAAAGGTGCGCATATACATATACACAATGACGTACCAGGTGTGAAGGGCGGCGATGCGCAGTTGGACCAAGCAGCGGCGTTGAACTGCTCAGCAGCAACGTCGACCGCGTTGGCGGTGTCCTTGGCAGCCTCGAAGCTGTCCAGGCCCGAGAACATCGGGTTCAGAGGCGTGGCCAGCATGTCGCACGCACTGGGGCTGCCAATGGCGCTCGAGGCAGTCGAGGACAGCGGCGGTGTGGAGGGCAGGCGCAAGCCGTGGCCGTCCACATCAAAGTCCGTCTCCAGCATGATCGTGGGCTTGCCGGTGGGGCCAGCGACCGAGCGACGGGCGTTGCTGCCGACGATGTAGGCAGCGGCCGGGAAAGGCGCAGCAGCGCCGTGCGGGAACGACTTGGGTGCCTGTGGCTGCGACATGAGCACCGGCTGCGGCTGCTGCGACGAAGACGAGTTCGGCCGCGAGTATGTGGGCGTCGCAGGCATCATGTAGTAGTAGGCAGCCTGCGGCTGCTGCTGCTGCTGCGGCTGCTGGGGGATGAAGGCACCGTGGCGGCGAGCGTCGGTCTGCTCAGGCGTGTAGACGAAGTAAGCAGCCGGGGCCATGGGGTTGGCGATGACGGATTCCATTGTGAATGTGTTTTGTCTGGCGGCTGTTAGAGCGGGAACGGAACGTCGAAGGATCTGTGTCTCTAGGCGAACAGGGGAAAACTACTCACTAAAAAAGGTTCTCGTGTGTGATTGTGTTTTTTAGTTATTAAAGTATACTGGATGAAGCGAAAATCGGTAGATGGTCGTATTTGGTGATAGTTGTATTGTAGTACACAAGTGTCGCGGCGTCGGCCAAAAGATGGTGGGTCGTGTTGAGAGTGCGTGTGGTGTTGTCGTCAAGTTGCAAAAATGACGTCTCGAGTGTCGATAACGAGTGGATGGCAGTCTTGAGTCTGGCTGGGAAGAGCTGTCTGGATTGAATCACAAAGATGCTGGAAGGATGTTGTACATTGGCGGAGGGCAGGCAAGATGCTCGTCGAGAGATCAGTCGCTCTTTCCGTAGGTGGTAAGAAGGATAGATATACAAGTGAAGAAAGGAAGGAGCAAGAGGGCAAGAGTATATGAGGATGCAGGATGCAGGGAAAGAGCAGAAGACTGTGTGCAATGAACGAGGAAGGAGCAACAAGTGATGATATGTATAAAGAAGGGCAGGAACGAGTTCCAAAAGTTCGAGATATCCAAAAGAGGGAATAAGGAAGCTGTGGGAGAAGAAGAGAAGATAATAAAACAGGTAGCAACACGGCACGAGAACAAAAACACGGAGAATGAGAATGAAGTTCCGTGATAAGGAAGGTGACGAAGAGCAGGAAAGAAATACCAGAAAGCGAAGGACGAGGGTCGGATGGAGGTTTGGGAGACGGGGGGAAGCACGAGGATAAGTAGTCTTGCGTCTTGAGTGCGTGCGTGCGCGACAAGAGGATGGCACAGAAGACAGAAAGAGGAAAGAGCAGTCTTGCGAACCACACGAATAAAACGATTAAACGACTGAAGAGAAAAAAAAAAAGCGGGAAAAGGTGACCAGACAGAGGGAACGAACCAGCCCACACACACTCCCTGTCTCCCCAGTCGCACCTACTCGTCTTGACGGCCGTTCCCTGCCACACCTCTTCCTGCGATCAACGAAAGGCAAGAAAGACGCCAGACCATGGAGTGAGCATGGATACATTGATAGGCAAAAGAGTGGGGCCGACCCAGGCGTGTGTCGAGAAGGAAAGACCCAGAGGAACCAGAGACCAGAAGCGACAAGCAGACATGCGAGGTGAGAAACGAGGAAAGAGGTATCGTCGGCGGACGGTTGGGACCCACCAGCACACCACCACTGTGGATGGGTTGGACTGGGACGGGGGGCGTGTGTGGATGCAGTCAACGGGCTGCCCCCCGCCCAAGTCCACCAGAAGCCCACCCTCCCTCACTTTCTCTCCTCCAACCAAGCACCCATGTCTCACAAGAAAGCAGAGAGAAAAAGCTGACATGGGAGACCAAGTCGATGGGGGCGTGGGCGTTGGCTTGCGCAGAGGATTTGGGACAAAGGTGGACCACTGCAAAAGAGACACCAAAAGAAGAATAGTCAGGGGAAGGAGCGACAGAGGGGTGTACAGGTAGCGAGTGGTTGATGGAAGTCGGCTGTGGGAGGTAAGGACACCCCCTCCCTGTTCTCTTCGCTCTGGCTCGCTCTGCTCTTGCCTTCTCGAGCCTCTCTCCCCAGGGCGGACCGCAACGGTGAGGACACTTGTACCGACTCCCATGCAGAGTCCCTGGCCGGGTTGTCCGCTCTTTCCTCGCCTCTGACCTTGTGCTCTTTCCTCGTCATGTTTGGGGCGAAAATACGAAAAAGCAAATAAAAGAGGCAGGGACGACCGAGAAACTGGAAAGGTAAAACGTTTGTCGGTGGGCCTCTCCATGCACCAGTTTCCCCCGTTTTGTTGCAATGTGGTCGTATCTTTTTTTTTTTTTCAGTGTGCGTAGGGCCTCCATGTGCATGTGCGTGTGGGAGACAAAAGAAGGCGCAGCACATCACACTAGCCATTGGGGTTGCTCGCTGGCCACACCATATTATGCAGAACAGCAGCAGGTGCGCGCCTGCCACAGCGGGCACCTCTTTCCTGTAATTCGCTGTCACTTAGTTGCTTTAGTGCCATTCGTAGCCTCTCGTGTCGTCGACTTATTTCTAATTCGGGACACGGAGCCCGTGGCTTGACTTCGCTATTGGCTGGAGGGGGATGCACCCGTAGGACCACGCTGTAAGGACAGAGGGAGCCCTGTAATTGACCTGTGGGTGTGGCGAGAGGTATCCCACGGGGACGGCGACAAAACTGCCCTGTAGTGCAGAGACTTGCATCGCATTCAGCCGGTGCGGACAGGCAGACTCAGTGGTCGTTCTTTCAACAGACGTATCGCTCAAAGAAAGGAAAAAAAGCCGGGAAAAGGGATGCGAGCCAGGGCGAAAATGACGACACACACACACACACACACACACACACACACAAAAAACCGATCACATACCAAAGCACAACACTACCAAGAAGAACCAACAAGACGCAAGGCACGACTTGGTCCTTTCCAGTTCTTAAGTCGGCCGCTTTGACTGGGGCCGTTCTACCAGATTGGCGCAATCGCCGGTCTCTGATACATGCCCTGTGCAAAACGCGGCGTCGTTCACAAGGCGGAAAAAGAGCCAAAGAGCCACCGTGCGACGGCTTGCTTGTGCTCGTGCTTCGTTCCGACGTTTGTCCTTTTTTTGGTGTATTATCGTTCCCTGTTTCTGGCCACATCCTGTGTCCTTTGTGGCACATTGAAAACACAGGTCCAGGCGTTTTGACGCGAGAGAGCGCGCGCGACATGCAGGACTTTTTCGTGTTGGATTTTTTTTGTTCGTTTTTTTCTAAAACGAGCATTTGTTCTTTCTCGATCTTCCTCCTCGCTATTGTCGCCGCCAAACGTGCATATGCAGTCTCCAGTCTGCTGCCGCCGGCGCGCAGTCCCCTGTCCTGCTGGGACCTGCAGGCCTGCAGGACACTTTTGGCTCTTTCTCGTGTGCTCCGTACGAATCAGAGACGAATGTCTTTTTCCTTACTCTCGCGCTTGCTTTTGTGCCTTGCGTCGTCTTGGGTCGATTATTTGGTCGCTTTAGTCGCTTCTGCGCTTCAAAAGAAAAGACAAAACAAAAGTAACACTTCACGTCAACTTTCTCGCACCCCATCTCCATCCTACCCACTCCCCCACACGAGCCATTTATGTTACCTCTTAAGTCGCTTTTGATCCTGCTTTCTGGCGGCCTCGCAGTTGGGTGCAGGAGTTAGCGTGAATGGATCGACGAGCCAGACAGCGTGATCGCCTTGGTCCTGGGCGATTGGACGACTGGACGGGTGGGCAGACATGTGGATAAAAGTCAAACTCTGTGAGTGACGTTCAAGAACTCAGGGTTGGCTCGTTCCGTGGGTCTAGACGATGACACAAGGAAAAAAAAACAATCGAAAATGGGAAAAGGAATATGAACGAGTGAGCCAGAAACCTCGTATCTGCGTATCTCACCCGCCCCCTCCACGTAGAAGATGATAAGTATCACTAAATAAAACAAGATTTTTGGGGGGAAAAACAAAAAAAAAAATAACATAGACACGATGCAATACGAGAGAACGTTGAAAACGAGAACAAAAATGTGGCAATGGCAAATGAGATATGGTGATGTGCATCAACTGACAAACCGCATGTACGTACAAGCGCTCGAGCGTTTTTGTTTTCAGAAAAAAAAAACAGAATAAAATAAAATAAAAAAGAGTTGTATACGGAGTGTGATGAATCCCAATGTTGTGATAGTTCTGTGACTTGTTGAAACACAATTTTTCAAAATGCGCAAACGGGAATCAGCCATGTGATAGGCTGGGGAGAGGCGCATCGTCGCCCGCTATCACCATGCCATGGTGTCCAGCATTGGCCAGTGAAAGGCGGTCTCTCAGAGCAAGAACCAAGCGGGCAGCTTTGAGAAAACCGGCGTCCGCCAATGAGAGGGCAACTAGTTGGTGTGAGGTAAGACGTGCCGTCACAAATACCCACGGACAAAAAACAAGTCTTGTACATTGGACAGACAACAGGAAAACGGGGTTTTGGGTTGCCCCAGAATTGTAGTTGGTGTCTACGTAACGTAGTTTACAACATTGTTACTAGGAAAGGGTGAACGTGGATAGAGGAACCTTTTGAAAAACACAATTTTGAGAACGGACCCGGCGCCGGTGTGGATAGATCACGAAGTGGCGTGAGGATGTGAAAACAGAGGCGACGGGTGCGGTGGTATCGAGACGTGACGGGTATTGTGTCAATACTTTTTTGCCATCCTTTTTTCGAGTTGATAAAGTGGTAGTTGATAAAGTAGTTGGTGTTGTCACGTCACTTCTGGCGTTAGTTTGCAGACCGTTGTGTTGTCGATCCGTTTGGGCGAAACGCCCAAACGGACTGGACAGAACAAGAAAGATGTGGTTTCAGCCAAGAACCAATGCAGCTGAGGTGCGTGCATGTTGATTTGCTTCTACATAGAAAAAACCAAATAAAGGTTAGGCCGTGTAGCAATTTTTTTTTTTAGAAAAAAAAAAATAAAGTACGACATATGATTAGTGACATATAAATGAAATAAAAATGAAATTCAACTTTTTTTTTGCTACAAAAACCGCGGTAAAAAAAAGGACACAACAACACATGAACGCTCCCTACGAATCACTGTACCCCAAGACTGATGTTCTCCTCCCACAACTGAACCAGTCAGGCGACGATGTTGCTTGCTCACCTTTTTACATGTGTTCTGGGAGGGTCAGTTGCTGACGCCGCAACCACAGCACCATATCCTCGACATAGATCATAGGATCTCCCAGGTATGATAGGATAGCAATAGCATGGACGAGAGCGGTGGAAACCGGGGTCGACTGTCTTGCAAAGCGGTACGGGAAGTAATTAATACGAAGTAAGAGATATCAGGGTTGAGTGACGTCTGTAATAAGACATGTTCCATAACAACAAGTTGAAACCAGGATAGGGCATAGTGTGGGGTTCTCCAGTCACTGGACTTGGAACCAAGGGACTTCGGATGGTGCTGTTTGGGGCTTGGTAACTACGGCCTGGCCAGCCCCCCAAGTTTGGTGGTAGTCCTGCGCACACTATAAACACTTATCCACCAAGCATAGGATACCAATAAACAGCACAGCCAGCCAATCCAAGAAGCCTCTCAGATGAGGGAACCAGACATGGGGTGTCACAGATGCCATGGCATAAAATTGGCCTCTATGCATGCGGGATTGCACAGCAGACGACGGCTTTAGAATACTTCGTTACCCTGTATTTCGTAGTATCCTATTATTCAGGTACCGTCCCACGCGAAATGCGGTGAAAGGCAACACGCACGACGCAACAATCTCCTGCGCTGTGCGATCAATATTTGGGGGTTGTCACCGCCGCGTCAACCAACAAAAGACCGGCGATGGTCTAGTGTGGTGCGGGTGTGTCTGGCTCTCTGGCTGTGCTGTCTCTGATTGCTGGGCCTCTTCCAACCAACCAGGCGGCGCTGGCCAATGCGTATGCAAAGCACGCCCTCCACGGATGTGCTTTCTCGTCCCTTGTCTTTGGTCGTTCTTGCGTCGCGTTACGCTAGTCAGGCCACTCGCGGATTCGTACGATGCGCGGGCCACTGTCAGATGCGATGTGCAGAAAGGATTTGCGCCTGCTGAACACGGGAGGGGGACGAGGCACGAACGAGGTGAGCAGCATGGACCTTGCTGCACCACGTCCCACGTCCGACAGCAAGAGGCATCCTAAGATACCGTATGTATGCATGCTCTTTGACCTACTGCCGCCCGTTCTCCAGTCTCTGGTCTCCCATTCGAAGACCAAAAGATCAACAGAAGAATTGCAATGCGAGCCAAGTGACCAAGTAGCCCCGGGCCAGAGCGCGCGCTTTGAGCCACAGGCGGCAGTGCGGCGGCCTGTGCCTTGCACGTCTTTGTCTGCTTGGCGGCTTGTCGCTGGCCAATCCGAGGTGTCGTCCACGCTGACTGGCTGGGGGAAAGCGAAAAGGTGGTGTGGGAGGATCCGAAGCGCAGCGACTGAGAGGACCGACATGTCTTCCCACTTGAATCGTTACGTAGTCGGGCAAACGGCGGCTGAGGCGGACTCACTTTGACGGCGGCAAATCTGAAACGCGACGACACCCACACCCAAAAGGCAGAATACATCGATATAGTGTCTGAGGTGGGCTTACGGCGCACTTGTCTGCCAACTCGTGAACTGGCAGGTGTCTCGTCGACAGAAACACAGTGTAGACGTCACAGCGCAATCAAGACAAAACAACATATACGATGCAAACGCCATGAGTGACCCATCGCAATGGACCGTCGGCGAATTCTATTTGGCTAGGGAAATAATCACACGCCACAGACGTCGGACGGGATTGCACCTTCCACACCTTCCATCGAACCTTCCAACTTTCCACTTCAATTCGTTTTTAATATGTGCAGTATTTGACCGTCGGCGTTGGCACCATTTTCGTGCCTGCCCATATTACCCACTGCTGCTGTTAGATTGCGTCGTCGCAAGGAAATCACGACCTGCATTTTCATACTTTACAAGGCACATACGACAGAATTAAGTCGTACTCCGTCACGCATGTCGTATCCCCTCAAACCTTCCTTTCTCGGCCATAGGGGCAAATCGTTATCGACGACCCAAACGATGAACCAGACCCAGTATGTAACAACGACCAAAAAAGGGAGACAGACCAATGCGACCCACAGCTGCCTCGTCTGCGCGCGTGTTCCCCACTGGTGCTGCTTTCCTTTTCGCCTTTCTACCAACGCCTGCGCAAGTCTGACCCGAGTGTATGTTGGTGGTGTTGGTGCTCGTGTTGCTTCGTTCCTTCCTGAAATGGATCATTTGCCGACCCAAAGGCAACCGAGCAGATTGTCTTGACTTTTTCCCTCTGTTCCATGCTTCCCCTTTGCGCTTTCCTTTTGTGCTCTTTCCACTTCAATGACTTTTAGGTTGGCTAGCATTGGCCCGCATGGCAAGAGCAGCCCTAGCCTCTGCGGCGGGGAAGGAAGGAACCAGATGCGGCGTCAGGTCCACAGGGGCACCAAAACGACAAGAGATGGAAACAAAAGTGATCTGTCAAGACTGCCTTCTGCCATCGCCATTGGGTGCAGCGTCTATCATCCCCTCGCCGCCACCGCCACATACCCACCAAATATTGAATCCGTGTGCCTCTGGTCCTCAATTCCTTTGCTTCCCATTTGCCAATGCCGCCAGAGCTGACAGAAGCTGTGCACAGCACAGAGTGCCGACATGGGCGACCCTTTGTGAGAGGCAGCAATCAACAAACGTCTGGCCAATCTGGGGCCTCTTCTCTCGCCACAATGATCCACGGAGACGCTCGACTGCGTCCAGACGTCGGACGACGGCAGTCACAAAAATTGAAAACCACACTCCAACATGGACAAGTAAATACCACGCACATGCAGCAAAAATGATGTCTGGTCGCTGTATCACTCCGGGGAACCACCTGTCCACTCGGTAGGTTTTCTTTGCGTAATGGCGTTTTCTTGGCTTTGGCTTCCTTTTCTTGCTTCCTTTTTCTCGTTTCGTCTTGCTGTGTGTTTTGCTCATGTCCTCCCTCGCGGTCACTGGTAACAGTCGTCTTTCGAGCATACGACGTACGGACTGCCCGGGGCCGCCTAGTCCACATACGGGGAACGCGTGTGCCAAAAAGAGAGCCTTGCTGCATGTGCTGTGCTCATCATAGCTGAGCTAACCCTATCTCTCAGCAAGATACGAAACGATTCTTTGGACTGCCAAAAAGCCCACAGGCCAACGAGAAATACGATAAGTCAAATTTTACGATACGACTGCGAGAAGTAGTCGTGCTACTCTCACCTCCTTCGTTCCCGACAGCGGTAGTTGGCCGTCACCTATGCCAAAAGTCCCCCTCGCGTGTGTTTCACTGGGATGGGTCCCCGAGTGGCTGGCTACGTCTGGACTAGCGGACAGTTTCTTTCAATTGTCGCATTTTTGGTTGTCTTCTCAGAGCGGGTGCGTTGAACAACTCAGAATTGTGTGCTGGAAAAGTCTTTGCCACTGGCTTTGAGCTTCTGTTACGATGGGCCACTGAGGGTCGTCCTGCAAAAATGCCTGGCTCGGCCAGGCCAGGCACACTACGGCGGACACTACGGGACCCATCCGGACTGCAAGGTTGCATTGAAAGACCGACAAAGCAACTGCTCTGCGAAATTTCCGGGGCTGTCGTATTGCCTCCCCAACAGCTCAACTCGTCCAGTTCTCGTTTTCTTACCTACCATACCAGAGGCAAAACAAAAGCCCTTGAAACAGCTACACTGTAGCTCTGGATGGACTGGAGAGCCCGAGATCCCGGCAGCAAAGTCTTGTGCTCACTACAGACAGGCTGCTATTTATGGAGTTTGCCTCGCTGTAAGCTGAGCAATCTTGAGGCTTGGTGTGTTTCCGAGACAGCTTGTCAGAGCATTTGAACGCAGAGGTGAGATAAGTGACTTGTGTAGGGCCAGGCCAGATCAGCAACGGCGTCTATCTGAAGCGAATAAGTCTTGTTTCCCCTCGAGTTTCCAGGCGACTGTATCTCTGCCCACTGCCCCCGCTACGCTACCGACCTAGAAACATCCACAACTAGCTGCAAAGCCTCAGCTCTGGCCTCTCCCAGAGTCTAACTAGACGACACCGTCAGAAAAAAAGTGACACACCATCCTTGGCAAGAAGTTCAAGCCCAGCACCCAAAGAGCTTTTCTCTCGTCACTTCTCCTTGCACTGACGTGTGTGATGTGAGCGACCGCGTCATACAAACAGGGCTTTTTCCCCTCATCCTTGCATTAGTTATCCAAAGCGTGCATGAAAAGGTTCACAAGGTTGTGCCGGGTCCCCTCGACATGCATAACTGCACTAAGATGCATCGTCTATGCTCTTCCTCCACCCAGCTCGGATGCTCTGCTGCTCTGCTCTGCTGCTTTGCATATTGGATACGAATACGGCGAATGTCGCCCTCGACTTGGCTAAGCTCATATCTGCACTGGCTGGCTCCTCCTGGGAAATATCGAAACGACAGGACACAAGTATTTCTGAGCTCACATAAAAGGCAACATCCAACGGAACGGCGACCTGAATTACAAGAAACGTGACCATTTCAAAACGCAGATCCCCATGCAGAAACAAAACGGTCTCGGAAACGAGGCCGCCTTCCGGCCGACTGGACAGGCTGGCCGGAAATAGGAAGCAAGGACAACAGCAGTGTCTGGGCTACCGGTGCAAAAACATGTGCAGGCATGTTGTTGGAACCTGCAAGAACCATGCAAGGTACGGAGTACAGAGAACAAAAGAGAGAGAAATAGCACCTAAATCTCAGCATACACGCCCAGACGGAGATTTGGATACGCTTAAGCGACGGCGAGACATGGGCGAGAAAAACCATATTTTGTCCAGTCTGCCTACATAACCTGCGATAAGCCGTGCCGCAAAATCATCCGCGCAAAAGTATCTTGTATCTTTGAATGTCGCATAATCCTTCCACCTCAAGTCGCCTCGACTCACCTCACTTTTTCGGCTTGTCCAATGTTGCCTGCCTCTGGTTTTGCTGTGCGAACAAGATATCCAAATCAGCGCAATATCCCAGTCGTTTTTTTTTTTGTAATATTCGCTTCCCCGTTCTTTTGCATTCCGGTCTTCGCTTGTCACTTATCACTTCCCAAATCCTCAACCTCGCTCTGCAAATTTCTCCGTTGGGCGGTACCCTGGCCACGGTACCGTACTCCGTAGCCTTTTTGAGGTCCATATGGATATGATAACCCACTACGAAGGCAGCCTGCCGGAGCAGAGGAGAAGGCAGAGAAGACAGAAAAGAAGACAAATTTGACAGTGGTGGCATCCAGAACACAGGTGGCGGTCTTCGAATGGAGCTGGTTGGAATCAACTGGAGTAGCAGAAAGGCTGGACATGGGGAGGCGTGCAACTCTCGAAAGAACTGACCCATTCCCCCCATCGCATTATCACGGATCCAACTCCCGGAGCATGGGTTGTGAGTGGATGCTGCCAAATTGGGGAGGTACTTATTTCGTACTGGGCTTAACGACAGGCCATTTCGGAGACCTGGTCTGTCCATCCATCAACAGAAATGGAGAAGGCAGTACACAGAAATGTCAGCCATGATCCTGACAGCAGTCCATTGACGAGTAGCGCACCCATTCGGGAATAGCTCAGTAGCAACACCCCTGCTCGTCTGGGTCCCCAACTTGAACGTCCACAACGGGGGCCATCTCACATTCAGTTGTATCAAACTGAAGGCGACAAACGACCTGGTCCCTCTTTCGGGTAAGCCAACTTCTCACGGTCTGGCGGGCCCCTGGCCGTCCGTTCCGCCTCGAGGGCCCGAGAGCTACACTGACACGCTGACTACTGACTGTGAAATAGCAAAAGAGCCAACGATGATGCTCGCCACGGAGTTGGGTTCGCAGGATTCTCACCCCAGCGATCGAAAGCCCTTTCTTGTGCAAGTCCCCTCTTTCCGCTGTCTGACAAGATCCACTGCGAGATCCGAGCAATACTTTGATGTGAGAACGAAGAGACAGTAACAGGCACTTGTGGTCTGGGGCAAGTGTTGTTTTTCTCGGTTTCTTCGGTCGGCGTCGTCTTACTTTGCAACAAGAAATGTTCAAAAACGTCCTCGTCGAGACTTACAATTCACAATTCGGCGGTCGGCACCTCTGCCAACACGGTATGTTTCACTCTCACCAACGAGCCCCCATATCGTAGTCGTCGACCCCCCACTGGTTCGGAGCAAACACAAAAAAAAACGTAAATGGATTAACGTGGTTGCTCAAATGAGATCTGCATTATCGGGACCTCTTTGGCACCCCCAAACGCCAGTCATAGTTTGGCCAGATATCGACAAAGATAATGCCTCATAGTCAGTATATTTTTGGTCTCCATTTGTTTTGGGGGAGGGGGAGAAACAGATAATGGTGGACAGTGCAGCGCTGACCACACATCTCACAGCTCTGGTTGGAAAACCGCTCCGCGTCGGCGGTGCGGGAAGGCTGTGTTTGTTC